TTATTTATCTTTAATAATAGAATTTTTTCGATGAATTATTCATGTAAATAATTGAATTCTTAGGAAGAATTTTATTGAAATCTAAAAGAAGAATTGAATTATTTCAAAACAATTTAATTAAAATTGTATTTAAAATAATTGATTTCTTTTGAACAATTTTATTAAAATATTTGAAAATAATTGCATTCCTGTGAAAAAATCTAATATTTTTGTAAATAATTGAATTCTGACAAAGAATTTAAAAAAAAACATTTTTTTAAATAATTGATTTTTTCGAGGAATTGAAATTAAATTTTTAAGAAAAATTACATTTTTTAGCAATTCCTGTAAAATTATATTAAAAATAATTAAAATCTTGCGACGAATTTTATTATTTATGAAAATAATTGAATTCCTGAGAAGAATTTTAATATTTATGAAAATAATTAAATTATTGCGAAAAATGTTATTAAAATGTTTTAAAAAAATTGAATTTCTGTGCAAAATTTTGTTATTTATCTAAATAATTGAATTCTTGGGAAGAATTTTATTAAAATCTAAAAGAATAATTAAATTAATTCAAAAATATTCAATTATAAACTTGTATTTAAAATAATTGATTTCTTTCGAACAATTTTATTAAAATATTTGAAAATAATCAAATTCCCGTGAAAAATTCTACTATTTTTGTAAATAATTGAATTCTTACAAAGAATTTAAAAAAACAATTTTTTTAAATAATTGATTTTTTCGAGATATCGAAAATAAATTTTTGAGAATAATCACATTTTTTTGATCAATTTCTATAAAATTGTATTAAAAATAATTTAAATCTTGAGATGAATTTTATTATTTTTAAAAATAATGGAATTATTGCGAAAAGTTTTATTAAAATGTTAAAAAAGAATTGAATTTCTGTGAAAAATTTTGTTATTTTTGAAAAAATTGAATTCTTCATAAGAATTTTATAAACATTGTTTTAAATAATTAATTTTTTTCGAAATATAATAAATATTATGAAAATTTTATTTTAAATAATTGAATTCTAGTGCAAAAGTTTATTTGTAAAAATAATTGAATTTTCCGATGAATTAATTTAAAATTTTAGTATAAAAAATAATTGAAATTCTTGGATGAGTTTTATTATTTATGAAAATAATTAAATTTTTGCTTAGAATTTTATGAAATTTTTTTTTAAAAATTGAATTTCCATAAAAAATAATATTATTAGTGAAAGTAATTGAATAATTATGAAAATACTAGATATTGAAAATAATTGAATTTCGATTATTTTTTGAAAATAATTGAGTCGTTTTAAATAATTTGATTATAATTTTTGAGATTATTTTTTTATTTCTAGTATTAGCGAATTTAAAGTAGTGGAAATTTAAAAAAAACAGAAATAGTATAGTATCTTTTAGTGGCTAGCTGAAATCTAAAAAAGTACCCAAATAGTAGCATAACGTAAAAAAAGTAATGAATAGTAGGTTTTAGTAAATGAGTGCGAAGACTGTTTGTATCAATTAACAACTATATTAAGTTATTTTCAATTTTGAAATTTATTTTTTTAAAAATATGTTAAATAAAAAGTACTTTAAAAAATAAGTTTAAAAATCCGTTTTAAAAATAAGTTAAAATCGACAATTATTTAATTTTCCGCAGTAATTGGTACATAGTATGCACATTATGCATAGATACGAATTGTCAACAATACCAAGATACAATTCTTTCCCAAAACTATTTTAAATTTCCCTCCTCTTTCATAAACTTCAATCCGCAGTAATTGATACACTATCCCTGTATTCTTTCTATATTAACTTTACAAAAAATTTTTTACAAGTTTTCACATTGTATTTTGCGCATTAATTTTAATTTTACACTAGAGCATAAAACTTTCTCTTCAGAATAAAAAAAAAAACATTTGAGTAATAAAATCGATTCTACTATATGTGTCAAATTTAGATTCTAAAAAGTACTAAATCAAATTGTATCATTTTTATAGAATACTAATAAAATGATAAATAATAGATATACTTTGACAAAATTGTTGCGTGTCAAGTTGTAATAAAGAGACACTTATTGTATTTACAGACCACTTCACTTGCTCTAACTTGTTATTAACTTCCGAGAAAAGAACGCACCATGTAATTTTGTCATTAAATTTCTCGCGATTCCATATCGCGCGCGATATAATTTATGATATTCGAATTTTTGGTTACTCGCGAAAAACGAGTTTTATTCATCCCTTCTCTTTATAAGAATCTTTGTCATTTTATTGACTGAATTATTTACTGTTAGTTATTATTTATTATTAAATATAGAAAAGAATTTTTCAATACAATCTTTCCAAAATTTTCATTCTAAAATTTACGAATAAAAATAAGTTTTTGTAAATTAAAGACAATTTTTTAGTTCTTTGACTTTTTTCAGAACATTTACGTAAAATAAAAATTATTATAATCTTTGTTACAAAAAATGTTTTTTTTTCCTCTTTTGTGACAATTTTAATAATTTTATAGACGGTCACTGTTAAAAATTTAATTTTACCTTTTTTACATATTACTTTTTAAATTAATTTTTAATTATTTTTAAAAACTAATTTACTTTTAATTAATAATTATTGATCGTTGTGTCTATAATCCACTTGTTTATAATTCAATTTTACGAAAATTCATTTATTTGAAAATTTTTCAATTTAATGTATAATATTCTAAAATTTAACTAATTTCAAAAAGATTTAAATTAAAATTATTTAGAAATTAACTTTTTCAGAATTTTCAATTAAAATTATTTAAAATTCAAATTTTTGTAAAATTTCAAATTTGAAACCTTTTAAAATTCTGTAATTTTATTTATTTTTATTAATTTTTGAAAAAAGTTCTTTGAAAATTCTTTTATAAAAAAAATAGGAAATAATTCTAAAATTCATACTTGTTTCAGTTCAGTTTTAAGAAATTTGTATTATTAAAAAATTGTATGTTTCCAAAGTTTCGAACGTTTAAATGAACAAATTAATTTTTAAATTTTTAAAAAATTTTAAACTCAATGAATTATTTATAAAAATTGTAAACGGAACTCTTATAAAATTCAATTATTTTTGGAATTTTTAAGTAAAATTATTCATTAAATATTTTATAATTTTATAAGATAATATTTCGAAAATCAAATTATGTTAAGTAAATTTCAATTTTATATTCTTTAAAGTGCATTTGTTGATAGAAATAAAATAATTTAAGGTTTTATTTTTAAATTCGTGACGATTTCAAAGTTTATAAAGCAATCACAAAACTTTTAGGTTTTGTATTTAAATTCCTGGTGATTTCAATGCTTAACAAGGCAAACAAAACGAAAGTCAAGAAGACAAATATTTGTTATTTTTTCGGATTTTCTAAATTAAATTATTCAAAACTTCAATACTTTTTGTTAAATAAAAATTAAAAAATGTATTCTTATTTACTTTTCAACAGGATTTAAAATTTTAAATAATTTCAACTGAAAAACCTTTTAAAATTAATTTATTTCTAAAAATTGGAGTTGTAATTCTTTCAAAATTTAATTATTTTTTTTTAGAATTTTTGAATAAAATTATTCAAAACTTAAAGAATTTAAAAAAAAAATAATGTATAATAAATTAATAATTTTTTAAAATAAAAATAAAAATTTTCTTTTTTAAAGAATTTAATTTAAAAATCCTTTATAAAATTTAATTAATTTCTAAAATTTCTTTAGATTAATTCTTATCAGTATTCAACTACGAGAATTGAATTATTTAAGTAGAATTCAATTTTTGTAAATTTATAAAATAATTTATATTTTTAAAAATACAATTATATTTGTAGACAATTTTTGAAGATGAAGAAAATAAAATTCTTTAAAATATAAGATTTATTTTAATAAAATTTTACAAAATTTTTAATTGTTTCAATTTTTTTTTATTTTTTTTTTTATTTATATTTATTTTTTTTATTTTATTTTTTCACTTATTTTCGGGAATTCAAGTATATCTCCAGAAAAATTTAATTACTACGTTTCAAAATCCTAATTTTTTCAGAATTTCCAAATTAAATCTTTCAAATTTCAATCATTTTTGTAAAATTAATATTTAAATACTTGTTGTTCTTTATTTACTTAAAATTTCAAAATACTTTCAATGTAAAACCATTTGACTAAAATTCTTTTTTAAATAAATTCTTATCAGAATTCAACTATAAGAATTTAATTGTTTAAATAAAAAAATAAATAATTCATAAAATAAATAATTCAATAAATTTAATGAAATTAAAAATTTTTTATTTCATTTTTTTATTTCAAGTAAATGTTTATTTGATAAAAATTATTTTCTATCACATTTTATTAACTTTCAGTAAGAAAGTCATTTAAAAAAGTTTTTTTTAAGTTAATTTGTAGAATAACTAAAAATTTTTTAAATTTTAGATTTAAATTTAAAATTTAAAAAAAAAATTTCAGAGACTAACTAAATTTTATGCGGGCTTATATACTGTCCGGTGGCTTAATTAATCGTTTATTTTTATATTAAATATTATTTTTTCTTTATGGTACATTAAAAAATATATCTAAAAAAATTTTTTTTTAAATATATTTTTATTTTCATTGTCATTTTCACGTGCTCTGGCGAACAGGTAAATTTAGAAAGAAAATAACGTAAAAAAATCACGTTTTCATCTAGAGAATAAAATTTATTAAAGGGGTGTAAGTGGCTTTAGGAAAAATAAAAAGAAATGGAAAAAAAAATTTTTTATTTTTATTATTTTTGAAAGTGAAGATATGCAGTATTCTTGATGACTTTAATAATAGAATCGTGTAATATCTTTTTATATTGGTGTTAATCACCAATTTTTCTCTATTAAAAAAAAGAAGTAGTTATAGGAAAAAGTCGATTTGCAAAAGTGAAGTAGCAAGTTGAAAGCATTTCCCATTCTACTTGCTTTAACATGTAGCAATCATTTGAAATAAACCAATGAACAACAAGTGGCGCGAGGTAAACAACTGGTCGAATGCAATGGTGTAATAGATCGAGAGCATTTTAACTTTGACAAACTTTATCCATTTCTTTTTATGTCTTAAATCTTAGAAACAACTTGTACTTGAACAACAGTGCTAAAAATGTTCGTTCTGCTGATTCGTTTATGGTATGCAATTTCTTTTAAAAATATATACATTTTAAGGATGTGGAAATTATAAAGCAGTGTTCGTAGCTTATTTGATATTGAAAAATGAATATTTTTTTGACAGCATTATTTCAAGTCAATGGGACGGAGGATACTAACGCAGGAAAAAAAATTTTTTTTTTTATATTCTTTTTTTTTACAAACTGATTCAAAAAAAATACTTTAAAACCCGTTATGTAAATATCACAATTTCCGTTTGGAAATTTACTTCAAAAAAAATTTTTTTTTTCATAATTTCTAATATAGAGTTTCCAAAAGGGATTTTAATTTCTAAAAAATTAACTAGTTGTAAGAATTCGAATCTTTTGATTTAAAGAAAGCTAAAATTATTATTTGTTTAATTGTTGCAAAAATTATGTTATAAAAAGTATTAATTTTAACTTTTATTGAACAAATCGGGAAACTCTTTGAAAGCTTGAAAAATGAAAGTTGAAGATCCTTCTGAGCCTCAACATCCTGCTCTTCATTTGATTCACTATTATTTCTAATTTTTTTTTTTTACTTTTTTTACTCCAAAAAAACTAAAAATTATTTTTTCAAATAAAATTCTTTTAATTAATGTTAAAGGTACGAAATAAAATTATTGAAATTTTTGCAAAATGGGAGATGAATTTCATGTTTTAATAAAAAATCTTCTTCGTTACAAGTGGATTTCATATCCATTTATATTTTTTTTCATTTGCTATTTTTGACAAATTTTTCAAACAAAAAAATATAATTTTCAATTCTTAGGTATTTGTTTGATTAAAAATTTATTATAGTTTATACATATATTGAAATAACAATTTAAAATTTTTTTAAAAATTTTATTATTAACAATTTTAAACAGTTTTTAACTATTTACAATTTTTGGATTAAAAATTTATTTATTTAATTCTTTTATTGTAATTAATATTTATTAAATTAAATAAAAATTGTTGCGATTTTGTGGACAAAATGCGATTTATAAAAATTAAAATTATGAAGTATTTTCTGAGTTTCTATTCTCTAAATAAAATCTCATTTATTTTACTTTTTAACATCAGAATCAATTAAATTAAATAAGAAAACGCTAATATTTTTCAAACATTTTGGAAAAAGAATTATTTTCAGTTTTGAAATATTTTCTGATCAAAAATTTATTTGATTATTGAAATTAGATTAATTTAAATAAAAAAAATTTTGCTATGTATTTACAAACATTTTGGAGAAAAAATTTGTTTACAATTTAAAAGTAGTTTTCTAATTAAAAATTTATTTATTGAAATATAAAAAATTTTGCGATTTACAAACATTTTGTGAACAAAAAATTTGTTTCAAATTTTGAAGTAATTTCTTATTAAAAATTTATCATTTTATTTCTTTATTTATCGAAATAAAATAAAATTAATGTTGCGAATTGCAAAAATTAAAAATGAACTATTTTACAATTTTAAAGTATTTTCTGATTTTCTATTTTCTAAATAAAAATTTATTTACATATTTTACTTATCGAGATTAGAATTAATTTAATTAAATAAGAAAAAGTTGTTATTTTCAATTTTGAAGTATTTTTCTAATAAAAATTTATTTATTAAGTTATTGAAATTAGATTAAATTAAATAAATAAAATGTTGCTATTTACAAACATTTTGAAAAAAATTTATTTGCAATTTTGAAGTATTTATTCAAAAAATTTATTTATTTATTTAAATTAGATTAAATTAAATAAAAAATGTTTCAATTTACAAACATTTTGGACAAAAAGTTTATTTGCAATTTTATTGTATTTTTCTGAATGAAAATTTATTGTTTTATTTATTTATTTATCAAAATAAAATAAAATAAATGTTGTGATTTACAAAAAATAAAAATAAACTAATTTCAATTCTGAAGTTTTTTCTGATTTTCTATTTTCTAAATAAAAATTTATTTATTTATTTTACTTATTAAGATTAAAATTAATTCAATTAAATAAAGAAACTTTTGCTATTTTGAAACATTTTGTAAAAACAATTATTATTGCAGTTTTCAAATATTTTCTGCGATTAAAAATTTATTTAGATTAAATTAAATAAAGAAAATTTTGCTATTTACAAACATTTTAGAAAGAAAATTTATTTGCAATTTTTGAAAACTTTTTTGATTAAAAATTTATTTTAATTTGTTTATTTATATAATTTATTTATTGTGTTTGTTGACATTAGATTTAATTTAATTAAATAAAAAAATTTTCCGTTTTAGAAACAGTTTTGAAAAAAATATTAAATTTTAAAAATAATTATGTATTCAAAATACCCGAGGACAAAGTAGGAGTAAAAAAAAATTTTCCGAATTTTTATAATAGTTATATTTTTGTCAATGAAAAAATTACTTCCTCTCAGGGAATAATTTTGTTTGAATGAAAAACTTTTTTTCGTATAAAACTAAGCTTTAAATTATTCCGATTTTTTTTCTTATAATATACTTCTTAAAAACTTTTTCAAAATTCAACTAAAAATTTTTGAAAATAAATAAAATTTTTGATAAATATTTTGGAAATAAAGAAAAATTGTTATTTCCTATATAAATTTTTTAGAATAAAGTGAAATAAGACGTCTTTGAAATTGCGATTGGCAAAATATTTCTCACATATTTTTAAAAAATTTCGCTCACATAACTTTCAATGAGGGAATTTCTAAAGGGTATTATAATTACTTAATTCGTTTACTCGCTTTTTTATAGCTGTTCAAGCCATATACATGAGAATAATCTGTCTTCAGTGTCAATAACCTCAACTTTCCAAATATGCCGTGTTTCTTTTCCGTTAGAAAAACATGAATATTTTATTCATTTTTCATTTGTGTATTTTAATTCTTATGTTTTATTCTTTCTAACTGGAAATAATTTGTCATAAAAAGATTTTAAATTCATACAATAGATATACGACGCGATTACCCAGAAATTTTGCAGAAGCACTTTTTTTATTACTGAAAAATTTGCAAAATGCAAAATTATAAAACAATTTAAAAAAAATTTTTTAAATCAGAATGTTTAAAAAATTATACTCCAATTAAAATACCGCAAAAAAAAATTTTTTAAAACAGAATATGTTTAAAAAAATATTATAAGTTAAATTCCATAAAAAAGAACAAAAAAATTCCTTACCAGAAAATTGGAAATTTTTTCGAGGGAATTTTTTTAAATATCAGTAAAAATTTTAATGAATTCATCATGTTTTTTGAAAATTACAGTTATGGGTGAAATAATCAGTATTTTTTTAAACGCTCTTTGACATATTCTTAATGGTTAATTTACACACAATAAAAATATCTTATTATCATTATAAGTTATAATTTATTCCAAAAAATTGCCTGTAGAATGTGATTCATAAAAAAAAATCAAAAAAATAATTTCACATTATATCAGGAAAATAAAAAAGGGCAATTTTTTAAAATAAATTTTATTTTCTTATTATTCTTATATATTCTTATTTTCAAAATAAGATCAAGAAATAAAAAAAATCTATTATTTTAAAAATCGTTTCAATCTTTCAATTAAATTTTTGTTGATTTAAAATTTATGATTTTTAATTATATTTATTTAGAATCTATACTTTAAAAAATTATTTTAATAAAGCATTCTAAATTCAAAAATTAGTGTAAATATTCCAAATTAATTCTAAAAAATTTGAAAATTATTTAATGAATGAAAAAATAAATTAGTATATTTAAATTTATCAATAAATTTATATTAATAAAAAAATGTTTAAATAAATCTATAAATATTAATAAATAATATTTACACTAACAAAAATAAATTAATATTTTTTCCCTGAGAAATTTCAGAAATTTGTCTATATATGTAATATAATAATTTAAATAAATTAAAAAAAAAAAAAAAAAAAAAAAAAAAAAAAATTACTTTATAAAATAAGACTTTTTTTGATTTCAGTGTTTTGGCAACTATCACAAGACTGGCTTGTGCAGAATTACGTAAGTGCATTTATTAAATCTGTTCATATATATGGACAGATTTATTTATTTATTAAATTTTGAAATTTTAGAAAATTTCAAATTTTAAGAAATTTTAAGAACAACTGATTATAGAAATTCAATTATTTTCAAAAGTGATAAACTTCTTCGCATAAATTCAATTATGTTCAAAAATTAAAAAAAAATATAGTCAAAATTCAAATTATCTTTATAAATAATAAAATTCTTCTCCGAAATTAAACTATTTTCAAAATATTTAATATAAAATTCTTGCCAAAATTTCAATTTATTATTTTCAAAAATTTCCCTCAATTCAATAATTTTCCATAATTCTACGGTTTTAATAAAATTTTACAAAAGAATTCAATTGTTTTCAATACATTTCTTCTTAAGAATTCAATTCTTTTCAAAAAAAAAAAAAAAACATTTTCACAGGAATTTAATTATTTAAAAAAAAATTTAATAAAATTCTTCGTCAGATTTTAAATATTTGCAATTTTTTAATGAAATTTAATTATTTTCAAAAAGTTGTAAAAAATTCTGAGAAAATAAATTATTTAAAAAAATTTGAATAAAATTCTTCACAAGAAATTAATTATTATTTACATTATAAATAATAATATTTTTCTCCGGAATTCAATTATTTTCACAAATAAAATTCTTCACAGGAATTCAATACTTTAAACAAATTTTTAATTAAATTCGTTGCAAGAATTTAATTATTTTCATAAATAATAAAACTTATCGCAGAATTTCAATTATTTTTTATACAATTTTAAATAAAATGATAGAAAATTGCATTTATTTTTAAAATTTCGATAAAATCCTTCATAAAAATTCAGTTTTAAGAAATATTCAATTATTTAATAAATTACTTATTTTTGTATTAGAATAATTGAATTCTCGAAAAAATTTTTTAATAAAAATTGATTAAAAAATGAATTTACTAAAAAATTTTAAATTATAATTAAATATTAAAAGCATTATAGCGTGAATTTTTAGAGTTAATTGAATTTTGAAAAGGGTTCAAATTGAAATCTTTGAAAATTTGAATTTAAAGTTATTATTCTTATAATATATAAAATAATGATTTTATCACTCTGTCAAAAGGTTCGAATTTGAAAATCTTAATTCTTATAGAAAAATTTTAATGATTAAATATTTATTTAAAAAAGATGTTATTGATGAAATCGGATAATTTTACAGTTAAAGATATTCGTAAATAAATGTAATAGAACATAGTTTCTAATCATTTTTGGAGTGAATTAGAATATTCTTCAGGGTCAGGAAAAAAGTCAAAATTTTCTCTAGAATTCAGGGAAAAGTCCGGGAAAAACAAAATTAAATTTTTGTGGCAACCCTAAACTTATTTTGATTTTCATAATATTAATGAAAAATCTTTATAGATGTAAATTTAAAAATGAAAATTATGAAAATGTATGAAAATGTATTTATATTTTTAGCGTCATATATAAAAGCCTGCAAGAAATCAGATCCAGATATAAATAATTGTATAACACATACTATTGAAAGTTTGCGAGATAAGTTAGCGCAAGGAATACCAGAACTAGAGGCTCCTTCAATAGAACCGCTGCTCCTGAAGCAAATACGATTGCTGCGGGGACCTGTTGGTGCACGCTTGGACTTTAACTTAACAAATTTGATGGTATAAATTTCTAATAAACTATTAAATTAAAATACTTTTCATGTGAGTTATTCCTATCCTATCCTATCCTATCCTATCCTATCCTATCCTATCCTATCCTATCCTATCCTATCCTATCCTATCCTATCCTATCCTATCCTATCCTATCCTATCCTATCCTATCCTATCCTATCCTATCCTATCCTATCCTATCCTATCCTATCCTATCCTATCCTATCCTATCCTATCCTATCCTATCCTATCCTATCCAGTTGTTATTAAAAATGGAACTGTATGAAATATATAAATTAACATTCATGTTGATTTGCTTAGTAAAATTTAATACTTTCAGGTCAGCGGTCCATCTGCTTTCAAAATAAGAGACTTAAAGGCAGACGTAGATAATTTAAAATTTACATTTAAGGTCAGTTTTGATACACTTAGTTTTCACGGAAAATACCAAATTAATGCCAGAATTTTACTACTAAGACTTACTGGGAGCGGGGATATAAAAGGAAATTTCAGTAAGTATTTATTTAAGTGAATAAGTAACTCTTTAAACATTCATTCTTTAATTACATGTATAGACCTACATTATAACTTTCATCATTGTAAAGACAATTTAAAAATTTTAACTTTTATACATTAATATTAAATTTTATTTACAGCCGGATATGATTCAGATGTTATTCTTAAGGGTAATAAAGTTTATAAGGATAATGATGTCTATCTTTCTTTTGAAAAAATGAAATTAAGGATTAAAATTAATGGCGCCAAGGTTTATCTTGATAATTTATTTGGAGGAGATCCCGTTCTTGGTGAGTAATTTTTTATCTTGATTCAAGTTGATTTTTTAAGTTTTTGTTTACTTCTTTTCATTAAAAGACTAAAATTTTGTTAAATATTATGTTTTGTCAAATTGAAATTATTTTTGTTCTTTACTTCTAAAAAAAATTAGAAAAGAAATAAGAAATAGAAAATTTATTTATTTTCCATTATTTATTCTTTTTGAATCACAATTTTTTAAAGAAAATTATTATTTTATTTTAGAAAAAGAAGAAAAATATTTGCACAATTTATATTTTAATCTTATCTTTGAAACAGGATTTTCCACAGGAATTAAGACATTCAAAAATTCAAAATTCAAACCTTTTTTAAATTAAACAACTTATAAAAGTATTGATTATAAAACATGAAGATATCAATCGATTTCTTCATGTTTTCTAATAAATTAAAGATGACCGAGAGATAAAATCATTATTTTACAATATAAGAATATTGTTACTGTAACTTCATGAAAATTATTTTCATCATTTTAATTAAATTATTATTTTCTAGAATTTTAAATTATTTTTTATGAAAATAATAATTGAATTCCTTAAAAAATTTTATTATTTATGAAAATAATTGAATTCCTTGTGAAATTTTAATTATTTTATGAATACAATTAAATGTTTGCGCAGAATTTCAACAGAATTTTTAATAATTAAATTTTTTTGAATAGTTTTAGTAGATATTATAAAAATCATTGAATTGAGGAAAATTTTTGAAAATAATTGAAATTTTTGCCGAGAATTTTTTCAAAATTTTTTAAAATAATTGAATTGATTCGAAGAATTTTATCAAACTTTTTTAAAATAATTGAATTGTTGCAACGAATTTTATTAAAATTTTCAAAAATAAATGAATTCTTATGAAGAACTTTTATTAATTTTTTTGTTAAATAATTGAATTATTGCGAAAAAATTTATAAAACTTTTGCAAATGATTGAATTCTTGCAAAGAATTTCATCAAAAAATTTGATAATAATTGAATTTCTTCGAAGAATTTTATTGGTTATGAAAATAATTGAATTTAGGAAGAATTTTATTAAAATTTTGCATAATCTTAATTAAATTCTTTTGAAGAATTTCTTTGAGTTTCTTTAAAATAATGGACTTTCTTTAATCATTTTAATTACAAGTTTTCAAAGTAATTGAATTCTATATGAAAAATTTCTTTCAAGTTTTTATAATAATCCTCTTTCTTAATAATTGAAATTAAGCATTTAATTCTTGAATTTTATTAAAAATTTTTGGGAAATAATTGAATTTTTTTGAAAAATTTCTTTAATTCATTGAATACAATCGAATTTTTTAATAATTGTATTGAAAATAATTGAATACCTGAGAAGAATTTTATTATTTATGAAAAATACTTTAATTCTTGCGATGAATTTTAATAATATATTTCTTTTTAAATAATTGAATTCTTTTGTGAATTTTTATTGAAATATTAGATATTAAAAATAATTGAATTTTGATATTATTGAAATTAATTTAATTCTACGAAAAATTTAATTCAAATTATTTTTTAAAAAAATTGAATTGTTAATAATTATTTCATTAAAATCTTTGAAAATTAATTTTAATAAAAAATTTTAAAATAATTACATTTTTCGAGAAATTCCATTCACATTGTACCAAAAATAATTGAAATTCTACGATGATTTTTATTATTTATGAAAATAATTGAAAACCTACATATCTATAGAATTTTATTATTTATGAAAATAATTGAATTCCTGGTTAAAAAAATGTTATTCTTTATGAAAATAATAGAATTATGCGAAGAAATTTATAAAAAATTTGTAAATAATAGAATTCCTCTGAAATTTTTATTATTTAATTCATTCATTCAAAATTGTCATTTTCTAAAATTTCAAATTAAATTTTTTTTTAAATAATTGAATTCGTTTTGGGAAATATTTTATTAAAATCGTAGATATTGAAAACCATTAAAATTAGAAAAATTTCTGAAAATAATTTAACTTTGGAGAAGAATTTTGATATTTATAAAGATAATTGGGATTTTTATGAGAATTTTTTTCAAGATTTGAACATAGTTGAATTTAATAAGAAGAATTTTATTTTTTTTTAAAGAATTTTTGCAATTATTTTTAAATTCTACAAAATTGAATTTTTTTAGTATTTTTAACAAGAATTTAAATTTTCAAATTTTATTATTTTTAAAATTGCAAATTTTATTTAAAAAAGGTAGTAAGAAGTTAGCCGCGCGATTTGTTGCTAGTTAACTATAATTATTAATTTGAATGTTCTTTCATTCACTCATTCATTTTTTCTGTCCCTCACACTCTGAAGTTGTCTTTTGTTTATACTTTTGTTTTTTATTATCTTTAAATAGATTGTGTATTATATTATTACTAGCAAATGTTACGCGCAAAAAGTGATATTCAATTTATTATTGTTATGCAAATTACAAAATTTTTTATTTTCAAATATAAATTTTTTAAATAATTTCATAATCAAAATTTATAAAATTTACTTATTAAGTAAAAAATTAATTATTACTGTTCATATTTTCAAAAATTTTAATAAAATTTTACGAAAGAATTCAATTATTTTCTAAAATTTTAATAAATCCTTCTAACCAATAATTCAATTATTTTTTTAAATTGTAAAATCTTTACAAAAATTCAATGATTATCAAAACAATTTTAATCCTCGAAATCCTCGAAAAAATTTAATTATTTTCAAATATTTCTATATAAAATTCTTCATAACAATTTATTTCTTAAAATTTTAATAAGTTCTTCGAAACAAATTTAACTATTTTTATAAATACAAAAATTCTTTGCAGGAATTAAATTTATTTTAAATCAAATTTAAATAAAATCACATGAAAGAATTTAATTATTTTCAAAAATTTCCATAAAATTCAATTTCAACAAGAATTTAAAATTCTTTAAAAATAATTCAATTATTCTCAAAATATTTTTAAAAAATTCCATATAAAAATTAAATTACTTTCAATGCAATTTTTAAATACATTCGTAAAAAAAAATTGAAAGAATTCAATAATTTTCAAAAAATAATAAAATTCTTGTGATGAATTCAATTATTTTGAATATTATTTAATTTTAATAAAATTCTTTAAAGAAATTCCATTATTTTCGAAACAACTTTAATTGAATTTCTCGAAGAAATTTCTATAAAATTCTTCATGACAATTTAGTTATTTCTTAAAATTGTAAGAAATTCTTCGAAACATTTAAATTATTTTTCTAAATAGTATAATCCATTGAAGGAATTCAATTATTTTCAAAACAATTTTAATTGAATTCCTCGGATGAATTCAAATATTTTTAAATATTTCCATAAATTTCAATTATGTCCTAAAATTCTAATAAATTATTTGAAAAAATTCAATTATTTTTATAAATAGTAAAATTCTTCGCAAAAATTCAATTATTTTCAATTAACTTTTAAAAAAATTCTTCTTCATAAAATTCAATTGCTTTGAAAATTTTCAATTTAAATTATTAAAAAAACTCAATTAATTTAAAAAAAATTTTTTTAAATTCTTCAAAAGTATTTAATTAAGATTTTAAAAAATTTTAATAAAATTCTTTGCGAGAATTCAGTTATTTTCCTAAATAATAAAATTCTTTGAAGGAATTCTATATTATCATTAAATTTTTTGATAAAATTCTTTGCAACAATTCGATGATTTTCAATTAATATTAATTTTAAAATTAAAAATATTTGAAAAGAAAAATTTTATAAAAGTTCAGAAACAAAAAGTAAACAATACTTAACTTCAAACTGCGAACAGATTACCGGAACATGTACTTTATTATTATTAAATAATTAATTAATGTTATAATTATTTTTTTTAATTAATATTCAAAATTGTAATGACAAATAGAAATGATCAGAATTTTTTTACTTCTTTTCATTAAAAGGCTAAAATTTTGTTAAATATTATGTTTTGTCAAATTGAAATTATGGCAGATTTTTGTTCTTTACCTACTTCTAAACGAAATTAGAAAATTGTTAAAACTATTTTCATCATTTTAATTCAATTATCATTTTCTAGAATTTAAAATTCTTTTTTATGAAAATAATAATTGAATTATTCCTAACAAAAAAATTTGATTATTTATGAAAATAATAGAATTCGTGTAAAATTTTAATTATTTATGAAAATAATTAAATGTTTGTATACAATAATTTTATTAAAATAGTAGATATTGAAAATCATTGAAATTAGAAAAATGCATTTTATTTTTGAAAATAATTGAAATTAGGACAAGAATTTTTTTGACATTTATGAAAATAATTGAACTTTGGACAAGAATTTTGTTATTTATAAAGATAATTGGGATTTTTACGAGAATTTTTTTTTTATTTTGAACATAGTTTTACAAGAAGAATTTTATTGTTTTTTGAAAATAATTGAATTTCTGCAATTATTTGTAATTTCTCCAAAATTGAAAATATTGAATGTTTTTAGTGTTTGCAACAAAAATTTAATTTAGAAAATTTTTCAAATTCTATTATTTTTAAAATTACAAATTTTATTTAAAAAATGTAGTAAGAAGTTTTTGCTATTAATTTATTTACAACAAATAGAGAGAAAATCTTTAAAATGTCATACATGTTCCTTTAGTAATTTTTCGCGTAGAATCGAATGGCGCTATTAGTTTTTAAAATTTTATTCATTTTCTCCATTTGTTTATAATAATTTAAAAAAAAATTTTTTTTTTTAAATTTAATTTTCAGGTCCTGCGAGTAACGAAGTCTTGAACGCAAACAGTGGCCTGTTATTAGATGAAGTAAAGCCTGTACTGGAAACATCTCTAGCCGAACTTTTTACAGATGTAGCGAACAAAATAACGAAGTCATTTACTTACAAAGAATTGTTTCCTGATGACTAAAATCCAAAAATATACGCAGGATCTCTAATAGTCATTGCTGCTAGGCAACAAATATTTATAATAAAAGATATAATTATTTTTATTATGTTTGTTTCGTCGATAAAAATTTTAATGTACTTGTTATTTATTATTTTATTTATGTCATACAAATAAATTATCGTTAATAACTTAATTGAAACTGATCAATATTAGGTATATATATTTCAACGACTGTGAAACATTTTTCAAGATCAAAATCAACAACTATATAGTTTTAATTTTATTTCTATATATGTAAACCTGAAATAAAATTAAGACAGTGATTTATTACAAGTAGGAAGCAAAGAGAAATTTACTACAATTATTTTCAAACGATGTAATTAAAATTAGTTTATCTTGTGCTGCAAATTAATTAACACCTATTGAGACAATTTTTTACTGACACGAATGAAGGCAAATATCAAATTTACATATTCTGTGCTTTTATATGTTAAATACCCACGTGGTAGTTTCTATAAAAGGAAGTCAAAAAAATTAAGTTCTCATATATTTTGAACAAATAATCACTCCTTAATTTATTTTATTTTCACTTTAAAGTTAAAAATTGACATTAAATACAATGATATTTTTCCAAAAACTAACATGAGGATAACGGAAGAATCTTTTAAATTTAAAGAAGAGAATGAATATATTTACTCTCATCTTAAAAATATTAAATATTAAAGCCAAAGATATAAAGCAAAATGAAAGGACAAATTTCGTTTCCTGTTTAAATGAGGCTTATTTTAATTCTATTAGCGAAAAATATTCTACTATTCGATGACTTTTAAAAAATACCTATTTATGAATTGATTTTCAAGATTTTAAATATTTATTTCCCGTCTTAAAATTTAGTAAAGTATTATATTCATTATTATTATTATATGAAAAATTGTCAAATATAAATATTAATTTACAACCGCATAAAAAATTTTTTTTATTTATGAAAATAATTGAATCCATTAAAAAAAATTTTAAATTTATGAAAACAAAATTGAATAATTGTTGCGAAGAAATTTATAAAAACACTAAAATAATTTAATTTTGACGAGAAGTTAGAAATGATAGCAAAAATTCAATTATTCTCAAAAATAATAAAATTTTTCGCAAAAATTTAATTATGCTCAAAAATTTTTTTTTTTAATCTCCTTAAAATTTTAATTATTGTTATAAATAATAAACTTCTTATCCAAATTTCAATTATTATTTTCAAAAATTTTAATTGTTTTCAAAAAATTTCCTCAATTCAATGATTTTCAATATTTACCATTTTAATAAAATTTTCCAATAGAATTCAATTATTTTTATAAATAACAATATTGTTTATGTAGAAAATCGATTGATTTTTAAAAATTTTAATAAAATTCCTGTCAAAAATTTATAAATATTCATAAATAATTGAATTTTTCGCAAAAAGTCAATTATTCTGAAAAATTTTATTAAAATTCTTTGAGTGAATTGAATTATTTTTATTTTTAATAGAGTTTCAATAAAATTCTTCGAAGAATGTAATTATTCTTAAAAATGTTAGGTATATTAAAATTCGTCGAAAGAATTCAATTATTTAAAAGTATGTTAATAAAATTTTTTATGAGAATTCAATTATTTAAGAAACATTTAATAAATAAATTATTTCTTTTTGTATTTAAATATTAAAATGTGTGGCTAGTTCATCGAATAAATTTAGAATATTGTTTAAATAATTATAGTGTTATAACCAACCCCAAACACGGGGCAAGTTGTAACAACTGTTTTTTTCGCAAAACTTCTTTTTAAAAAAAAAATAGGTTTTTAAATATTTTTCTAAATGCTCTTTCGCTCCATTTTATTACAGAAAAGAATAATTTATCTAGTCTAATAATTAATCTTTATAAACATATTTTCAAATTTCGTTTTTAAAGAAGAATTTTTTTAATTCTCTTTTTAAAGAGAATTAAAGACTTCACACTCGTTAATTAATTTTAAAAAAATAGCAGAAAGTAGCTTTAAAACTAAAAAAAGTAGCTATCAAAAAATTAAACTTGGCGACCAAAAAAACTTGTTTTAGACACTTTACAAAACTGACCATAATTCCAATAGCTATATTTTATTTTCCTGACTTTTTCCCAATTCATGAGAGAATTTAAATATTTATAAAATTAACTTAATTATTGCGAAGAATTTTATAAAAAATTTTAAATAATCGATTTCTTTCAACTAACTTTATGCAAATTCTAATTTAAATAATTGAATTCCTGACAAATTTTTATTATTCATAAAAAGAATTGAATTCTTAGGAAGAATTTTATAAAAAATTTTTTAAATAATTGAATTCTGTTTAAAAATTTCAGGAAAATAGTAGATATTGAAAATCATTGAATTGAGAAAAGTTTTTAAAAATAATTAAATTTTACAAAGAATTCAACTATTAAATTTTTTGACAATAATTGAATGTCTGTGTGACATTTTATTAAATTTTTTTAAAAATAATTGAATTTACAAGAAGAAATTTATTACTTTTAAAAATAATTGAATTTATTTTTGTGATGAATATTGTTATTTATGAAAGTAATTGAATTTTGCAAAGAATTTTATCAAAATGCCTCAAAATAATTATCAATTTTTGGAAATAATTTTGTTATTTATCAATATAATTGAATTCTTTTGCAGAATTATTTATGTAAATAATTGAATTCTTGGGAAGAATTTTATTAAAATTAATTTCTTTCAAACAATTTTATTTACAATATTTAATGATTTAAAATAATATATAAAATAATTAATTTATTTCGAAATATTTTATTAAATTATCTGAAAACAATTGAATGCCTGTGAAAAATTCTAACATTTTTGTAAATAATTGATTTTTCGAGGAATTGAAATTAAATTTTTAATAATAATTACAATTTTTAATTAATAATATAATTGATTTAAGGAAGAAAGAATTAAATAAATTTAATAAAAAATTACATTTTTTGATATATATTTCTGTAAAATTAAATTAAAAATAATTGAAATCCTGCAATGAATTTTATTATTTATGATTATAATTGTTAAGTTGCAAAGAATTTTATTAAAATTTTCAAAAAATAATTGTATTCCTAACAATAATTTTATTATTTACAAAAAGAATTGAATTCTTACGAAGTTTTATGCAAACATTTTTTTAAATAATTGAATGTCTGTGTGGCATTTTATTAAATTTTTTGGAAAAAATTGAATTCCTAAAAAACATTTTATTATTTATGAAAATAATAAATTGAATTTTTGCTAACGATTTTATTAAAAGTTTTTATAGTAATTGAATTTTCTAATAAAAAATTTATTATACTTTTAAAAGTAATTGAATTCTTGTGTTGAATAATGTTATTAATGAAAATAATTGAAGTTTACAAAGAATTTTATTAAAAATGCCTTAAAATAAATGAATTTTCAGAAATAATTTTGTTATTTTCCGAACATAATTGAATTCTTCCGAAGAATTATTTATGTAAATAATTGAATTCTTAAAAAGAATTTTTTTAAAATCTAAAGGAATAATTGAATGATTTCAAAAATATTTAATTAAAATTATATTTGAAATAATTGATTTTTTTCGAAAAATTTTATTAAAATATTTGAAAATAATAGAATTTCTTAGAAAAATTCTACTAAATTTTTGTATATAATTGAATTCTTGCAAAGAATATTAAAAAAACATTTTTTTAAATAATTGATTTTTTTGAGGAATTGAAATTAAATTTTTAATTGAATAATTACATTTTTTGAGCAATTCTTCTAATATTGCATTTTCATAAAAAATGTTATTATTAGTAAAAGTAATTGAATTATTGTGAAGTATTGTATACAAATTTCGTAAAATAATTGGTTTTTTCGAAATTTTTTAAAAATGCTAATTAATTGAATTCTTGTGGAAATTTTATTATTTATGAAAATAATTGACTTTTGGATGAATTTTATCAATTTTTTTTAAAATAATTGAATTCCTTTGCGAAATTTTATGAAAATAATAAATATTGTAAATAATTGTATTTTGAATATTTTTCGAAAATAATTGAATCGTTTTAAAGAATTTGATTATAATTTTTGAGAATAGTTTTTTTATTTCCAGTATTAGCGAATTTAAAGCAGTGGAAATTCTAAAAAAAACAGAAATAGTAGCTTTTAGTGTTTGAAATATAAAAAAATACCCAAATAGTAGCATATAAACTGTAAACTAAAAATAAAAATTTTTTAAATTTATAATACCACCAATTCGAGAATTGAAATTCATTAGTTACTTAATTTACATAAGTGGGCGTATCCAGAATTTTAGAGAATGCTGTAATACGCTTCTCTACCTCTACTCCGGAACACTTTTTTTGGCTGGGGCAATGTCAAGGTACTTTAAATTGAAGCTCCTTCTCTTGAAACCGGTTACTCAGCGCGTTGAACTTCTTTGAAACTTGTTTAACGGTGATCGTTTTTGTGAGAATTATTAATACACAAATTACAAGAACAACAAACAGTAAAATGCTTAGGAGAACATTAATAATTATTTATTTAAACATAGTGGTGTTTAATTTAAATGTGCAAGCTATCGGAAAATATAAAGGCTTAGAATTTCTTGAACCGTGCTCCAAAAGTGATCCTAGATTTCAAACCTGTTTAATACAATCATCTAATGAACTCATACGACAATTTCGAAAAGGTAAGAATTATTATTCAATTTTTAATTATTATTTTTACTTTTCCTCTTAATGTTTAAGGGAGGAAATTTCTTTTCAAAACTAAGTTAAGTTTTTGGTTATAAATTTAAAAAATACTAGAACAAATTTTCAACTTTTTAATTGTAGTGAAATTTTAGTGTAAATTGAAGAACTGTTTATAAATTTCTCAAAGATAAAAGTTTAGTCGAATTATAAATAATAATAATTTTTTGAAAATTGCATTCGTTAAGAAATAAGTGTGACATATTTATTATCATAAAACTAGATTTAAGAAGTTAATGTCAGTGATATTAAAACATTTGATATTCATTTTTAAAAATCATAAATGAAATTTTTCAGCGTTTTTATGCAAAAAAAATAAAAAGGGAACAACAAATTTTTTTTCGTGTTTATTAGTTTCAGTCAATTCAAAGTGACAAACTGACTTTCGCTTCAGGCTAAATGATTCTGGTCACGCGACATCATTGTGCTACGTATATTAAATCAAACAGTTAGAAAAGGGAACAGAATTTAGTTTTAAAGAATTTTTAAATCTGAAAAATTCAAAGAAATACAATAATTAAATATTTAGAAAACTTTTTTAATTTAGAAAAATTATTGTGAATAGAATGAAAATTAAATTAAAAAAGGAACGATGATAAATAAGCATGAATATATTTGCTAAATTTAAATAATATAACAAAGAAAAACAAATTTGGGTCAACTTTTGCATATGGACAAGTAAGAACGTTTTTTAAGTATTTTTTTCACGCTGAATTCGAATCTGTCGTTAGATTTTTGCTAACACAACAAATTTCAAAATGTCGGATCCAAAATGGCGGAAAAAATTGAAAATCACTAATATTTGCATAAAACACGTTACTCGGGGTTGCTGATTACGAATAAGAAGTTAGATTTTAAAAAATAAAAATGGCGGATCCAATATGGCGGACGAAAGTAGAAAAAATCAATTTCATTAGCTTGAAACTTATTACTAGGAACTTTTTAAGTCACTGATGACGAATATGAAGTCATATTTTTTCAAATTGAAAATAGAAGAAATTTTTTTAAGAAATAATTTGATTAGTTTTGGTCCGTCATATTTGATTCAGCTTTTAAAATTTTAAAAATTTTTAAATGTAACTTCAGATTTCTAAATTAGAAAGTAAAAAAACACTCGAGTAAGAAATTGGAAGCAAATCCGTTTGATTTTTAATTTTTATCCGCCATATCGGATCCGCCATTTTTAATTTTTTAAATCTGACTTCAAATTCGTAATCAGCAACCCCAAAAACCCCCGACTACTAAGTTTCAAGCAAATCCGTCAGACTTTTAATATTTTCGTCCGCCATATTGCAACCGCCATTTTGATTTTTTCAAATCTCACTTCAAATTCGTAATCAGCGACCCCGAAAACCTTTAATTAAAATACGACTGTTTTTTTGCTAACAAAAAGCCATATATTTCGATTTTGAGTAACAATTGTTTAAAGTATCAAAAAATTAAAATTACAATTGTCGAATTTAGCGTTCGAATTATAGAAATTGATAAATGAACAAAGTACAACTGGCGTTTTTTAATAAAAGTAAAATTTTTTAGTTGTCTTTTAATTCTTCTAATTTTAGTAATAGATTTTCATATACACTTTACATCAAATTGTTTTCAAGGTCTCTGATCAGGAATACGAAGTGAGATTACAAAAATACAAAATGTTGGATTCAATATGGCGGCCAAAATTCAATTTGGTAAAGAAAATTATCAAAATCTAATTGAATTTACTTGAAAATTGTTTCTAGAGTGTTTTTGTGATCGCTGAATACTAACCAAAAGTCAGATTTATATTGTACAAATATTTATATTGAAAATAACTTTTGTAAATCAAGGTAACATAAAAACAAAATTATAATTTACAAGAATCCACAGCACAATTCAGAAACAGACGAATCCAATCCATATTTCAGAAAAGTTATCCGCCATATTGGATCCGCCATATTGAATTTTTAAAGTTTGCTTCCGGTTTTGTATTCAGCGACCCAAAAAAAACCCCGAGTAACAATTTTCAAGTAAATCTAATTAATTTTATTTATATTGGATCCGCCACATTGAATTTTGAAAAACCAACAGTCGATTTATGATTAGCGACCAAAAAAACCTTCAGTAAATTTTCGGTGTTGTGTAGGTCACTATTAAACACGTGACCACCTTAAGCTATAAGTTGAATGACATCGTTGCGCACTATTCTCTTCATGTTGAAAAGAAAATATGTTTTTGAAATTTGTTACACAAGTCATTAAATGTTATTTTTTTATGTACCAGGCTTACCTCAGTTAGGATATCCAGAAGTTGAGCCCATTATTTTGGATCAAATAGACATTGCAATAGGAGAATCTCCAAATAACTACAGAGCACAATTCAAAGAAGTAACAGCAAAAGGTGTTTCATCATTGCGAGTTGCAAGTCTGCGATCAAACATAAGCGACAGTGAAGTACTTCTACAAGTTTTCTTAGACATTCCAAAGATTAGAGCTGTTGCTAAATACCGATCAAGTGGTACTTTAGTTTTAGTTCAAGCCAGTGGAGCTGGTGATTACTGGGGTGAATATGGTGAGTTTAATAGAGTTTATTAATAAATTATATTGTAAGGATTATACCATATAAAGTATCCATAAATTAAAACTTCAAAATCGTTTTAATTCCAATTCTCTAGTAATTGTCTGGAAACTTTCCGCGGACTCCTGTCTCTCCAGAATGTCCGCAGGAAGTCTGATGGTTCAAAGATTCAAAAATTATTGAATAGCATTTACTCCCATTCCTGATGGAAAATTATAGGGACCAATACGACTGCAACTTACTGCTTCTCCATTTCATTAGGCACTAGTCTTTTTTGCATTATGGGCATCGACTATCTTGGTTAAATATAAAAGAATTTGATGTTTGCAGAAGTTTTTCACTAATAGTAGTCCATGACCCGTAAGCGGACGAATTACCCTGATCTAATCAGATTATCCGAACTTGAACTGGATGTTGGATGATGAACTGGATGACCGATACGGAAAGTAGGTACTTAGGTTAACCCTCTGCTGATGCTAACTTATCCCTATTCTATCGCCAAAGAACGTTATACTCCCATAGACCCCACCAGGCGTCCAGAATGACGATTTCTGATGATAAGGGTCGTTAGCATCAGCAGAGAGTTAATTAGAGAGTTACCCATTGTACCAAACTCCAGCTCGCTTGTTTACTGCTACTCATTTAGAGTCCTGCTTTTTTCTAGAAGTCCAGTATCTCTTCAATCGATATAAGTTGACAACTTGTTCAGGGTCAATGATGGCTTGGCACTATCTAGAATGTCTGATCCTAGCTAACGCTGGGCATTCAGATAAAATGTGAGTCGAAGTTTCGTTACTTTCCCCACACAGTCTGCACATAGGTGAAAGTTGCCTGCCTATTTTATGCTGATGGTAGTTCAATAGTCCATGACCCGTAAGTAGACGAACTACGGTTCTAACTCTGATCTTATCGAGTTTTAGGAGATCGCTCGCTCGCCTCTTGTTGAGTACTAGCCCCAACAGAGTTTTCGCTTGCCTTCCCACCCTAATGCCCGGCCAATACTTCTCATGTTCCTTTTGACCCCATCTTTCTATGGATCCTTTAACCAAGCAGTGGCATTATTGTCACTGCTGGTTCAGGACCTAACATTGTCATCTCGGAATCAATTTTGTCAAGACGTCTACTCTTTCATTTTCCTTAATTCCCGAGTGACCCACTACCTAGATCAATGAAAGTTTATTTACTAAACCCAACTCATCCAGTACGCTACGGTATTCCCAGACGAGTTTCGACTCTATTGTGGGATTTTTCAGAGCCCCTAGGGTCGCCTGACTATTCACACAAATACTACCTTTTGCCCTTTCTTCCTTTTCGAATAGACATTTGAGCGCAAGTTAAAATCGCACAGACTTCAGCCTGCCAGACCATGGCATATTGTCCCAATGACTCAGCCTCTATAATACAGTTAGTTTTTCGGTAAATCCCAAAGTCAGTACTGCAGTCCATCTTGGAGCCGTCCGCATACCACACTTCGTTTCCAAGTTGAAAACCCTTCGTTCAGTCCATTCTGGATGGTATAATGATCTCAATGGAAAGGCTTTAATTTCACACTCTTGATGATTCTATCTTGCACTATAGTTAATTCTAGGATGGATAGAATTGAACGTGGAAGCTTGGTGTGTTAACCATAAAACTTCCAGTTTCCTTGCGCAGTTAGCAACAATGTAGACCGGAGCGAAAACTAAAAGAGTTTTCGAATCGTAATTTTTTTTATTTGCAAAATTATCAAACCCACGGTTAGAAAACCATTAAAGGGTATTACATTGTAGTATATAAAGAAAATCTGTCATTTTAAATTTAGTTAATAAAATATTAAATATATCAAAATCTATATCGCTGTGAATACACATAGTGTTAATCTGATCACACATTTGGTACATTAGTGCTGAAAAACCTATTGTGGATCGTGGAGTTGACAAAGCGAAAGGTTGGTTGAGTCTAGAGGACAGTCTAGGTATTTTAAATTTTATTAAAGATATAACAAATAAGCGGAGTCAATGGAATAGTTAATTAATTTATAAATGGTTATACATTGATTTATAAAACCTCTTTCAGCTAAAGTAAGAAAATTAAAATTATTACATAATATGAGGTAATCGGAACCTTGCAGCGGATAACAACCAGTTCTTCGAAAGGTCAAGAACTTCAGAAATCCTTTTTGAATTTTTTCAAGCGTAGTTATGTATAAAGGTTATGGTCAACACTGTCGAAAGCCTTTGAAAAATCAGTATAAATAACATCCAGCTGATCTCCCCCAGCAATGGCCTCACTAATATGTTGAGTTATGCTAAACAAGTTAGAAATAGTAGATCTTCTATCAATACAGTCATGCATGCTGTTGGTGAGCAACCATGGAATTAAAAGGAAAAGATATGTGGTTAATAATAGACTTCTCAAAGATCTTCGCAAAGTTTGTTATTATTGAGATTGGTCTATAATTTTTTATGAGTGATTTGTCACCTGATTTGAAAACTGGTACGATTTTAGTGAATTTCCAAGCATGGGGAAACTCACCAGTGGATAACATTTTGTTGTAAAGATAACATAGTGGTTCATGTAATATGGTAGAACATGACCTAAGAAAAAAACTTGGAATATCATCCATGCCAGACGTATTTTTTGTATTTAAGGATTTCATGGCATTAGATACTTCGGACGAATGTAGCTGGAAATTGTCAGTAGGATAAGTATTTAGGGTTCATTGTTTTAACTGGAACGTGCGTATCATCTCGACTCGATTTAACTTGTTCCTTTAACTTGCTGATCGATTTAACCTGCCGCATCGTCGATTTTCAACACACAATACATTCTGGCTGTTGTCTATGACAAAAAGACAATTAATTAAGAAGTAATTGAAGGTTTTTTATCCCGAGGCTTCTGGACAGCATGATGTAACCCACACGGTCTTATTTTACCTGACCTATATTTGGCACTTGACATAGTTTAAGTCATGCCAGAATAAGTCTAGGAAAGACAGTAGCGGTTTAAAAAAGACTGTGTTGAAATATTTGTTGAAAAGTCTAATAAACTTTTTGACATTGCCTTTTGTAAATGCCCTATTGACCCAACTAAACCGGAGGGATAAGGCTCAAAGAAAGTTCTTGCAATTTAGTTTTCGCTCTGGCTTAATGTGCACAGGTTCTTCAGCTAGTATGAATCCCAATGCTAGGACTAATTTTTCTTATATTATTATAGATGGAGTTGGTGCTAAAGTTTTTATACGAGCAAAACTTTTCAACGTCCAAAACAGACAGTATCTTAAGCTTCAGCAATTGAAAATGGATTTCAGTGTAAGGGACATTAAAATGGGAGTAAATAATATACACGAAGGAAGTAATATTCTCCGTAAGTATATTCAACCTTAGCAAAAAATGTGTATTATATTTAAAATTTAATTACTTATTTACTCGTTAAAGATTTACCGCACTAACATATTTTAACAAAAAATATTTGATTATTATAATTTTCTTTTGCAGAAGCTGCTTTAAATTTATTTATAAACAGCTACAGTCAAGAATTATTAAAAAAAATGAAACCAGACATAAGACGTAAGCTTGTTCATGTAATGACTAATTTTGTTGAGAATCTCTTTTCACAAGTGCCATACGATGCTTGGATAACAGACTAAATATTACTAGTGACTAAATAATATTAGTCATAAATTTGACAAGTCTGCTTTAAATTTTCAAATAATAATGTGTATGAAATAATTTTAAAAGAAGCATAGCAAAATGAAAAGTACTGTTTATGTGGTATTTAATATTTAAAATGATATTTTATATTATAGTAAATTATAATGTAGTTATTTAAAAGCCTACTTTTAAGAAAATAAAATATTTATTTAATTTAAATATTAACTGAATTGTTTCACTTACCTTTATTGCAGTTTTAATTATCGCCATTTAGATATTCATTAAGTTGTCCTAGGACTACAAATTTTCTTATTTCGAGTATTCTGTCCATCACTTTTTGGAATTCTTCTTCATGGTAAGGTAAAAAGTGAATCTTCTGACTACCTTTCTCAAATAGTTTAAGTTAGCAAAGGGGATCAATTGCTTTCTTAATATTTCATTTAATGAGAATTAACGTTAACTTTACATTACACTGAACATAATATTATGAGTTTTACAAAAATACAAAGTCTGATTGCACAAGAATTTTCCTATCCATTTTATTTTTAGATTTATCATTTTTATTAAAACATCGAATTAAAGAATTTTTCATGAAAATTTTACTTATATATATATATATTTTTCCATTCGATTGTATATTATAATATGCTGATCGGAATTCCTATGAGAAATGTTAATGTATTTTTGAAATACACTTTTATAGTAAAAAATCATTTTGTTGGATGTGTATATAGTAATTATAGATAGTACATTAATTATCCGGGAAGAGTTGTTTAAATGTGAACGGCCTGACTATACTGTTTGATATTTCAAGAAGGGCTTCGGATAATGCTTTTTCAATTAGTGGTTGTAACTCTCTTATAAATGATTCAAAATTGTTGTTGATTGCATTATTAACAACTTCACCAAGCATTGGATCACCGCCAAAAAGATTGTCAAGCTCAATATTTCCTTTACTAATTGACACCTTTAGACGAAATTCAGATATTCTAATGTGATCTAAACCAGTTGTTGGATTTGTATAAAGGTTTGTTTTAATTCTAACAACTGCACCAACATCCGTAACATTAACCCTCATTGGTCCTACCCCATGAATAGGAAGTAATAAAATTCGACCATTTATATTATATTGTCCTTCAATTTGTAAACGCGGTAGTTCCAAATCGACGCCTATTCGAAATTCATTTGTGTCTACCCTGTAATAAAAAAATAAACAATTAATTTTTACGATATATCATGGGATGAATTCTAGACTAATAATTGTTGTTGTAGTTGAACCGTCATTATTTAATTGTTTAATTATTTAATAAACATCTTTAACCATAACAACCCCTCTTGAATAATTAAACAATTAAATAATGACGGTTCAACTACAACAATAACATTAATTATGTTGTCGTGGATCTTTTAATAAACTTATAGATTCATGTAATAAAAGTCTGTAATCTTTCAATGTAGTGAATTGAGAAAAAAACAGTTTCAGAATATGCTATATGATTATTGGAGGCTACTTATCGATAGATAATGATTATGCATTGTAACAATACCGCGGATAATTTTTTTAATACCTTTGAAATTATATTGGAGTGCAGCGGAAGTATGCATCTAATATAAAGTTAGACACTGAAGAAGTGACAGTATTTAAGATGAAATTGATATCTTGTAATGTACAACACTAATTTTACACTCTTCATTCGCTTTACTACGCCTAATGTTATTAACGAGTACTGAAATTTAAAACATTTTTCAAAAGCGAACAATTTTTTTTTTTTGAAATTTTGAATACTTATTTAATTACCAAATGTACTAAAATTTGACATTTTATATCGCGTCCAAAAAATTTTTCGGATTAACTCAACACTTGTTACTCGGCAGGATTTTGGGATTTCTAATTAAGAATTCAGGGCTCGAAGCAGTTAAAGCATTTAAAAATACGGACTTTACGGACCAAAAATTAAAATTTACGGACCAATAACTGACTATAAATAGAATCAGGCCAAATCAAATAAGAGAATATTTTACTTAAAACTAGAAATTCAATTTTTCATAACTATAAAACATGAAGAAATTGATAACTCCAAGTCTTCGACTCGAAGTCATCGATTTCTTCATGTTTTATAATAATTAATAATAATTATTAATAAAAATAATTTATAATAAGTAAAATCATTATCAATTCAATTATTATTTTTAAGAATTTAAAACTAAAATTCTTCGATTATTTTTTTAAATTTTCGAAAAAGTTCTTTAACAGTTTTCAAATTCATATCTTTACAATATTCAATTTTACGAAATTTCAATTATTCGTAAATTCTTTATTTAAATAAATATTAGAAAATAGAAACCAAAAATAATATTTAAAAAAACTCAATTAAACTTTTTAAAAAAAATTAATTACAAAATTCAATTATTTTTTAAAATTCACGCTCTATTGCATTTAATATTCAATTATTATCTAAAATTTTAACTGAAATTCATTTTTATGAAATGAAAATCAATTTTTATTAGAAAATTCTACTAGAATTCAATTATTTAAATACAAATTTAAATGTAAAAATGCAAATAAATAATTTATTGAATAATTGAACGTTTCTAAAAATTCAATTCCCATAAAAAATCGTTATCAACAAATTTTCAAATAATTGAATTCTATCAACGAATTTTAATAAAGTTTTTAAGAATAATTACATTTTTCGAGAAATTCGATTAAAATTGTATTAAAAATAAATAAAATAATTGAAATTCTGCATTGAATTTTATTATTTATGAAAATAATTGAATTCTTGCGAAGAATTTTATTAAAATTTTCAAAAATAATTAAATTCTTGTAAAAAAATTAACAGGAATTCAATTATTTTTAAAAATTTTAATGAAATTCTTGGCATAAATTAAAAATAACAAAAATTCTTAGCAGATCTTCAATTACTTTCAGAAATTTTAATAAAATTTTTTTCAAGAATATAAATATTTTCGTAAAATAATAAAAATCTTTGCAGAGATTCAATTATTTTCAAAAGTCTTAATAAAATTCTTCGCAAGAATTCATTAATTTTCAAAAATATCAGCATTTTAGCAGAAATTCAAACATTTTAAAAAGTTTTGATAAAACTTTTTTTGGTAGAAATTCAAGACAATTTTAAAAACATGTCTCCATAAACTTCAATTATTTTTAAAATTTTAATGAAATTCTTCGAAAGAATTCAATTATTATAATCTAAGATTTTAACTGAAATCTATTTTTAAATCAATGTTTATAAGAAAATTTTACCAGAATTCAATTATTTAAATACAAAAATAAATAATTTATTGAATAATTAACTGTTTCTTGGAATTCAATTCCTATTAAAAATTTTATCAACAAATTTTTAAATAATTAAATTCTTTGGACGAATTTTAATAAAATTTTTAAGAATTTTTTCGAGGAATTTGATTAAAATTCTATTGAAAATAATTGAATTCCTAAAAAGAATTTTATTATTTACAAAAATAATTGAATCCTCGTAAAAAATTTATTATTTATGAAAATAGTTGAATGATTGCAAAGAAATTTATAAAAAAAAATTTGTTATTAATGAAATTCTAGTAAAATTTTTATTATGTTTTGAAAATAATTAAAAGTTTTTGTAGAATTTCATTAAATTTTTTTTTTAAATAATTAAATTCTTTTGGTAAATTTTATGAAAATAGTAGATATTGAACAATATTTAATTTCTGCGAATAATATTATTACTTTTGAAAATAATTGAAATTTTGCAATGGATTTTATTAAAATTTTTGAAAATAATTGAATTTCGGAGAAGAATTTTAATATTTCTAAAGATAATTGAAATTTTGACGAGAATTGTTAAAAAATGTTGAACATAATTGAATTTCTGCGAAGAATTTTATTACTTTTGAAAATAATTGAAATTTTGCAATGGATTTTATTAAAATTTTTGAAAATAATTGAATTTTATTACTTTAGAAAATAATTGAATTCGTGTGATAAATATTGTTAATTATGAAAATAATTGAAATTTTGTAATGAATTTTAATAAAATTTTTGAAAATAATTTAATTTTGCTATTAATTTATATAAAGATAATTGAAATGTTGACAATGTTTTTTTCAGATTTTTTGAAAATAATTGAATTTCTGAGAAGAATTTTAATATTTCTAAAGATAATTGAAATTTTGACGAGAATTGTTAAAAATTTTTGAACATATTTGAATTTTGGCGAAGAATTTTATTAATTTTAAAAATATTTGAATTTCTGCAATCATTTGTAATTTCTCTAAAATTCTCAAAATTATATCGTACAATTTACGAATTTTTCATCCTTTTTGAATGAAATTACGGACTTTACGGACCTTTTTTCAAAAAAACGGACTTTTACGGACTTTTTAGGATTCACGGACCTACTTCAAGTCCTGAGAATTCGATGTCGTTTTTTAAAAATTCGAAATGTCGGATCCAAGATGGCGGATTATTGAATTATGTCGTACTACTTACTTTAATTTTTTGATCTTGAATCCACTTGCTCCAAATACTTTGACATTTTTAGCAGCTATTTTCAGACCGGTACCCTGAGAAGCTGACAACTCTTTTAAAAAAAGTGGCTCTAAACTTGGAATATTGTATTCTGGAACTCCCGTCTTCATATATGGTAAGAGGGCTTCCACACTTTTTTTCACACACAACTCAAAGTGAGGATCATTTCTTTTGCATATCTTTAAAAATTCCGCTGAAAATGTAGTAAAATATTCGTTATTTATTTAGTTATTTAACAATATTCAGTTTATTTCTATTTGGGGTACTACTCTTAAGCTAATCTCCAAACTTAGTCTATTATATTTTTTTTGTACAATTTGTTTGTATTTTTGCATAAAAAATAAAATTTTAAATTTAATCACTTTCTAATGACACACGAAACTTGCAATTAAATATACATTTATGTAATTGTAATAAGTCTTCTATAAAATTTGACAATTATAAGAAAAAAAGTATTAACAATTCCGAATTACTCATCCCAGTAGTAATTGAAACTATACCTCTACAATTATAACCACATTAGAAATTAATATTCGGTAAAATTAATCCAGGAGGGAATCCTGCAAAAACTCTCGCAATTACTGAAATTTTTTTCTGAAAACATATTTCAAGCTCACCGAAAATTATTATATGGATGATTCCTATTCATGAAAATAAACTGCAGAATCATTTTTTTTTCAAAATACATACTAGCTTTTAATGTTATTCTTCATAATTAATGATTAATTGTCAAAAATAAATTTTATAAAGCAATTTGCCGATTTTAATTATGGTGTGCGAGTAAATTAAAAAAAAAAAGATGTCGGACATCCGTTAACCATACGAAGGTGACTCTTAAAAATTTTAATGCTGAAATTATTCAAATTTTATAAATGCGTGACTGTCATATAAAGTTTCACCTTCAAACAAATACAAAGTTTGCATTGAGAAAGTGAAATTTTACGATTCATTAGAATATAATTAAATTTTACTAAGTTAGTATTTTGTACAATTATTTTTTAATGTTTTTTGCTAAGTTTTTGCGTCTCTAATTCTTTCCATCAGAATTTTTTTTTACTGACACAACTAAATAATTACAAAAATAAGGAAAAGATTGAACGAAATATATCAAATTGAAAAGTTGCTTAAAATTAAAAATTTTCTAGATCTTACTATAATTACGTTCAAAAATAAAATAATTGGACAAAATAAATTTAGAGTACGTATCAGAATTAATGATTTAAAGATTCAACGTAAAAGGTTCCATACATACTCAATGTTATTCTCAATGTCAAGTAGTATCAAGAATACATAATTGAAAATTGACAAAAATACTAGCGAATTCAATAACAAGTGAGTAATTGTTTATTATATTTACGTAGGGGGGGGGGGGGCAATTTTTATAAGAACCTAAAAAAATCATAAATTTGCAGTCTATCTAAAAGTGTCCAAAAATGTCCAAAAATGTCCAAAAATGTCCACAAATTTTACATGAATATTAATTAATGTAAAAAGTATATTTTTTAAATATTCGATTATTTCTTTTTGAAAACACGATCTAAGGATATGAAAAAATATTTTTTTTTTTACTTTTCTCGTTATTTTTGAAATTTTTTCCCCAAAACCAATTTAGCAAAAAAAAGAAAATTGTAGCATTAATGCTAAGAGAATATGTTGACTATAAATTAGGTCCAAGAAAGTAGTTATTTTCATAATAATTTTTAATTTAAAAAAAATGTAAATTGAAAATACTTTTTTGGTATTTTATTAATTAATAAAATTTTTGTGTGTTTAGAGCTAATTTCGATAGATTTGTTAATTTTTACGATTTATACGTATATTACAGTTGAATTTTTTTTTAAAACGAAAATTCAAAAATTTATTTTCAAAACAATGTATGTGTACATTCACATTATGTAATAACTCGAAAATCAAAAGATGTTACGATCACCGAAGAATTATAAAATTGTATGTCTCGTAGCAGGACATGAGACATCAACACAAGGCAATTATTCAATTTTAACGGTTTTTATTTACGCCTGAAAAATTAATAGAAGAATTGTTTTTTCAATTGTCTGTCACTGATAAAAAATTTTTTTTCCTAAATTCGTACTCTTAAATTTTTGATACTTGAAGAAGAGATCTAAGTAAATAAAAAGGAAAAAAAATTAAAAGGAATTATCGTTTTTTTTATTTTTTTTTCACTTTTTTCCAAAATACTTTGATAATTTATTTAACATTAAATTGAAATATAAATTATTTATTTTATTAGTACATTTTTTAATATTTATTAATAATTTATTAATATTTATTAATATTTATTAATAAACATAATAATAAATTATTAAATTAAATTCATTATAATTTTTATTTCTTTTTAATAAATACTTAATTAACTATTTACTTCGACACTACGAAGACCTTTACTGAACTCTAACTCCTAAGATGCCAACCTTGATATTGTATCCTTCTTCATGAGTTACATAAGTAACTTTAAAAATTAAGGAGTACTAATTGTACAAAAGGACTAGTCGCATTTATTTTTGAAAATAAATAAATAAATAAAATATTGATACTTAATAATATATATTTATTTATTTATTTAATAACAAACAAATAAAAAATAAAGAAAATATAAATAAAATATATTATTTATATATTATATAAAATAATATAATTTTTATATTAAAAATATATTATTTATATATTATATAAAATAATACTATTTTTATATTTAAAATATATTATTTATATATTATATAAAATAATATTATTTTATATTTAAAATAACATGATTTTTATATTATTTTACAAATTATTTTTATAAATTAGGTAATAATATAATATTTAGTTGCCAAATGAACACACAGTATATTTATTTGAAAATTTAAATTTTAATAATCAATCATTAATTATTTTGATTGTGTGAAATTTTTTTTATACATGTTAAAAAAGTTTAAATTCTTCATATTTCTAAATTTTATAAATTTATTTCAAAATTTATTTTTTGTATTACTGAAGAATTTTTATTAGGAAATTATAAGTACTTATTATTAAAAATATTTAGTAGTAAATTTATTAGTAATTAATTTATTAATATCACCTACAAACAACAATTTTTTGGATAATTTTTTAGATTTCGAAAATTTTCTAACCGTACGAAAAAAAACCCACCTCAATTATACAAAAAAATTAAACGAACTTTTGATAATTTAAATCGTAAATAGTGCAATACTTTCAAAAAATTCATTGTTCTTTTATTAAAATTGAATATTTAATTAATTTTAAAAAAAATGTAAAACGTATTATTTTTTTGGACTACGGGGAATGTATAGAAATAAATAATAAATGTAAATATAATTTAAATAATAAAAAATTGATTAATTAAAACAATAATATTTTTTAAAAAATAATATAAATTTGCAAATAAAAAAAAAAATCTTTCTTCTATTAATTTACAAAGATTTATTCTCAATAATGCAATAAAATTTTATATACTTACGTATTTCCTCAGCAAAAATTGAAATAGCTGACAAACTCAAAATAAGAAAAAGACTTTTGATAAGCATTTTGAACAAAAATTTTTTTTTTTATTTATAAAAGAGGAAAAATTAAAAAAAAAAAATGCGAAAACTCAATGATGCCAAAATTTGAGTTCTCGACAAAGAGATGAATTTTTGGACGGGGTCTGTCCCGCGGAAACAAGTGGTCCCAAATGTCTTAGTGCAAGTGGATGCAATAAAGTCTCAGTGAAGACCTTATAGTTGTCCCCTCCATCACAATATCATCGGTAAAATCATTGTTGATGCAACGTTATTAGTATGATTACTGTTGCGTATTGTTGACGCAGACATATCGACTGTTAATGCGAAACATATTTATTTATTATTTATTGATTCAAAAAGGACATTATATACCTTGATCGATCATTGAGCTTTGATTATAATTTCATTGTCATTAAAACTTAAATTCCTCAAAAGCTTTACAAAATGCGAAACAAAAATTTTTTCTTACGTAAAAAAAAATTTACCTCTTATTTCCACTTTTTACTGGAATTAATTTTTTTTCAATTGATTAAGATTTGGATAAATAATTTTTAGTATTTGTAATTTTTTTTACAAAGGAAATTTAAAAACAGAAAATGAAAAAGGCTAATAAATTTTATAAATTCAATTTTAATTGTTAGGAAAGGGTGTTTAATATTTTCAACTACAATCTTATTACAAAAAATTTGTTTATGAAAATTTTTTTTTTTTTTCGTTAATGAAAAAATTTTCAACTGTAAAAAATATTCTAATCTACTGAAAGCGAATTTTAAAAATTAGAGTAATACTCAAAAACCTCAATTTTAAATAAAATTCATATTTCATTTTCTATGAAAGAAAATTTTCTTCTATACTTGAGACACGAGGAAATTAAATTTTTTTTTAGTAACAAAAAACTTATTTCGTAATCAACAAAATAGTATTTGAAATATTATAATTTTTATTGTCGCTACAACTCAATGTCAAGTTTTTTTTTTTATTAAAATTCTAGCAATAACATTTTTAAAAAAGTAATTAAAATTCTGATAACATCTTTATAAGAAATATATAATCGGACATAATTAAAATTCTGGCAATAAAATTTTTTGAACATGAGAAATTTTCATATTAAGAATGTGTTGAATTTAAATGTATGCACGAATAATTAAACTAACTTTGTTAGCAAATAAAAAGAAAAGCAAAAAATTATTAGTTTTTGTAAATAATAAAAAATTATTAGTCTTTGTAAATAGAAGATTATTAGTTTTTCTTTTTTTTTTTCAAAAACTTTTTTGAAAAAAAGTTATTTTTTTGTGAATAAAATATTATTATAAAATAAATAATGAGAATTGTAAAATGACTTATAAATTTAAATATCGAAATTCGTCCACTTGATATAGTAAAAGGTTCAAGAGGCATAAAGTATATAAACACATTTCTTGGCGCGTAATAAGCTCAATTTGGCACCATTCGTTTTGACACACAGTTATTTGTACGAGAGGAAATATTACATTAGTAGTCACTAAAATCGACGCCCTTTTTACTTTAATAATTGAGAATAAAAATATTTTAATACTAAAAAAACCTTTTAATATTATTATAATGCTGAGATGGTTAACATTACAAAGACTATCTTTACTGGTGCTCACAACAGTTGTAATGCAAAAAAATGCTTTTTTCAAGATTTTTTCCCTAATAAACTATTATTTTTTAAAAATATTTATTATACAAAAATAAATTAAGATTTTTTGTTTTATTCAATAATTTTAACATGAAAAAGCCAGAGGAACGACGAGCCAAAGGAATGATGACGATTTCAATATTTTTCTCATTTTATTTAATAGCAATCGAATTACTGCAAAATTAAAATGCTTAATCATGTTCGTAGATGATGACTTTATAGTAAAAAATTTTTTAATAATTTATATCCATAAATTTTTTGTTTTTAATATGGTTCATAGAGGAATGACGACATTATTTTTCTCGAAAAATGTCATTATTCTTAAAAATTTTATTAAAATTCATCAAAGGAAACTCAATTATTTTAAAAAGCCTTCATACAATTTATTTATTAGAATTTTATTATTATTGTCAATATTTATTTTTTATTAAATTTCTTGAAAGAATTAAATTATTTTGAAAAATATTAATGAAACTTTTTTTTTAACACTTTAATTTTTTTCAAAATAGTTTTAATAAAATTCTATGTATAGAAATTTCATTAATTTCTATAATTTATCAAAATTCAATTATTTTCAATATCTACTATTTCAATAAAAAAATTTCACAAAAGAATTCAATTAGGTATTTAAAAAGAAATATTATTAAAAAATTCATCACAAGAATTCAATTATTTTCAAAATAAAATTTTTTGGAGAAATTCAATTATATAATCAAAAGTTTAAAAAAATTCTCATCAAAATTTCAATTATCTTTATAAATATTAAAATTTTTCTCCAAAATTCAATTATTTTCAAAAATTTTAATAAAATTCTTTTTAATAAATTCAATATTTTTTTAAAATTCTCCTCCATTCAATGATTTTCAATATCTACTATTTTAATAAAATTTTCTACAAGAAATGAATTATTTAAAAAATTTTTTGATAAAACTCTAAGCAAACATTTTATTATTTTTATAAATAACAAATATTTCACAGCAATTCAATTATTTACAAATTTTTTATCAATTTCTTTGCAATAATTCCATTATTTTCAAAAATATTAAATTTATTTTTACAGAAATTCAATTATTTTTATAAATATGTAATACAATTTTTTACAGGGATTCAATTATTATTTTTATAGATAATAAAATTCATTGGAGAATTTCAATTATTTTTAATACAATTTAAATCGAATTCATCGAAAAATGTAATTATTCTTAAAATTTTATTAAAATTGGTCAAAAGAATTTAATTATTTAAAAATTTGTTCATAAAATTCTTTATGAGAATTCAATTTTGAGAAACATTTAATTACTTAATAAATTAATTATTTTTGTATTAAAAATAATTAGATATTTAAAAAGAAATATTAAAAAATTCGTCTCAAGAATTCAATTATTTTCAAAAGTAATAAAATTCTTCGCAGAAATTCAATTATGATCAAAAGTTTAAAAAATTTATTGTCAAAATTTCAATTATCCTTATAAATATTAAAATTTTTCTTCAAAATTCAATTATTTTAAAAAATTTTAATAATAATCTTGGCAATATTTCAATTATTTTCGAAAGTTTTAATAAAATTCTTGTCAAAATTTCAATTACTTTCAAAAACTTTTCTCAATTCAATCAAATTTTTTATAGATATTCAATTATTTTTAATACAATTTTAATCTAATTTCTCGAGAAATTAAATTATTCTTGAAAATTTTATTAAAATTCTTCAAAAGAATATTAATTACTTATTTAAAAATTTATTGATAAAATTCTTTAAATGAGAGTTCAATTTTAAAAAACATTCAATTCTTCAATAAATTATTTCTTTTTGTATTTAAATAATTGAATTTTCTAATAATAATTGATTCAAATATGAATTTCAGTTAAAACTTTAGATAATAATTGAGTTTTGAAAAGGTTTCAAATTTAAACATCTTTGAATGTTTAAATTTTTCATATTTTTAACTTAAAATTGTGTAGATTTAATTTTTTTGTAAAAGTTCAATGGAATTTTTTTCCGAATAATCGATGAAATTTCGTAATATTGAATTGTAAATACAAAAGGATTTGGAAATGTTCAAAGAAATGTTTCAAAAATTATTAAAAATGAATGAATAATTAATTTAAAGAAGAATTTTAGTTAAAAATTCTGGAATTTGAAATGAGCAAAAGCGTGGCAACCCTTTAAAATATATATTTGAAAAAAAAGCACAAAAAAGAGGCTAAATCATTAAAATAACCGGGAAATGAATATAAAAATCAGATATGTGACAGTTGCTTCCTAGTTTTATTTTGTACATAATAAATGTTCTACATACATATAATACTTTAAAATTTTCAATTTCAAAGCTTATAGATAAAATTAGAAACTTCATATTGAAATTCTCCTTAAAATAATAAGAACGTTCACTTGCTGATATTTACAGGAAATACATATTTCGAATACTGACGAAGAATTATAAATCCTCTATAATTAACACAATGTAGAAAATATTTAAAAGAGCAAGTGATTTTAAATGCAACCGCATTTTAATTTTCAATAAATACATATCCACGTAGTATAAAAGAATTCTTTTTTACAATTGTTAAAAAAAATTATATGAATAAAGAATTATTTCTTAATTCCCTATTAAGTCATTCCTTTAGATACCTTCCATAGTTATTGAGGATTAGAAAAATTTTTTAAACAACAAATTCATGAGTACAGAACAAAAATAAGTAGATAGAAAATAATTACCTAATAAAAAATTTTTACATAACAAATTTTTGATATACTATTGTAATCGCGAACAAAACATGTTCGCGAATTCGAACATATTTCAAACCACGAGGAAGTGATTAATGAAAATGTGACTTAAAAAATTAGTACAATTAAGAAATAATATCTTGTGCAAAAAATTTAGGCCTCAAAGGATTAAATTTTTATAACAGAACTACGAACACATTTCTTCTTTTTTGTCTTATATTCGAATAATTCTTAAAAAAGTTAGTCTTACAACTTTGCAACTTTGATAATACTTTGTCGAAATGCTTTATTTAGTGACAAATAAACTATCATCAACAGTTATAACATTTTCTGAACAAGACACTATATAGATTCTGGTTTTCCCAAATAACTCATAAAGAGTGATTTACAATTAAAAATAAAGTTTTACGGCGAATTACCGAAAGCAAAATTCCGGTAGAAATCAATGTTTATTGTTAGTACAGACAAAGTTCGATAAGTTCAGGTTCGATATCTTTTAGGGGATCTTTTAGAGTAAATTATAGCATTTGAAATTATAGCTTGCTCCTCAATTATAAAAGAAATTTTTTGTTTTTTAGTTTTTTTTTACTTCGTGAATTTTTATAAGGACTGAAATAGTTTTTATGATAGAAGGAAGGGAACTGAAACGTATCGAACTTTGGCAGTGTTTTTAATTTTGAAGTTTAGGAGGAAAATACATCTAGATTGAAAAAGAGCGACATTTCGCAAATTTGATGTTATGAAAGCGGACAAATTGGAACTCGATTAGCACTTTTATTTAATGTACCAAGTTCTTTCAACTTGTTATTTTACAATTATTTTTTACAATTTAAAATTCAAAATTCCCTTAAAGTTGATCAAGAAAGGAACAATTTAATTTTTGTGCTAGAAAGTTTTATTAAATCAGCTATTTGATGTTACTTTTACTTGAAAGTTCTATTCATGTCACAGGTTTTATGTATCGAATGTTTGCTATATAAAGATTTTTTCCAAGGACCCAAAATTAATTAAATTTATTGAAAGATTAATGAAGAAATTGCAATTAAATACTTTGTCCATGAGATATTAACTTAATTTAGAGCTGGGATACATAAGGCAGTAGGCCACCAAGCTACAGTGTTCGATGTGCTAAGATATCAACAAAAACCCTCAGGCCATAACGCGAATTTTAAAGATTCAAATGACAGTAAATAGTTCACATGACAACACGCCTACTATAAGTGAAAACGAGGAAAATGAGAATATGGCAATAGTTACGCAAACCGATGAAGATGCCAAAATGAAAATTTTTCCGCAGGTATTAAACCAGCAATATTAAGAAAATCCTAAGGAAAGGAAAGTTATATAGAAAGATTAAGAATAGTCTATGAAACAGATGAAAATAAAATATTCGTGGTACTATAATGAATAGAATATTCCATCCGAATAATTAAACATCCTCTCGCTAGTGTTATAATTACACGAGAGACTTCAGGAAATATTCAGTCGTTCCGCCAAACCCCCCTTTAAGGGGGAGGATTCAACTGGCTTGAGATTGACTCACTTGTAATGGTGCTGACAAGAAGTTAACATGACGAATCCTGTGCCTATATGCCTGGGGCATACGAGTCTCGAATTATGAATAAGCAGATCTGCTTTAGTTGGGCAAGAATAATTTATCATGGATATAATAATAATAATTAATTGATTAATTTAAATAATAATAATTGATCATGGATAAACTAAACATTGTTTTGATAAACTTTAATCATATTTAGAGCTATGAAAAGCACAAATAAGTACTGATTCCGCTCCATTGTTAAAAGGATTGACATTACCTCCTGAAAAGAAATCGACAATGGGACAATTATTGGGTATGATAAATTAACTCTTGCAAAATCTCCACACATTGCAAAGGAAAGGGGTGGAGAGTTACGCAGACTATAGCCCAGAGTTTAACTCAGCTTTACAATTATACAAGATGATGGACAAGAAGTTAACATGACGAATCGTGTGCCTTTATACCTAGGGCATACGAGTATCGAATTATGAATAAGCAGTTCTGTTATAATTGGGCAAGAATAATTGATCATGGATACTTAAGCGACTTAAATACCAAAGAGATCTTTCAGAGTAGTGGTAAACACCCAGTATAGCGAAGAACTAATACCAGAGGATATAATTGGGCACGAATTATAGATCATAAATATTTAAAGGGTAAAATTCGCCGGAACTTGATGCTGACTTAAAAGTTAAAGTTATAGGGGTAATCTGTCACTTACACTGCAATGTTCATTTTCATATGCTGCAAGCAATTGATTCAGGTTTTATTAGTATCGACAATGGAGTTATGAATATTTGTTTCACACTGTTTAGAGCTATGAAAGGCACAAATAAGTACTGATTTCGCTCCATTGTTAGAAGGATTGACTTTTACTCCTGAAAAAAATCGACAATGGGACAGTCATTAGGTATGATAAATCAACTCTTGCAAAACCTCCACACATTGCAAGGGGAAAGGGTTGAAAGCTACGCAGACTATAGTCCAGAATTTAACTCAGCACTGCAATTATACAAGATGATGGATAAAAAGTCAACATGACGAATCGTGTACCTTTATACCTCGGGCATACGAGTGTCGAATTATGAATAAGCAGTTCTGCTTTAGTTGGGCAAGAATCATTGATCATGGATAAACTAAACATTGTTTTGATAAACTTTAATCATGTTTAGAGCTATGAAAAGCAAACAAGTACTGATTCCGCTTCATTGTTAGAGGGATTGACATTTCCTCCTAAGAAGAAATCGACAATAGGACAGTTATTAGGTATGATAAATCAACTCTTGCAAAATCTCCACAGATTGCAAGGAAACGGGTGGAAAGGTACGCAGATTATAGTCCAGAATTTAACACAGCTCTTTAATTATACTAGATGATGGACAAGATGTTAACATGACGAATCGTGTACCTTTATACCTGGGGCATACGAGTGTCGAATTATGAATAAGCAGTTCTGCTTATTATGGTACGGTCACAGCTCGGCTGCCTGCCTGCCTGCCTGCAGGTCGTCATGGCAATACATAAGAGTAAGAGAGTCAGACAATTTAAATTATTCGTCTCCTCTCTCTTACTCTCGTGGCGGCTGCCTGCGCAGGCAGGCAGGCAGCCGAGGTGTGACCGTGCCATTAGCAGTTGAATAGAATATAATTAACGTTGGCCCATACTGGCGTTGCGCCTGTATATTTGGCCATGACCTGGTGTGTGAATGAGGTTTAACAGTAAGAGAGATGAAATAGAAAGAGGCGGTAAATTTGAAAGTAGTAGTGAATTTGAAAGTAGTAGTTGATAAAGTAGAAGAGACTTTCTTTTAATAATAGAAATAAAGAGATGAGGAGGGAAACCAGAGGGAAGTTTGCCGAAGGATGGGACCGCAGCTCCAGACTACTCAATCCATCCGGAGGGTAGAAATTTGAGATAATTCATACGATCGTCAAAGTATCTTCTGAGAATAAACAAACACCTTTGTTGATAGCAACGGGATTGTTCTGCTTTTTAGGCATAACTCACTTGTTATTAAAAATCATCGAACGTCATGACTCTGCCATTGATAAGAGCATCGAGCAGTGTCTGGTCCTACCTGGATCAGATAACTCCTCAACTACAAGACTTCAACGATGTGCAGCTAGGCCAAGCATCAATATCAATAATCGAACAAATCGAGAAGAAGAAGAAAGATCCATCGGGCACCAAGCTAGATGTAGACTTAGAGAACTTCTCAGGCAGTGCGCAAGAAATGGAAGGAGTTTTGAGACTTCTGGCAAGAGGGAAAAAATCTGAAGCCAGAGTTGCCCTGAATTCCTTTTACAATCGACAGCTGGAGACAGACGAGAGAGGAACTCCCCAACCATCTTACAGCGCAGCTCCCCAACAAGACCTGAGCAAAGGTCCCCCCATCCAGACCGCTCCGGCAACAACAACTCCAGTGGCTCATCATTCAACTCAATTAGAGATGAAGGTAGTGGGACGCAAAGAACGGCTCAATCATCTGAGAGCACTATTTGGTCTCTTGTCAGGGCTCTCGAAAGAGGTGAAAGATTTGTTGATTTGCGAAATGTTGACAGTGTCAGAGCACTTCGGACCAGAGAGCGAAATGGGGACGGATACTCGAATGGCTTTCCTGAAAGATGTTGAGAATTTGAACATTCTGAAGGAATCAGAATATGTAACTTTACAAGGCTGCATATTTGATTTGTCTTCAATAGAAATTATGGGAGTGTGCACCATGTTCGAAACTTCAGCTTCAAGTAGAGTAGTTGCTTCTGATCACTATTCTTGTAATGAGATAGTGTTGAAACAGACATGGAACATGATTGGATTGTCTAAATGTAAAGAAACCTTCGCAACTGATTTGTATTCTTCTTATGAACCTGTTAGCAGAGATTATTTCATTAATGACATGGCAGCTTGGAAGAAACTAGTAGAGTACATGGGATTTAGTCCAGGAAGAACTCTTCAATTGTTCACCGATGCCAGAATTAAATACATTTCATCAGGTCATAGAGAAGAAGAGGTGATCATAAAGTATTCAGCTAATGATGAAGAAAAAGAAGTGAGATTAACCAATCATGAAACTCTAAAGAAAGATGTCGCCCTCTTGACGTTGATAATGGTAACTAGAGGAGCTGTATGGAGTAAAATTCGAGAGAGGAGTTCAGATGACTTCAAGAAAGTTTTGGATTGGTTGCAAGTGAAATACAACATTCACACAAAGAAGAGGTCATCCAAAGATGAGCCTCTTGGGCCCAATATAATTACTCTACCTAGAATATCAGTAGTTTTTGCTCCTGTTGTGGTGACCCACATGTTAAATGGCAATGGAAGGATTATCTATTCTGCTGATCGACTGAATTATCCTGATAATATTGTCAGGAAATTTGTCACTGCTCCAATGTCATCTGGATTGTTACCAGTCTTGAAAACAGGAGGAAAAGCTTTCAACATCAATGCCACTTACCTCTTGTGTGCTATATTAATGGATAATACCATTAACACTAGAAAGACCATGACATCGCTTAAAAACTTGTGGCAATACTTCACTGCAAGTGTTCAGAGTGATTTTGTAACCCAGGATTACAGAAATCATTTCTTGTCAAAGAAAAAGATTCTAGATGATAATCTAGAACCATGCGCTGAACTACTGAGTCTTTACAAAATGCAAACGGAGCATGAGGACAAAATCAAAGAGTTGAGATCAAATGATCCTGACCTTGAGGATGTAATTGATTTAGTTCGTCGCTTCAACATGTAACCTATCACTGTCAACAACACTCAAAACACTTAAACACAAACACAAACACTACATTACACTAAACACAATTCCACACATCAAAAAGAATTCGTCAATAATACAACTTCTACAAAGTAAATATTTTAATTTGGAATCAGAGGGTAAATTCCAAATTAAAATATTTACTTTGTAGAAGTTGTATTAGCAACTTAATAAGCAGTTGAACTGCAGTTCTGCTTTAGTTAGGCAAGAATCATTGATCATGGATACTTAAGCGACTTAAATACCAAAGAGATCTTCCAGAGTAGTGGTAAACACCCAGTATAGCGAAGAACTAATACCTGAGGATATAATTGGGCACGAATTATAGATCATGGATATTTAAAGGGATTGACATCCTAAACAGCATCTATTTCATCTTTAGGGATGAAATTTTTAGGGCGCTAGGAGGGCCAAATTCTCCGGAACTTGATGCTAACTTAAAATATAAAGTTATAGGGGCAATCTGTCAATTACAATGCAATGTTCATTATCATATGCTGAAAGCAGTTGATTCAGGTTTATCCACAATTAAATCGCAGTTGTGAACATTTGTTTCACATTGTTTAGAGCTATGAAAGGCACAAATAAGTACTGATTTCGCTCCATTGTTAGAAGAATTGACTTTTACTCCTGAAAAGAAATCTACAATGGGACACTCATTAGGTACGATAAATCAACTTTTGCAAAATCTCCACATTGCAAGGGAACGGGTCGAAAGCTACGTAGACTATAGCCCAGAGTTTCACTCAGCTCTGCAATTATACAAGATAATGGACAAGAAGTTAACATTACGAATCGTGTTCCTTTATACCTGAAGCATACGAGTCTCGAATTATGAATAACCAGTTCTGCTATAGTTGGGCAAGAATAATTGATCATGGATACTTAGAAGGAGTTTACACCGAGTGGTATAAATTTATACTCGCGCTAGTATAAGCGGATATACCTCCACGAGAATATACACGCGCTTGCGCAAACACGTAGTCAAGGCAAAGTCTTTCACTACACAGCTGCAGGCAAACATTATGCGCAGGCGCGAATCTATTCTCCTGAATGAATATCTGTTTATGCGCGCACGAGTATAAATATATGCCTCTCCGTGTAAACTCCTTGTTAAGCGATTTAAATCCTAAAGAAATTCAGGTTTTATCAGTATCAACAATGGAATCGCAGTTATGAACATTTGTTTCACACTGTTTAGAGCAATGAAAGGCACAAATAAGTACTGATTCTGCTCCATTGTTAGAAGGATTGACTTTTACGCCTGAAAAGAAATCGACAATGGGACAGTCATTAGGTTTGATAAATCAACTCTTGCGAAATCTCCACATTGCAACGGAACGGGTCGAAAGCTACGCAGACTATAGCCCAGAGTTTCACTCAGCTCTGCAATTATACAAGATAATGGACAAGAAGTTAACATGACGAATCGTGTGCCTATATGCCTGGGGCATACGAGTGTCGAATTATGAATAAACAGTTCTGCTATAGTTGGGCAAGAATAATTGATCATGGATACTTAAGCGACTTAAATACCAAAGAGATCTTCCAGAGTAGTGGTAAACACCCAGTATAGCAAAGAACTATACGGAAGGATATAATTGGGCACGAATTATAGATCATGGATATTTAAAGGGATTGACATCCTAAACAGCATCTATTTCATCTTTAGGGATGAAAGTTTTTAGGGCGTTAGAAGGGAAAAATTCTCTGGAACTTGATGCTGACCTAAAAGCTAAAGTTATAGGGTTAATCTGTCACTTACACTGCAATGTTCATTATCATATGCTGAAAGCAGTTGATTCAGGTTTTATCAGTATCCACAATGGAATCGCAGTAATGAACATTTGTTTCACACTGTTTAAAGCAATGAAAGGCACAAATAAGTACTGATTCTGCTCCATTGTTAGAAGGATTGACTTTTACGCCTGAAAAGAAATCGACAATGGGACAGTCATTAGGTTTGATAAATCAACTCTTGCGAAATCTCCACATTGCAACGGAACGGGTCGAAAGCTACGCAGACTATAGCCCAGAGTTTCACTCAGCTCTGCAATTATACAAGATAATGGACAAGAAGTTAACATGACGAATCGTGTGCCTATATGCCTGGGGCATACGAGTGTCGAATTATGAATAAGCAGTTCTGCTTTAGTTGGGCAAGAATCATTGATCATGGATAAACTAAACATTGTTTTGATAAACTTTAATCATGTTTAGAGCTATGAAAGGCACAAATTAGTACTGATTCCGCTCCATTGTTAGAAGGATTGACATTTCCTCCTAAGAAGAAATCGACAATAGGACAGTTATTAGGTATGATAAATCAACTCTTGCAAAATCTCCACACATTGCAAGGAAACGGGTGGAAAGGTACGCAGATTATAGTCCAGAATTTAACACAGCTCTTTAATTATACTAGATGATGGACAAGATGTTAACATGACGAATCGTGTGCCTATATGCCTGGGGCATACGAGTGTCGAATTATGAATAAACAGTTCTGCTATAGTTGGGCAAGAATAATTGATCATGGATACTTAAGCGACTTAAATACCAAAGAGATCTTCCAGAGTAGTGGTAAACACCCAGTATAGCAAAGAACTATACGGAAGGATATAATTGGGCACGAATTATAGATCATGGATATTTAAAGGGATGGACATCCTAAACAGCATCTATTTCATCTTTAGGGATGAAAGTTTTTAGGGCGTTAGAAGGGAAAAATTCTCTGTAACTTGATGCTGACCTAAAAGCTAAAGTTATAGGGTTAATCTGTCACTTACACTGCAATGTTCATTATCATATGCTGAAAGCAGTTGATTCAGGTTTTATCAGTATCCACAATGGAATCGCAGTTATGAACATCTGTTTCACACTGTTTAGAGCTATGAAAGGCACAAATTAGTACTGATTCCGCTCTATTGTTAGAAGGATTGACTTTTACTCCTGAAAAGAAATCGACAATGGGACAGTCATTAGGTATGATAAATCAACTCTTGCAATATCTCCACACATTGCAAGGGAACGGGTTGAAAGCTACGTAGACTACAGTCCAGAGTTTAACTCAGCTCTACAATTATACAAGATGATGGACATAAACAATGTTAATCAAGCAGTTAACGATTTAATGAATGAACATGCTGTTGTGGCTGGGGAAATCCTTTCCGAGGTCATGGCGGTGCACCAAAAACCTGGCTCTTGCGGCGTTGATGCCACTGATGATGAGAGCGATGGCCAAATAATTTTTTTATTATTATTAGTAATAATATAACCCAGCCAGATTTTACTTCTAAAGAAGTAATCTTACTAATAAAATAACCTGGGCTTAACCTCTTCACTGGCAGGCTACTTGTAACGCCCTGACGGTGAAGGGGTTAGTAAGTCGACGTTACACTTGCGGACTTTTTATATGTCATTTATCTTCTCTATTCAATTAATTCGATCACTGTTAACTTGAACCCAAGCTCTGCCAAATGAACACAATATTAATAATTTTCATATTGTTCTTTCTGATCTGTACAAGTTTCCGAAAGCACAGAAAAGTATCTTTGCCGCAAGATGGCCAAAATGAAACGAAATCACTATTTTAATGTTGTTACTCTTATTTTCATTTCTCTTCATAAACCTCCAAAAACTTATCTTAAAGCACAAAAATCATGACAATTTTTTTCTGTATTTTCAAACCAGAAAGTTTCAAAAATACAAAGAAAAATTCATAAAAACTAATCGAGTTCTAATTTTAAAACGCCATATTTCTCTCTTTTATAAATATCAGATAAGATTACGCGATTATCAGACATTTCTTCTTTTATTGATAATTTAATTTCTTTTGCTTATTTTCGTCTTATTTATAACAATGTCTGCAATATACTTAATAACGATGCTAACTTATCAAGTAATTAGCCTATCTTACATACTTGGAAGAAATTAAAATTGAATCATTGATGAGAATTAAATTAAATTATATTTCAGTGGCGCAGAACCGTAAGAAAAGAAGAAGTTTCTTTCAAATTTACTTCGTTTCTAAGTTTTATCACCTTCAAATTTTTTTCTATTTTTAAAAAGAACTAGAAGCCGTTTTTATTGATTTAAAATTGTTCATTAATGACCATATGCTTTGAATTTAAATTAAAATCAAAAAATTGAAAAATGTAAAATGATACCTAAAATTTACTGAAATTGAGAAATTCAATTATTTACTGAAAGATTAGAGTCTACTTTTGTAGCAAAATGGTTACATTTCTAGAAGAAAAATACAAGTAAATGTCTAACATTCTTTTTTGTTTAATTTAATAAGTTTAGAAAAAAGGCAAGAAATTAAAATTCCTTTTCCATTTTATCACATTTTCATAATGCGTTCAATTCCTTTTTCTTAATTTTAATAAAAATATCGCCTTTATAATATAAAAAATTATACTAAAGTTTTTATAAAAAATAAAATAAATTTTCAAACTTTAAATTATATTATCAATTTACAGTTTTTTGTCTCCACTGATTATAAAAATTTTAGGCCACTTTACTACAAAGTATTTCAAACAATTTTAAAATACTCATTAAAATTAATAAACTTTAATTCAAAAATATCTACCTAAATATTTTATACAATTACTACAAACTCGATATAAAGAATAGTTTTTTTTTAACAAGAGATTAAAATTTTAAAAAGATCATCTTTTAATCTTGTTAGCTTCTAATTCTTTTACCATTCCCTTTTTTTCTGTAGAATCAACAGAAGAACACGAGATAAAAAATAATTACTTTTCAAATTGTAAATTACAAATGCCGCCACTTTCTTTAATAATCTCTTTTTGAGTAAAAAAAATGAAGTAAAAAAGTAACTCAAGAGTACTGAACTCGAATATAAGTAGTTAAGTATGTAAGAGTTACATTTATTCAGGACTGCACGTTCGCCAAACGTGTTGGAGTTGTAGGTTGTAAATCCATAGTGCGGCACACCCAACCTGCGATGTCAACATTTTCACATTCGGCTTTTTTTATCCATTCGTGATTCTAGAAATAATCAAACAATAATTTAATAAGGGTAAATTTTTTATTTTTTGTTCAAATTTAATGAAAGTAAAAATTTTTTTTTCACAATTGCCTGCAACTAGGAGTTGATTTTTAAATAAACATTCAAAATTCAAGCTTCGTACTCGGTAATTAATTTTAAAAAATTAGCTTCTCGAAAATGTTTTGAAAATAATTTTTTTATTCCACCTATTAGCGAATTTAAAGTAGTGAAAATTTTAAAAAGTTTGAAACTATAAATTTTTGAAAATCTTAATTCTTAAGAAATAATAAGAATAATAATAATAATAATGAAATATTTACTTAAAAAAATTAATTAACAATAAGAAAATAAATGAAAAATTGGTACATACCATAAGAGTTTTTAAATCAGCTCTTTCAGCAGGATTCTTTTTCAAGCATCTGTCTACAAAATCAGTAAAAGAATCACTGAAAATTCCTGGCGGCAATTTTGGTGGCGGTTCATTCACTATGTAATCCAAAAGTTCAAATATCGCCATCGGTCTCGGACTACTCGCATCTTAAAATAAAACAATATATTTAATAAGATTTACAAATTTTTTTTTAAGTAATAATCATTGTTATACTTTAAAATATTTTCTTTTTAAAATTTAGTGGAAAATTGTTCATTTTTTATAAAAATAGAATTTTTCTAATAGTTTTCTTTAAATTTAAAACAAAAATTAAGATTTATTTGAACAACTCGTGTAGAAGTAGCCAAAAAATTTTTAACAAAAACTTGAATATAAGATATTTTTTATTAAACAATTGAACTCATTTTTAAAAATACAATTATTTTAAAAAAAAATTTTAATTAGAATTTTTCAAAAATTCGACTTTTAAAATAATTTTTAAAAATACTAAACAAGTAAAATTCATTAAAATATAAAATTTCTTTCAATTAAATTTGACAAAATTTTCAATTAAAATTAAATTACTTTCAATGCAATTTTTAAATATATTCGTCAAAAGAATTGAAAGAATTCAATTATTTTCATAAATAATAAAATTCTTTACAGGATTTCAATTCTTAAAAAAAATTTAATACAATTTGTTGCAAAAATTCAATTATTTTTATAAATAATAAAATTCTTCAACGGATTTCAATTATTTAAAAAAAAATGTAATAAAAATTCTTTGCAAGAATTCAATTATTCATCTAAAAAATTATAAAATTCTTCACAGGATTTCAATTATTTTTAATACAATTTTAAGTAAATTCTTCGAAGAATGTAATTATTTTCAAAAATTTTATTCAAATTCTTCGAAAGAATTCAATTATTAATTATTTTTAATATAATTTTTAAAAAAGTTCTTTGAGAATTTTCAAACTCATTCATTTACAATTCGATTTTACAAAATTTCGAATATTCGGAAATTGTTGAATTAAATATATATTAAAAAACAGAAACTTTAAATATTTAAAAAAAAAATCAATTAAACTTTTTCAAAAAATTCACACTGAAACGCTTTTATTATTCAATTATTATCTCAAATTTTAACTAAAATTAATTTCTAAATCAATTTTTATTAGAAAATTCTAAAAGAATTCAACTACTTAAATACATGAAATTAAATACATGAAGAATTTTATTATTTTTAAAGATAATTAAAATTTTGACGAGAATTTTAAAAAGTTTTAAATAGAATTTTTCAAAAATACGATTATATTTCAAAATAATTTTTAAAAGTACTAAACAAATAAAATTCATTAAAATATAAAATTTCTTTCAATTAAATTTGACAAAATTTTCAATTTTTTAAAATTATTTTTGGTAATACAATTATTTAAAAAAAATTTTAATTAGAAAGATAAAAATAAAATTATACAAAATTTTAAATTGTTTCAATTTTTTAATAATTTTTTTTAATTTTAATTAAAATTAAATTACTTTTAATGCAGTTTTTAAATATTATTCGTCAAAAGAATTAAAAGAATTCAGTTATTTTCAAAAAATAATAAAATTCTTCTGATGAATTCAATTATTTTGAATTTTAATTTTAATAAAATTCAATTATTTTCGAAATAAATTTAATTGAATTTCTTGAAAGAATTGAATTATTTTCAAATATTTCTATAAAATTCTTCAAAACAATTCAATTATTTCCTAAAATTTTAATAAATTCTTCGAAACATTGCAATTATTTTTATAAATTGTAAAATTCTTTGTGGAAATTCAATTCTTTTCAAAACAATTTTAATAGAATTTCTCGAAAGAATTTAATTATTTTCAAATTTATTTACGTAAAATTTATTTATTTTCTAAAATTTGAATAAATCCTTCGAAACAATTCAATTATTTTTATAAATATAGTAAAATTCTTCGCGAGAATTCAATTATTTTCATAAATAAAAAAAATTCTTCGAAGGAATTCAATTATTTTCTTTTGAATTTTTTTTATAAGATTTTTTGCAAAAATTCAATGATTTTCAATAAATTAAGTTTAGAATTGAAAATTTAAAAATAAAAATTTTTTTAAAAAGTTAGGAAACAAAAAAGCAATTTTTAACTAAAAACTTACTATGCGCTGGAGATTGCGATGTAGGTGTTGGAATGCTATTGGTTACAACATTTTCCGTAGTTGACGGTCCCTGTTGATGACCAAATATCGTTGACAAAGTTCTAGCATCTGGCGGAGGAATGGGGTACATTCCAATAGCCATCTCCACTAGTGATAAGCCCAAAGACCAGATATCGCTTTGTACCGAATAGTGAGTGCCTTGCAATCTTTCGGGCTAATATAATTACAACAAATGTGAATAATAATTATAATTAAAGCAAAAAAAAGAAAAAAAATGAAAGGGACTTTTTTGTTAAGGATTTTAAAAGAATCGATTTTTCTTTTTTTTTTCTTGTAAAATTTTCCTTAGTAAATCATAAAATTAATGTCTCAAAACTATTTTGAAAAACTATGCAAAACAATAAAAGTTATAGCAATTATTATGACCGTTTCTTAATTTCTTAATATCTACTGAAGCGATTTTAAAAAAACCAAAAACCATTTGATTTTTTATCTAAGAAATTAAACAAAAAATCTCTAAAATTTTACATCCCCCCCTTGTTATTTTCTAAGGGGTAAATTGATCAAACACACAGTAATTTAAGTATTTTTCTTAAAAAATTAATGTATTTTAATTATATTTCAATAATTAATTACTGACTTTAATTAATAAATTATGACGCGCTTCCGAGAAAGGTAGAAGCAAAAATTTTAAGGTTATGTCTATAATTTTTAGAGAAAAAATACACAAAGAGAATTAATTATTATTACAAACTATCAATGCTCAATTATTTATTACATCCGAAATATTCAATAAAAACTGGTTTTGAATTTATATAATTAAAAATAAACTTTTAATCACGATTAATCTAAGACAAACATAACCTAAAATTTGTTTGCTTGTTGGGAGCGCGTGCACAAATTAATATTAATAAAAAGTTTCATTTTATAAATTCAGGTATTATTTTAAAATTTTCTTCTTTTTTCAAAATTTTTTTTGAAAATGGTTCTTACTTTAAAAGAAATTAAACTTTTAAAAATAATTATTTTTGTTAACTTACCGACATGTAACTTCGAGTGCCAACAAAGGAGTTTGCCATTGAATCAATTAATTGACCGGATACTCCAAAATCACAAATCTTTATTTCTCCCGCGCTGTTCACCAAAATATTACTTGGTTTAACATCTCTATGCATAATTGCATGCTTGTCTCTTAAATAACTTAAACCCTTTAAGACCTGCGGAAAATATTTTGGATTAAAATTTCATTTTCAAATATTAGACAGTAAAATTTATGATAAAAATGAGATTATTTAATTATACTATATTGATATAATTTTGCTTGGATTTTTCGCTTTAAAAATGTAGTTAAAAATTAAATTAAAAAAAAAAAATTAAAATTAAATTAAAAAATTAAAAAAAAAATTTTTTTTTCTCTACAGAGTTGAGACAAAAAATTAATTTTGTTTTTCTCTGATTTCCAGACTTCGTCACTGACCCTAAAGAAAATTCTAATTCACTCCAAGAATGATTAGGTGCTCAAAAAAAATTTTCTATTACATTTATTTACGAATTTTTTGAATTGTACAATTATTCAAAAACATCAATAACATAATTTTTAAATAAATATTTAATCACTGTTATTTTTCCATAGGAATTAAGATTTTCAAAAATTTCAAATCCAACAACTTATAATGATTTAAATTTCCATAAAATTTTTCAAAAAAAAAAAATTAAATTATTTACAAAAATTTTAATAAAATCCTTGGCAAAAATTTAATTATTTTTAAAAGTAATAAAATTGTTTACATAAATTCAATTATTTAAAAAAATATAGTAAAATTCATTGTAAGAATTCAATTATTTTCAAAATTATTTCATATTTCATATTTATTTTGAATACAATTTAAAATAAATTCCTCGAAAAATGTAATTATTTTGAAAATTTTTTTTCAAGAATTCAATAAATAATGAAATTCTTTGCTGAAACTCAAATATTTTCAAAGTCTACTATTTTATTTTAAATAATTGAATTTTTACGACGAATTTTAATAAAACTTTCAAGAATAATTACACATTTTTCGAAGAATTCGTTTACAATTGTAATAAAAATAATTGAAATTCTATAATGAGTATTGTTATTCATGAAAATAATTTAACTTCTGTAAAAAAATTTTATTATTTATGACAATAATTGAATTATTGCGAAGAAATTTAAAAAAAATTTGTAAATAGTTTAATTTCTGTGAAATTTTTTTGTTTATAAAAAAAATTTATTTTTTGCTTAGAGTTTTATCAACATTTTTTTTTAAATAATTAAATTCTTTTGAAAAATTTTATTAAAATAGATATTGAAAATTATTGAATTGAGGAAAATTTTTTAAAATAATTGAAATTTTGCAAAGAATTTTATTAAAATTTTTTAAAATAAGTGAAATTTTGCAAAGAATTTTATTAAAAAATTTTTGAAAATAAGTGAAATTTTGCAAAGAATTTGATTATAAATCCTGAAAATAAATGAATTTTGAAAAAGAATTTTATTATTTTTAAAGATAATTGAATTTCTGCGAAGAATTTTATTACTTTTGAAAATAATTGAATTTCTGCAATCGTTTGTAACTTCTCCAAAATTCAATTTTTTTCCAGTACTTTAATAAAAATCCTAGACTTTTCCCTGATCAATTCTACCTTACCTAACTTTTTCCTTAATTAAGAAATTGAAAATATTCAAATTATGTAAATACGTTTAGAATTTTTTTTAACCTCCTAACAATTTAACACGATTTGTTTATTCTTTATATCGAAAAATTCAAAATGACAGATTCAATATGGCGGACGATTTTATGGGTTAACCTATAAATTCAATCTAAAGGGTAGTTTAAAACTCAAAATAAAACCAGAATTACAATTAAATTTCCAAAAAGTTCAAAAATCTATTACAATTTTTATTAATTATTTTGTAAATACAGTGGTTAATAAAAATTGTTTTTGGCTTCAGGTATAATTAAAAACAAATTTTTAAGCATGTAAAAACATCGTTAAATATAATCTACAATTTTTTGCAGCGTAACGTCCCGTTTCACCGGAAATCGCCACATTTGTTGACTTTGTTCATTAGTTTAAAAAATTAAAAAACTAATTACTGTTTGTTCAATAACTTCATAAGAAAATTTAATAAACGCGGAAAAAGCAAAAATTATTATCTTTTACTCAAGTCTGTAAAAATTAAAATTTCTTTTGAATTTTTTAGACTTTTCTCATATTATTCTAAACAATCAGGTTTTTGAAAATGGAAACATTTTTTTGGAACAAAATTTCTGAAAAAAAATCACGAAATTGTTCAATAAAGTTTTTTTCTTTTCCCTCGACTTGAAATTAGAAACTAAAAACAATAACTTTTTATAAAAGTTGAAATACGCAAATAATTGCTTTTAATTTTGAATATAACTTGAAAACGAAATAAATAAATAAAACGAATGACATTTTATTTCGTTTTATTTAAAAGAACATTTTTTCCATAACAGGTTAAAAAAGAACAAATGAAACTATATTTTAACAATATTTAATATTCCACTCTACCTTTTCGCTCTTTGAAAAACAAAATTTTTAATAGTGAAGTTATTTCCTAACCTGACATTTTTCTAAGTAAACTAAAAATTTACGAAAATATAAATAATTTTTAATTTTTAATATAAAAAACAGATTTTTTTCTATGAAAAATGAATAAATTTCCTCGAGCAGTTTTGAATGCTCCAAGAAAAACTCTAACGGAAGATGAAATAAATAATTTACATAATGAATTGGAAACTATTGATCATCTAATTCCCCTAAATAAATTATGTGAGAAATTAACAACAAATTTAAATAAAGGTTTAACTCATAAACAAGCGGAGGAAATTTTTTTGAAAGATGGCCCCAATGCTCTTTCACCACCAAAAATGACTCCCGAGTATATTAAATTTTTAAAATGCATGTATGGAGGTTTCGCTGGACTTTTGTGGACTTGCGCTGTATTATGTTTCCTTTTGTATGGTATTAGTGTTCTAACTGACGATCCACACGGAGAGGGAATACAATGGTTCGGAGTGATAATTATTCTAATTTGCATATTATCCGGATTGTTCGCATACATTCAGGAAAGTAAGTCATTTATTTTTTTTTTAAATAATTTTATCTTTGATGAAAGATTGATATTTGAAATAAAAAAAAATAAAAAAAAAATTTTTTTTTAAAAGTAAAAAAGAAATGACAAAATAAATACAGTGAGTCTGAATTAACTTTAAAGTCTTGCGAAATGGAATTTTTTTGTAGATTTCAACATTAATGTACAAATATTTACCCTCATGAAAATTACTGCCAAAAAAAAAACAAGACTTAGTTTCGTACTCGATAATTAATTTTAAAAAAGAAGCAAAAATTAGCTTTAAAACTGAAAAAAGTAGTAAAAAAAAGTAGCTATCGAAAAATTAAATTTGACGACTCAATTTTTCATAAATTCTAAATTAAACTACATTCTATAATTCTTCCAAAATTCAACTATTTTTTAGAATTTTTAAGCAAGAATCTGACGAACAGTCAAAACAAAAGTTAGTCCAATGTCATAATTTCGTAATTTAAAAGAAAAAGACAAATTAAATTTTAAATTCGTTTTGGTGGAAATGTCAAGAAATTGATTTTGAACATTTAAAATTATTGAAAATTGCATTTGAATAAAAATGACAGTTTTCTGTCAATAAAGAATATTTGTTAAATTTTAGGTTTATGTCACTTAAATCATTTATTATTGACAAAAAATTGTAATTTTTATTTAAATATAATTTTAAATTGTTCAAAATGTAGAAAATAAAATAAATAATTTATTGAATAATTGAATAGTTTTTAAAAATGAATTCTTATAAAGAACATTATAAGATTTTTTTTAAATAATTCAATTTTTACGACGAGTTTTAATAAATTTTTTAAAAATAATTACATTTCTCAAAGAATTAATTTAAAATTGTATAAAAAAATGAAATGAAATTAATTAAATAATTGAATTCCTGTAAAAATTTTATTATTTATGAAAATAATAGATCAAAATATTAAAAAAAAAAATAAAATTTGTAAAAATAAAAATTCAATTATTCCGAAGAAAATTTAAGTTAGTGCAAGGAATTTAATTAAAATTGTACTGAAAATAATTGGATTGTTTTAAGGGCATTTGAACCTTGATGACGTTTCAGTTTGTGCAAAGCATGTGTGACGTCATCAAGTTTCAAATGCCCTTAAAGAGTTTATAACAATTTTCTAAAATAAGTGAATTCTATCAACAAATTTTGTTTTTAAACTTTTTAAAAATATTAAAATTCAATCATGAAATTTTTTTCAAATTGTATTGAAAATAATTACATTTTTCTAAAGAATTTTAAAAGTTATGAAAATAATTAAATTCTTCTGGAAAATTTTATTCTTTAATTTTAATTTTAATTTAAAATTTAATTTTTAATTAAATTTTTAATTTAATTTTTTTATTTAATTTTTTTTTATTTTTTTTTTATTTTTTATTTTTTATTTTATTTTATTTACTTTTTTTTTTATTTTATTTTTTTTTTTATTTTTTATTGAAATAATAGATTTTTAAAATAATTGAATTTCGACAAATTTATTAAATCAATTAAATTTCTACGAAGAATCATATTAAAATTTTATAGAAGTAATTGAATTCTTTCGAGTAATTTAATTAACAATGTATTGAAAATAATTAATAAATTTTAATAAACAAATTATATCGAAATTTTTTAAAATAATTGAATTCTTTTGAAGAATTTCAATAGAATTTTTAAGAATAATAGCAGTTTTCAAGAAATTCATTTGAAATTGTATTAAAAATATTTGAAATCCTGCGATGAGTTTTATTAGTTGGAAAAATAATTCAATGTTCGCAACGATTTTTATTAAAATATTTTAAAATAATTGAATTTTTCAGAAGAATTTCATTATTTATAAAAATAATTGAATTCTTGCGAAAAATTTGATAAAAATTTTTCTAAACAATTGATTTTTTTTTGAAAAATTTTATTGAAAATTGTTTATTAAATAATTTAACTACTTTGAAAATTTCATTATTTATGAAAATAATTGAATGTTTGCGAACAATTTTATAACAATTTATTTTTTAATTAATTGAATTCTTTTGGGAAATTTTTTAATTAAAACATATGGGGCATTCTCCGTCAGATTTTTACTCAAAATTTTTTTTGTATTAAAACAATTTTTTTCGAATTTTATATGAAAAATAAGTAATTACGTGTTTTTTTATTTTTTTATTTGATCAAAATTATAAAAGTTATGATTTTTTTAAATTTAACATCTTCGGAAGCAAAGGATTTTTGAAACACTTTTTTAACTCCGTTATACCAAAAGATAAAAAATAATGTAATATATGAAAATGACTTGTTTTTTCTTGAATATTTCAAATATGTAATAAAAAATAACTTTAATAAAGCGAAAACATTAAATAAATTGAAATTTCGTCAAAAATGTGACTTTTCTCAAAAGCGAAGTAATTGATTTTCGATTTTTTTCGTCCATTACAACCACTGATAAATATAGAAATTTTTCCCACTTATGCCAAAGTGGTGTTCTTTAGGGTTCAAATTATATTTAAAATTATGTCAGTAGTTGCACAGAGTTTTATTCGATTTTTACACTTTTTAAAAATTTAACCTTCAAAAACAAAAGAAAACGAATGTTTAGTGGTTAATTTCTTTATTTCCTTCTGTAAAATCTGTGCAACGACTGATATAATTTTAAATATAATTTGATCCCTAAAGAACACCACTTTGGCATAAGTGGGAAAAATTTCTTTATTCATCAGTGGTTGTAATGAAAGAAAAAAATCGAAAATCGATTACTTCGCTTTTGAGAAAAGTCACATGTTAGACGAAATTTCAATTTATTTAATGTTTTCGCTTTATTAAAGTTATTTTTTATTACATATTTGAAATATTCAAGAAAAAACAAGTTATTTTCATATATTACATTATTTTTTATCTTTTGGTATAACGGAGTTAAAAGTGTTTCAAAAATCCTTTGCTTCCGAAGATGTTAAATTTAAAAAAATCATAACTTTTATAATTTTGATCAAATAAAAAAATAAAAAAACACGTAATTACTTATTTTTCATATAAAATTCGAAAAAAATTGTTTTAATACAAAAAAAATTTTGAGTAAAAATCTGACGGAGAATGCCCCATATATTGAAAATGATTGCATTTCGAAAATGTTTTGAAAATAAATGTATCGTTTGAAAAAATTTTATTAAAATTTGTTAAATTTTTTATAATTAGCGAATTTAAAGTAGTGCAAATTCTCAAACATAGAAAAAAGTAACTTTTAATGTCACAAATTAAAAAAAAAATATCGAAATAATTGCAAATCGTAAAAAATAGTAAATTCTACAATGAAATATATTAAAAAATGAAAACATCAAATAATTTAAAGAACTTAAATTAAAATTTTTAAAAATAAAATTTAGTTTGACAGAATATTTAGTTAAAAGTAAGAAAAATTTTTATTTTCAAATATTTTAATTTTAAACCATTTCAAAATTCAATTACTTCTAAAAATCCAATGCATAAAGCTTCTAATATTCAATTACTATGTAAAACTTAACATGAAATTCAATTTTAAATAAATTTTTATTAGAAAATTCTACAAGAATTCAATTTAACTATACAAAAAATAAAAAATGTATTAAAAATTAAATGTTTGTTAAAATTGAGTTCTTATAAAGAATTTTATAAAAATTTTTTAAATATAATTGAGGGGACGGCTTCTAAAAGGGGATACGCGTGGATTCTCACGTATAAGTATTGACGAATAGTGTGATTTTAAAACATTTTCAATTTTCAAATTCAATGAAATAAATTTATACACAATGAAAATGCGCATCTTTTTTCTTTAAGAAATAAATTTATATCTTTTTTAGTTTATGAAATAATGAGAAAAAACTAAATTTTTGAAAACCAAAAAATTTAAATGTTTTACGTCTTTAACTCGTGCTGGTGTTTTTGATTTTTCATATTTTGTAATCAAACAAAAACAAACTCACAGATTAAGGTTTCCTGAAAACAAATATATTTTTAAAACTTCAAAATCTTAATTAATAAAAAGTTTATTAATTTTTTCGAAAGACATTGCAAAAAATGTTTTTTTTCAACTTTCAACGCTTAGTTTATCTAGGAAATTTCAAGGTACGAAAAACTTTCAGTGAGAAAGTTTTTTATTACGATACGGACAAGTTTTCTCTAAAATTTTATTAAAATGATATGGATATTTACAAAGTTATTAATGTTTAAAGCATATGGTACGTCAGATTTCTCGCGCCTGAAACGCATTGAGTCCCAAATTGTTCGTTTGCAACGCGTTAAAAATATTTTGTCAATATATATAATAAAATTTATTGAAATTTATTTTTAACCTAAATATTTTATTTTGTTATATGTACAAAAGTCAACTAAAATAATATTTCTTATTTTTAAGTTTCTTGTTTCATTTAGTTCAAGGTTTCCACTCTTCGTCAAAATGATCTCGTTTACTACATTTAATGTTTTTAAAATAATTATTAAAAAACTCCTGTCCGTTTGGAGAAAGATATCGATTTCCTTAATTGTGATAAAAAAATCTCGATATCCTGGGAAAATTGTATTGGGTTTTACCGAACCCTTTTTTTTGCAGTCAACGGTCGCGGCAACCGCGACTCATCTGGACACCATATTTTTCCGTAGAGTGAAAACAAATGACAACTTTGAGAAAAATAGCATATAAAAAGGGTTACTTCCTTGAAGTGCACATGATAACAAAAAAAAATCTATTGTATGAAAATGTTTGCCAAAATACAGATATAAATAAAATAAAATTTGTTTTAACTTCAAGTATTAAATACAATATGGAATTATTGTACAATTTATTTTGCGAATAATTCTGCAATATTTTTTTAAAAATAATTTCATATATCTTTACGTACAATACATGTTAGAATAAATAAACTGATGCTACTGTTATATAAAGTTAGATGAATCGTCATAATCCATAGTTAAATATTATTTAAAAATAATTACTTTGATATTAAAAAACCAGTCAAAAATTAAAATAATAATATTTTTACTATTCTTAATAAACTTTTATTAGTTAAATTAACATTACATTTATGTCAAAATAACTGTGTACTAATTATTTGTATGTCAGTAAATTTTAACTATTTCCAGACGATTTTGGCTAATTATTATTGGTTACTTCTTAATAATAATAATATTGCAAAAATTTATCAGTGACTTTAATAAAAATTGTATTTATTTTAAGTAAACAAATGAATAAACTAAAATAGTCTTAATATGTTCCATGCAAATGAACAATTCGGTACTCAATGCGTTCCAGGCGCAAGAAATCTGACGCACCATACGCTTTAAACATTAATACCTTTGTAAATATCCATATCATTTTAATAAAATTTTAGAGAAAACTTGTCCGTATCGTAATAAAAAACTTTCTCACTGGAAGTTTTTTGTACCTTGAAATTTCCTAGATAAACGAAGCGTTGAAAGTTAAAAAAAAACATTTTTTGCAATGTATTTCGAAAAAATTAATAAACTTTTTATTAATTAAGATTTTGAAGATTTAAAAATATAGTTTGTTTCAGGAAACCTTAATCTGTATAAGTTCGTTTTTGTTTGATTACAAAATATGAAAAATCAAAAACGCCAGGACGAGTTAAAGACGTAAAACATTTAAATTTTTTGGTTTTCAAAAATTTAGTTTTTTCTCATTATTTTCTAAACTAAACAAGATATAAATTTATTTCTTAAAGAAAAAAGATGCGCCTTTCCATTTTCCACAAACTTCGGTAATTCAAATTGCAATTTGTAATGTTTTCAAAAATTGACCAAGTGGACAAAACTTAAACGCGAGAATCCACGCGTATCCCCTTTTAGAAGCCGTCCCCTCAATTGAATTATTTTGAAGAATTTTAATATAATTTTTAAGAATAAAACTAATTGTCGACGAATTCACTTAAAATTGCATTAAAAAACTTAAAATCTTAAAGTAAAATTTATTAAATATGAAAATAATTGAATTTTTACGAAGAATTTTATTAAATTTTTTTTCTAATAATTGAATTTCCATGAAAAAGTTTATTATTTGTAAAATTAATTGAATTCTTGCGAAGAATTTTGTAGAAAATTTCTTAAATATATTTGATTTTGTTTTTGGAAAATTTTATGAACATTTTTATTTCAAATAATTGAATTCCGTTGAAAAAATTTTATTAAATCAGAAGACATTGAGAATACTTAAATGTTATAAAATTTTTTTAAAATAATTGAATTTATTCCACGAATTTTACTAAAATTTTTAAGAATAATTGCATTTTCGAGAAATTTATTTCAAATTGTATTAAAAATATATGAATTCTTATATACAAAGTTTTTTAAAATCATTAAAAACGATTTATTTATTTTAAAATAGATTTTTAAAAAGTTAATTTAAAAAAATTATTTTCTTTCACACAAAATTTTAAAAATTTTATATTAAATAATTGAATTTCTATAAAACATTTATTAGATATATTTATAAAAATAATCGAATTTTTGTAAAGAATTTTATTAAATGTTTTTTCTAAATTATAATTGAATTTTGTGAAATCTTATTAAAATAGTAGATATTGAAAATAATTCAATTCTTGCAAAAACTTTTCTTGATTTTTTTGAAAATAATATTTAATTGTTTCAAAGAATTTTATTAAAATTTTTTGTATTAATTCTAAGAATTTTATTGTAATTTTTGGAATTGTTTCTAAAAATTTTATTAAAATTTTCTGAATTGTTTCTAAGAATTTGATTAAAATTTTTTTAATCGTTCCAAAGAATTTTATTAAAATTTTTGGTTGAATCATTTTTTATTTCAACTATTAGAGGATTTAAGGTAGTGTCAATTTTCAAAAAAGGACGAAAAAGTAACTTTTAGTGTCACAAATCTAAAAAGAAGGTATCCAAATAGTAGCAAAATGTAAAAAAAGTAGTAAATAGTAGGTTTTAGTAGATGAGTACGAAGCCTGCTGAATCAGCGACACCAAAAACCCTCGAGTTTCGAGATTCAAGTCAATCCGGACAGTTTTTAAACTTTTGGCCGCCATATTGGATCCGCCATTTTGAATTTTTTAAATTCGACGTCAAATTGAGAATGAGCGACCCAATAAATTTAAAGTACCAATAAAAAGTTAAATTGTATGTATTTGATTTAATAAGTTCTTTCAATTCGCTCATATAAAAAGTTTTTGACGTAAAGAAGAAAATCCCACTTTGCAAGACTTTATTTAAAATTTGCTCAAGCTTACCATTTAAATATTCTATTTTAGGTAAAAACAGCAAAGTAATGGAATCATTTACAAAAATGGTTCCTACTTTTGCAAATGTAATTCGCGAAGAAGAGAGGGTGCAAATTTTAACCGAAGAACTTGTGGTGGGAGATTTAGTGGAAATACGTCTTGGTGACAAAATTCCGGCCGACATTAGAATAATTCAATCCCAAAGTCTTCGGGTGGAAAATTCAAGTATTACAGGAGAGAGTGAACCATTGACAAGAACCGATTATCCAACGGATTACAATATCCTTGAAAGTCAGAACGTAGCATTTTTCTCATCCTTTGCGGTTGTTGGTGAAGGAAAGGGAATTGTAATAGCGACAGGAGACAATACAATGATTGGTCGCTTAGCTGGTCTAACAACTCATTTGACAAAAACAGAAACACCAATTGCTAAGGAAATTAGACATTTTGTACGCGTCATCACCTGTATTGCCGTTATTTTCGCAACAATCTTCTTCTTCCTCTCACTTTTAATTGAAGCCAATTTTATCACAGCCTTCACGTATTTTCTCGGAATTCTCATTGCAAACGTACCCGAAGTTCTCCTCGTCACTGTCACTGCATCCTTAACCCTAACAGCGAAAAAAATGGCAAGTAAAAATTGTTTGGTGAAAAATTTAGAAGCCGTTGAAACTTTAGGTTCAACATCAATAATTTGCTCCGATAAAACGGGAACACTCACTCAGAATAAAATGACAGTGTCAAATTTATGGTTTGGAAATGCGAGATATAATTTCCCGGCTAATCAAATGTTAGGTGTGGAAAGGGATTTACTGTTAGAAAAACCGGCATTCAATATTCTAATAAAAGATGCAACTTTATGTTTAAGAGCTTTCTTCAAAGCTGATAATTCACCATTCGCAACAATTGAAGAACGTGAAGTTGTCGGTGATGCTTCAGAAACTGGAATTCTGAAATTCTGCGAGCACATTAAACCCACAAGACCATTTCAAGAGGCTTTTCAAAAAATTGCCGAAATACCGTTCAATTCAAATACAAAATATCAAATGTCAATTCATCGTGAAGGCGATGGGTATTTGATGATTTTAAAGGGAGCGCCCGAAGTTATTCTTGAATCGTGTTCAACAATTCTTGATTCAAATGGACAGACAAAATCAATGACGGCTGAAGATTTAAATGTTTCGCGTCGAGCTTGCGCTGAAATGGGTTATCTTGGAGAGAGAGTTTTAGCTTATTGTGATTTGACACTTCGGGGAACGAGTTATGGACCAAATTACAAATTCGATACGGAAACACCGGAGAAATATAATTTTCCAACAAAGGGATACAGGTTTGTTGGGTTGGTAAGAAATGTACATTATAAAAAAAATTCATCCAACAAACAAAATCAACCAAATTTACCCCTTAGATCACTGATCTAAGTTTATCTCTTCCTACTTATCTCGTAGCCCCATTATTGATTTCACTGTTGGTATTTTCTTTAAATAAATAAAAGCTACGTGACATTGAGATAATAAATAATTGAAACATATAGGTCAGTCTTCTGGATCCTCCTCGTCCCATGGTTTATGACGCAGTACACAAATGTCGAACAGCTGGTATCAAGGTGATAATGGTAACAGGCGATCATCCCGTAACAGCAATGGCAATAGCAAAAAAAGTTGGAATAATCAGCGAGGGTCACGAAACAAAATACGACAGAGCAATTCTTCACGAAAAAACACTATCCCAAATAACAACAGATCATCCAGCGCAAGCAATTGTTGTCACCGGTTCCGAACTTCGCAACATGGACTCCAATGAACTCGACGAATTAATAAAGGACTACGAGGAAATTGTCTTCGCTCGTACATCACCCCAACAAAAATTATTAATAGTAGAAAGTTGTCAAAGACTAGGAGAAATTGTCGCAGTAACCGGCGATGGTGTTAACGATTCGCCAGCTCTAAGAAAAGCGGACATTGGAGTCGCTATGGGTATCACGGGATCTGACGTGGCGAAAAATGCCGCCGACATGATTTTAATGGACGATAATTTTGCCTCCATTGTAACGGGAATTGAAGAGGGAAGATTGATTTTTGATAATTTGAAAAAATCAATTGCCTATACTTTAACATCAAGTGTACCTGAAATGCTGCCAATGTTAGTAAGTCTATTGTTCTCAATACCGTTGCCATTTGTCATTGAATTAGTGCTCTGCATCGACATTGGAACCGATTTATTGCCAGCGATTGCTCTTGCGTATGAAAAATCAGAATCCGACATTATGCATAGACCACCGAGAGATCCAAATCGAGATAGATTAATTAATCGAAGACTTATTTCAATGACTTACGGACAAATTGGAATGGTTCAATCGGTTGCTGGTTTCTATACTTTTTTCATTATTCTACTGTATCATGGATTTATGCCACTGGATCTTATTGGATTAAGACAAGATTGGGAGAATAAAAAAGTTGTTCACCTAAAAGTATAACGTAACTTACAGTACTTTTTACCTAATTTAATAAATATAGTGTCAAATAGTAAAAACTAATGTTCTAATTTAGAATTCATGGGGACATCAATGGGACTATGAGAGTAGAATGAAATTATTGAATGAAGCAAGAACTGGATATTTTCTCTCCATCGTTATCACGCAATTAATTGACCTCATCATGTGTAAAACACGACGTTTGTCGATATTTCAACAAGGAATGGGAAATTGGTTTCTTAATTTTGCATTTGTCTTTGAAATCATTCTTACGGGAATTTTGCTCTATGTACCAGGAACTGAAATTGTTTTAAAGACCATGCCATTGAATATCTGTTGGTATTGGCCTTGTCTACCATTTGCAATAATGCTTTGGATTTATGATGAACTGAGAAGATATGCAATTCGCAAATATCCCGGTGGCTTTTTTGAGAGTGAAACTTACTATTAAATGGCAAAACAAAATATAAAGAGGAATATTTTAAAACTTATGGACAATTATTTCAAGTAATAACAGTTTTTGTTTTATCATTATTCCATTGCGTTAAAAAATATAATTATAATAGAAAAAATGAAATTAAAAAAAAAAATTAATTTAGCAATTATTTTATAATAATATTCTGTTCACGAGTTTTTTTAAAATTAATTTAACTTTTTTGACCTGTTAAAAATATCTAATCTACATTCGTTTAGGAAAATTCAATCAATCTTTAAAAATAGAATTGAAATAATTTCAAAATCAGGGTTGCCACGCTTTTACTCTTTTCAAATTCCCCGACTTTTCCAGGTTTTCCAGGTTTTTAAAACGAAAATTATTCGAAAACATCAATAACTTCATTTTTAAATAAATATTTAATCATTATTTTTTTATAGAAGAAATTCAATAACAAAAGAATATTATTATAAAACTTGCTTCTTTGTTACTGTAACTTCTTTAAAAATTATTTTCATCCTTACGATTATTTATTTCTAGAAGTTTTAACTAAAATTCTTCAATTTTTTAAAAATAATTTTTTAAACAGTTCTTTGTGTATTTTCAAATTCTTTTGTTTATAATTTAATTTTACTAAATTTCGATTATTCTGCCATTTTTCAATTAAATGTATTAGAAATTAAAAACTTCAAATAATTAAAAAAAATTCCATTAAACTTATTGAGAAAAATTAATTCTATAGAATTCTTAATTAAAAGTATGAAAAATTCAAATTTTCAAAGATTTTGATTTGAAATTCATTTTTAAATCAATATTTATTAGAAAATTCTACGAGAATTCAATTATTTAACTATAAAAATAAATTTTTTATTAAACAATTTATTGTTTCTTAGAATTGAATTTTCATAAAGAATTTTATCAACAAATTTATAATAAATTGAATTCTCTTGACAAATTTTAATAGAATTTTTAAGAAAAAATGTATTTTTCGAGAAATTTGATGAAAATTGTATAAAAAATAATTGAAATTCTGCCAAGAATTTTATTAAAACTTTTGGAAATAATTGAATTTCGGAGAGAAATTTTATTATTTTTAAAGATAATTGAAATTTTGACGAGAATATTTGTAAATTTTTAAACATAATTGAATTTCCGCGAAGAATTTTACTAAAATTATTTTGAAAAAAATTGAATTGTTACGCAAAAAATTTCATTAAAATTTTTGAAAATAATTTTATTCTTTAAACAAATTTAATTAAAAATTTATTAAAAATAATACTTAAATTCAATAATAAATAAATTGTAGCAAAGGTTATTAAAATAATTAAATTTCTTTGATAAATTTAAATAAAATTTTTAAGAATAATAACTTTTTTCAGGAATTCCATTAAATTTTTATTAAAAATAATTGAAATTCAGCATTGAGTTTTATTATTTATAAAAATAATTGAATAATATATGAAAAAAATTTGTAAATAATTGAATTTCTGTGAAATTTTTATTATTTATGAAAATAAATAAATGTTTGCGTAGAATTTTATAAAAAAAATTTTTAACCCATTGAATTCTTTTAAGAATTTTGATTAAAGTAGTAGATTTTAAAAATCATTGAATTGAGGAAAATTTTTGAAAATAATTAAAATTTTGCTATGAATTTTATTAAAAATTTTTTGAAAATAATTGAAAAGTTGACGAGAATTTTTTTTTAAATTGTTGAAAATAATTGAATTCTGGTAAGAATTATATTATATTTTAAAAATATTTCAATTCTTGCGAAAAATTTTATTAATTTTTGAAAATAATTGAATTTTTGTTAAAAAATCTATTAATATTTGAAAATAATTGAATTTTACTAATTTTAAAAATAATTGAATTTCTGTTAAGCATTTACTCTAATTTTTTATTGAAAATAATTGAATTTCTGCTAATAATTTTTGAAAATAATTGAATTCCTGTGGAAATTTTTACTAATTTTGAAAATTAATTAAATTCTTGAGTAGAATTTTATTTAAAATTTGTGAAAATAATTGAATCTTGCGAAGAATTTTATTAATTTTTCAAAAAAAATTGAATTCTTGTAAAGAAATCCATTAGTTTTTGAAAATAATTGAATTTCTATGAAGAAATCAATTAATTTTAGAAAATAATTGAATTTCTATTAAGAATTTTACTAATTTTAGAAAATAATTGAATTTTTGTGAAAAATTTTACTAATTTAAAAAAAAATAATTGAATTTCTGCAATAATTTGTAATTGCTTCAAAATTCAATTTGTTTTAGTATTTTAACTAAAATTCTTCTATAGGTAATTATAAATCCATTATTTTTAATTTTTTCTATTTCCATTAGAATTTCAAAATTAAAACTCTTTAAAAATTCAATGTACTTTCAGAATATTTATTTAAAACTTTTTTAAATTTCAATTCAATCTATTTCTGCTTGAAAAAATGTAAATATTCGAAAGATTTTAGTTTAAAACTTTTTGAAATTGTATTATTTTTTGAACATTTGCAAGAAAAAGTGAAAATATTGTTTTAAAATTCAAAAGAAATTTACTTACCGCTAAAGTGATTGTTCCCAAAATAGGCTCAGGTATTCTTCCAGCTTTTTTAAGAATGAGATCAAGAGATCCACCATCCATATATTCCATGCATATACTAATTTCTCCATCACTAAAAATTAAAGTAAAAAATAATAATTTGATTCTTTTTTTGTTTTTTTTTTTTTTAGAGTAAAAATATCAAAACTAACCTGTAGAAAGCGCCATAAAAACCCACAATATGGGCAAAATTACACTCATGAAGTACTTTTAATTCTCTAATAATTTGTTTCTTGATGGCTGGTTTTACTTCTAAGTGAATCAACTGAAAAAAATATGTTTAATATTTTGAAAAAATTTAATTATTATAAACTTTTTTTCCAAAGGTAAAAAAAAATAAACTTTACCTTTCGTGCCATGATGAGGCCATACTTTTTATGTTTAACTTTCATAACAACACCACCATTACCAGCTCCTAATTCTCCTAATTTTTCAAAATCATCATCACAGAGTTCGCCAACTTTTTCTTTTTGGCCAAGAAAACTTTCAAGTCTCTTTCTTTGCTCCTCGTCCATTTCTAATTCTTCTAATCTTTCTTGAATCGCGTCTATACTCATTTTTCCCATAACACCCCTAGAAATAAAGTTACGACGTCTAAAAGAAGTCGAAAGAAAAAAAAGAAACAAAGTAAATTAATAAATTAAAAATAAGAATTAAAAATATGTTAAATAAATTAAATAAATTAAAAATATATAACAAAATTTCAATAAATAATGAAACAAAAATGAAAAATAATAGATTTTCATTTAAATGAGAATGTTAAATATATAAAAATAAATGTAAAAATAGGGCTCGAAAATTAAAAATTACGGACCATTTACGGACCAACTGACAAAAATAAAATCAGGCCGAATCAAATAAAAGAATATTATTTTTTTAAATTTTCGAAAAAGTTCTTTGACAGTTTTTAAATTCATATCTTTACAATATTCAATTTTACGAAATTTCAATTATTCGTAAATTCTTTATTTAAATAAATATTAGAAAATAGAAACTAAAAATAATATTAAAAAAAACTCAATTAAACTTTTTCAAAAAAATTAATTACAAAATTCAATTATTTTTTAAAATTCACGCTCTATTGCATTTAATATTCAATTATTATCTAAAATTATAACTGAAATTCATTTTTATGAAATGAAAATCAATTTTTATTAGAAAATTCTACTAGAATTCAATTATTTAAATACAAATTTAAATGTAAAAATGCAAATAAATAATTTATTGAATAATTGAACGTTTCTAAAAATTCAATTCCCATAAAAAATCGTTATCAACAAATTTTCAAATAATTGAATTCTATCAACGAATTTTAATAAAGTTTTTAAGAATAATAACATTTTTCGAGAAATTCGATTAAAATTGTATTAAAAATAAATAAAATAATTGAAATTCTGCATTATGAACTTTATTATTTATGAAAATAATTGAATTCTTGCGAAGAATTTTATTAAAATTTTCAACAATAATTAAATTCTTGTAAAAAATTTAACAGGAATTCAATTATTTTTAAAAATTTTAATGAAATTCGTGGCATAAATTAAAAATAACAAAAATTCTTAGCAGCTATTCAATTACTTTCAGAAATTTTAATAAAATTTTTCTCAAGAATATAAATATTTTCATAAAATAATAAAAATCTTTGCAGAGATTCAATTATTTTCAAAAGTCTTAATAAAATTCTTCGAAAGAATTCACAGGGTGGCCACTTTTTTGTAAAAAAAAATTCACGGTCATTTTCCGGTCCATTCCCGGTCATAAATTATTTTTCCCGGTCATAAATAATAACTCTGAAAATAAATTATTCCATGAAAGATTGAAAGAATTTCCTGATTTTTAGACAAAACTTTGACTTTTTCCTAAACCCTAAAAATATTTTAGTTTACTCTAAAAATAATTTTGAACTTAAATAGATTTTTTGAAATAAATATTTAATTATTATCCATTATTTTTCCATATAGTAGGTACTCAAATTTAAAAAAAAATTAAAATTTCAAATCCTTTAAATTTGAATAATTTTTAAGAATTGCTACTGTAACTTATTAAAAATTATTTTCAAAATTTCAATTCAATTATATTCTAGAAATAACTAAAATATTTCTAAAATCCACTTGTTTACAAGACAATTTCATAAAATTTTGAATAATTTGAAAATTTTTCAATTAAATATTACATATTTAAAAACATAACTAATTTGAAAAAATGTGAATAAAAATATTTTTAAAGACTAAATTATTCAGAATTTTTAATTAAAATCTTTTAAAATTCAACTTTTCTAAAACTTCAATTTGAAATTTTTTAAAATTCAATCTATAATAATATTAGTAATATTAATGTAACATTCTAAAAAATCGAAAAATTTGCTTATGAATAATTGTAAAAAAAACTAATTGATATTAATGAAAAATACGGTTTTTTAAAATTTATTTTCTAAGAAAAGAAATTTTATTTATTTTTATTTACTTTATTTATTATTCAAAAATTCATTTTTATAAATTTCGTATCACTTTTGTTCTAATTAGTTCAAATTTTTAGTAATTCTTATTTGTTTTGCTATAATATTAATTGCAAAAAAATTTATAAATTGATTTATTTTTCATTATTTTATAGGATGTGAAATTTTTTCTCTTTGAAATTTTTTTGACAAATTTAATTAAAATTATATTTTGTTTAATTATTGTTAGAAATAGAAAGAATTTAAAATTAAATTTAATATTTTCTTTTTCTAAGTCTGTTATGTTGGACAACAAAATTTATAATTTTCTTATAAATTCTAGAAATTGAATATTTTTATAGTACTTTCTATAAAATTCTCTGACAAAATATAAATAGATTTTATAGAAGATCATTCAATCTTTTTTAATGAAATATAGTTAATACCTAAGTCTTAAAATAAATATTTCTATTTTTTCTCACAAAGTAATGTGTGTTTTAAAAAAAAAATTCCAAAATCCCAGTCAAGATCAAAATTCACTGTCATTTCCCGGTTTTTCCCTGTCCAAAAAAATTCACTGTCATTTCCCGGTTTTCCCGGTCCAGCGGCCACCCTGAATTCATTAATTTTCAAAAATATCAGAATTTTAGCAAAAATTCAAACATTTTAAAAAGTTTTGATAAAACTTTTTTTGGTAGAAGTTCAAGACAATTTTAAAAAAATGTCTCGATAAAATTCAATTATTTTTAAAATTTTAATGAAATTCTTCGAAAGAATTCAATTATTATAATCTAAGATTTTAACTGAAATCTATTTTTAAATCAATGTTTATGAGAAAATTCTACCAGAATTCAATTATTTAAATACAAAAATAAATAATTTATTGAATAATTGAATGTTTCTTGGAATTCAATTCCTATTAAAAATTTTATCAACAAATTTTTAAATAATTAAATTCTTTGGACGAATTTTAATAAAATTTTTAAGAATTTTTTCGAGGAATTCGATTAAAATTCTATTGAAAATAATTGAATTCCTAAAAAGAATTTTATTATTTACGACAATAATTAAATCCCCGTAAAAATTTTATTATTTATAAAAATAGTTGAATGATTGCAAAGAAATTTGTAAAAAAAAAGTTATTAAAGAAATTCTAGTAAAATTTTTATTATTTTTTGAAAAAAATTAAAAGTTTTTGTAGAATTTTAATAAATTTTTTTTTTAAATAATTAAATTCTTTTGGTAAATTTTATGAAAATAGTAGATATTGAACAATATTTAATTTTTGCGAAAAATATTATTACTATTGAAAATAATTGATATTTTGCAATATGGATTTTATTAAAACTTTTGAAATTAATTGAATTTTGTCGAAGGAATTTCGCTATTTATTTATAAAGATAATTGAGATGTTGACCATTTTTTTAGATTTTTTGAAAATAATTGAATTTCGGAGAAGAATTTTAATATTTCTAAAGATAATTGAAATTTTGACGAGAATTGTTAAAAATTTTTGAACATAATTGAATTTCTGCGAAGAATTTTATTACTTTTGAAAATAATTGAAATTTTGCAATGGATTTTATTAAAATTTTTGAAAATAATTGAATTTTATTACTTTAGAAAATAATTGAATTCGTGTGATAAATATTGTTAATTATGAAAATAATTGAAATTTTGTAATGAATTTTAATAAAATTTTTGAAAATAATTGAATTTTGTCGAAGAATTTTGCTATTTATTTATAAAAATTATAATTGAAATGTTGACAAAGTTTTTTTTAGATTTTTTGAAAATAATTGAATTTCTGAGAAGAATTTTGATATTTCTAAAGATAATTGAAATTTTGACGAGAATTTAAACAAATTTTTTAACATAATTGAATTTTTGCGAAGAATTTTATTACTTTTAAAAATATTTGAATTTCTGCAATCATTTGTAATTTCTCTAAAATTCTCAAAATTATATCATACAATTTACAAACTTTTCATCCTTTTTGAATGAAATTACGGACTTTACGGACCTTTTTTCAAAAAAACGGACTTTTTCAGGATTTACGGACCTACTTCGAGCCCTGATGTAAAAAGAATATATATATAGAAAAAAACCTTATTTTGAATTACTTACTCTGGTATCACAGGAGCTTCAGAATATGTTGGAATAGGAGGAACCGGTGGCGAAGGTGAAACAGCTGGTACTGGATCAATTGAACCCGGTGGCAGCGTTAAATTCAATTTATTCTTTGATGACATAATTTTACTTCTTCGGAATTTTTTTTTTCAATGAAAATTCGTTAGAAATTATTTTGATTTTATGCTCCAATATATTCAAGTGTAAATAAAATCAAAAATCAGTCTATGTTTACCTGAAATGGCGAAAGAATATTTTCAAAAAAAAAAAATTTTCGTAAAAATACGGAACAAATTCAAAGAAATAAATTCAGACTTTGCACTCGATAATTAATTTTAAAAAAAGTTGCAAAAAAGTAGCTTTCAAACTCAGGGTGTCTACTATTTTCGTTCAACAAAATTCCCGGTTTTTTCATAATTTTTCCAGCTTTTTTTTTCTTATCAAATTTAAATTTATTTGATTTCGAATATAAATATAAATCTACAAAATGTCTTCCAAAATTTTTATTAAAGTTTTAATGTATAATTAAATTCTTTTGATAAGTTTCTTTAAATTTCTTGCAAATAATGTTTCTTTAATAATTTTCATAAAAAATTTGGAAAATAATTGAATTAAGCAAAGAATTTTTTCAATTTTTTAAAATAATCTTGTCTGTTCATAATAATAATATTGAAAATTTGATTAATTCAATTTTATTAAAATGTATTGATATTAATTAAATTTCTGCAAAGAATTTTACTGTTTATAAAAATAATTGAATCTTTCCAAAGAATGTTATTACATATTTATGAAAATAATTAAATGTTTGCGCAGAATTTTATTAAAATTTTTGAAAATAATTTAATTGTGGAGAATATTTAATTATTTATAAAGATAATTGAAAATTTTTTTAAAAATAATATTCAAAAGAATTTAGTAAATCTGAAGAATTTTGCTATTTATTCTTGAGAAAATTTTTTTACAGTTTCTAGAAATAATTTAATTCTTGCAAAGAATTTTATAAAAAAATTTTAAATAATTGATTTCATTTGACTAATTTTATGAAAATTGTAATTTAAATAATTGAATTCCTGCGAAATTTTTATTATTCATGAAAAAAATGGATTCTTATGAAGATTTTTACAAACATTTTTCAAATAATTGAATGTCTGGCGTTTTATTAAATTTTTTTGAAAAAAAATTGAATTCCTAAAAAGCATTTTATTATTTATGAAAATAATTGAATTCTTGCGAACAATTTTATTAGAATTTTTTTAAATAATTGAATTTCCAAGAAAAAATGTATTATTTTTAAAAATAATTAAATTCTTGTGATGAATATTTTTATTCATGAAAATAATTGAATTTTGCAAAGAATTTTATTAAAATGTCTCAAAATAATTGAACTTTCGGGAATAATTTTAATATTTATCGACATAATTGAATTCTTTCGAAGAATTATTTATGTAAATAATTGAATTCTTGGGAAGAATTTTATTAAAATCTAAAAGAATTATTTCAAAAAAATTTAATTTAAATTGTATTTCAATTAATTGATTTCTTTCGAACAATTTTATTAAAATATTTGAAAATAATTGAATTCCTGTGAAAAATGCAAATATTTTTGTAAATAATTGAATTCTTCCAAAGAATTTAAAAAAACATTTTTTTAAATAATTGATAAAATTGTAAAAATTTAAAAATAAAAATAATAAAGAATCAATAAATTATTAATAAAAATTATGAAAATTATGAAAATTAATAAACAAACAAAATGAACAAACAATAGAAATAAATAAAATAAGTAATAGTGTAATAAAATAAAGAGAAAATTAAAAACAACATACCATAATTAAATAATCGTCTTTGTATAGAAACAATAAATAAATAAAACATAAATAAAATAATAAATAAATAAATAAATAACAGTTCACTATGAAATATAAAAATTTGTCAAATTAAGTGAAAAGTCAAAACATATTGCTAACTGCAAATTCAAATTTACAACTGAGCTCCAAACTTTGTCTAGTCCTTACAATAAACATTGATTAAAGAGAGAAGAACAAAAACAAAAACAAATAAAATAAGAACAGAGAATGAACACAATGAGTACTTATTACATTAAATTACTGAAAATAAAATTTTAATTCACTTTATACGATTTATCAAAATTATCTAATTGTAAACAAACATTATATTATTTTCATAAATAATAAAAATTTAACAGGAATTCAACTATTTACAATTTTTTTTATAAATTTCTTTGCAATGATTTCATTATTTTCATAAATAAATTTTTTTTTACACAGATTCAATTATTTTCATGAATAATAAAACTCATCACAGAATTTCAATTATTTTTAATACAATTTTAAACTAATTCCTCGAAAAATGTAATTATTCTTGAAAATTTTATTAAAATTCGTCGAAAAAATTCAATTATTTAAAAATTTGTTGATAAAATTCTTTATGAGAATTCAATTTTAAGAAACATTTATTTATTGAATAAATTATTTATTTTTGTATTTAAATAGTTGAATTATCGTAGAATTTTCTAATAAAAATTGATTTAAAAGTGAATTTTAATTAAAATTTTAGATAATAATTGAATATTAAAAGCAATTATAGCGTGAATTTCTAGAAATAATTGAATTTTGAAAAGTTTTCAAATTAAAATCTTTAAAAATCTGAATATTTCATAATTTTAACTAACATTTTTGTAAAATCAATTTTTTTCAAAAAGTATAATTTTTTTTTGAAATTATTTGAAATTTTTATTTTTTAAATATTTAATTAAAGAATTTACGAATAATCGGAACGTCGTAAAATTGAATTGTAAACAAATGGATTTGAAAATTCTCAAGGAACTTTTGCAAAAATTATTTAAAATAATTGATAATTGAATTCTTTTGAAGAATTTTAATAAAATTTTTTAAAAGAATTCAATTATTTAAAAAAATTTTTGATAATATTCTAAGCAAGCATTAAATTTTTTTATATTCATAAATAATAAAAATTTAACAGGAATTCAACTATTTTTAAATTTTTTTAAATTTCTTCGCAATAATTTAATTATTTTCATAAATAATTAAATTTTTGTTTACACAGATTCAAATTATTTTCATGAATAATAAAACTCATTATAGAATTTCAATTACTTTTAATACAATTTTTGCACGAATTCCTCGAAAAATGTAATTATTCTTGAAAATTTTAGTAAAATTCGTCGAAAAAATTGAATAATTTAAAAATTTGTTGATAAAATACTTTATGAGAATTTAATTTTGAAAAACATTTATTTATTCAATAAATTATTTCGTTTTGTATTGAAATAATCGAATTCTAGTAAAGTTTTCTAATACAAATTGATTTAAAAATGAATTTCAGTTAAAATTTGAGATAATAATTACATTTTTCGAAGAATTTACTTAAAATTGAATTAAAAATAATTAAAATCCTGTGAAGAATCATATTAATTCAATTCTTGCAACCAATTTTATTACATTTTTTTTAAATAATTGAAATCCCTGCTTAAAGGATTTTATTATATTTATAAAAATAATTAAATTCTTGCAACGAATTATATTACATTTTTTTTAAATAATTGAATTCTTTTGAGAAATTTTATTAAAATAGTAGATTTTGGAAATATTTGAATTTCAGCGAAGAATTTATTTATTTGTAATTGAATTCTTTCAAAAAAATTTTTTTTAAATAATTACGAGTTTTCAATGAATTTATTTGAAATTGTATTAAAAATAATTGAAATCCTATGAAAAATTTGATTATTTATGAAAATAATTGAATTCATGTGTGAAAAATTTTATTACTTGTAAACATAATTGAATTCTTGCGAAGGATTTTATTTCGATTTTTATAAATAATTTAATTTTTTTGAAAAATTTTATAATAATATTCTTATAAATTGTTGAATTTCATAAAGGTAAATATTATATATTTATATATATATATATATATTTATATTTAAATTCATTTTATTTATTTATTTATTTAAATATTATAAATATTTAATTAAAAATGAAGTTGTTGATGTTTTTGAATAATTTTACAATTAAGGAAATTCGTTAATAAATGTAATAGAAAATTTTTTGGAGTATCCAATAATTTTGAGAGTGAATCAGAATATTCTTTAGGGTCAGGGAAAAAGTTTAAATTTTGTCTGGAAATCAGGGAAAAGTCAGGAAGGAAAACACAAAATTAATTTAAATTTTTCTATATTAAAATTAAACCACTCTAACCTCACTATTTTTTCTAATTCTAATGAACAATAAAAATTATCTTTTTACTAGTAAATTTGATGATGCCCCATTTTTACACTTTATAATTTTTTAGTTTTCTTAGAAATAAATAATTAATCATTCACTTTTTTGATTTCGTGCGATCAAACTTAAAATAAATTGAGAAACTAATTTTACACTGAAATTCAACGCTACAAGTGATATTTTATGTGCATGCATAATATTCTGTATCAAACGGAGAAAATAAAATTTATTTTTCTATATGTACCGATAAAATTAGCAACAATATGAAATAATTCCTTTTACGTTTGAATTTTTGTTAAAAAAATTAAAATTTTTAAATGAGTTTTTTTTAATATTAACTTCTTTAAGTGCATCGTTATTTTTATTATTTTAAGTAGAAAAAAAAGTTGTTACCTACCTGATTAGATTGTAATGTAATTCTGTTGAAGTAGATAAACAATTTATTACTAACAATTTAGAATGTTAGTGACTTTATTAATGACACATTTTTGGTTTACAATAATAATCGATTGTTATTGTTAACATTAATTTTAAGTACGACATATTCTGACCAGGACACCTCATTTCCCGACTTCATGGATCAGCTGCCATTCAGGGTTATTTTAGGGCAGGGCACGGTCTTTATTAGCCAGGTTTGGTTATTCCCTGGTAGACAGAGATGGGGAACGTATTTTCAGGGATGAGAACAATTTTCTACAAAACTTAAAATATTTAAGATTTTACAAAGTTGATAATTCATCGGTAAAAAGTATTTTCTTTAATTTTTAACACTTTTTATGTAAGAAAAAATTAAATTTTAATGAATTTCTTACTCACATGTAAATTTATATGAAAGACAATTTGCTGAAAATAAATAAAATAAGTTTGTTTCATTCTAAATTTCGAAGTTCAAACGCAGGCTTGTGAACGGAACTTAAGACAGCCGCCATTTTAAAAACGTCGATTTTTGATGTCGATATATGAACAATCGAATAATCGAAACTAAATATACGTTTCTACGTTTCTTTTTGTGCTTCGTGGTTTTTTTGTTGTTGTAAAAAGAAAATAGACTAACGACTAAAACAAGTTGTTTATTATTAATTTGTATAATTTTTGTAAAATAAATTCTAATAATGACTGCCACTCAGCAGAAAACAAAATGTATAACTTTGAAGGGTTCTGCTGAATTAGTGAAGCAATATTTAAGTAAGTGCAACTAAAATATAATTTTCATTGTCAAATTTTTCAATAACGGTCAAATTCAAAATTTGTTTGTAAATACAAGAGAATGTTAGTTTATAGAATTAAAATTTGTTTCAATCTCTAGAATTAAATTTGCTTTTTTAAGAAAATAAGTTTTTTACGTTTTTTTTAAATGTACAAATTCGCAGAGAATGAGGTTAGGGAAAATTTAAAGGCAAAAACCGGCAAGAAACACAGAAAAGCAAATAAATACTTACACTCACAGAAATGATCTATTAAACATAAAACTAATTTCCTTTTAAATCATGTCCTTTAATCGTTAGCAGAAAATAATAAAAAATTGAATTTTTAAAATTCATGAGAAAACTCTGAATTTTGATGTTTTTTTTTGTTTGCCTCGTAAACTATTATGAAATTACCACGAATTTTAATACAAAACCTTCAATTTTTTATATTTCTGACAATAATTTTTTTTAAATAACTTAATTTTTCAAGAACTATTATAAAATTATGACTTAAAAATTATTTAATGTTCTACACTTCTCATAAATACTAGATTGATAGAAGAATTTTAGTTAAAAATAATAAAAAAAAATTGAATTTTGGAAAAGTTACAAATGATTCCAGAAATTCAATTATTTTTATAACTTCAATTAGGTTCAAAAATTTTAAAAAAATTTTTGTCAAAATTTCAATTATCTTTATAAATAGCAAAATTCTTCGACAAAATTTAATTATATTCAGAAATTTTTATAAAATTCATTGTAAAATTCAATTATTTTCATAAAAAACAATATTTATCACAAGAATTCAATTATTTTCAAAATTAATAAAATTCATTGCAAAATTCAATTATTTTCATAAATAATACTTATCATCACAAGAATTCAATTATTTTTAAAAAACATTACATTTTTTCTTCACAATTCAATTATTCTCCTAAAATATTCAAAATTAATCACAGGATTTCAATTATTTTTAATACAATTTTACAGGAAATTGTCAACATTTCAATTATTTGTATAAATGAATAGCAAAATTCTTCAACAAAATTCAATTATTTTCTGTAATTTTAATAAAATTCATTGCAAAATTCAATTATTTTCATAAATAATAGTTATCATCACAAGAATTCAATTTTTTTAAAAGAAAATAAAATTCAATTATTTTCATAAATAACAATATTCATCACAAGAATTCAATTATTTTTTAAAAACATTACATTTTTTCTTCACAATTTAATTATTTTTGAAAATTTTAATAAAATTCTTGTCAAAATTTCACAGAAATTCAATTATTTTTATGAACTTGAATAAAATTCGTTGCAAGAATTCAATTATTTATATAAATAATAAAATTCTTCACAAAAATTCAGTTATTTTTATAAACTTGAATAAAATTCGTTGGAGGAATTAAATTATTTTCAAAAGTAATAAAATTCTTCGCAAAAATTCAATTACGTTTAAAAAAAAAAAATTATTATCAAAATTTCAAGTATCTTTATAAATAATAAAATTCTTCTCCAAAATTCAATTATTTTAGAAAAATTTTAATTATTTTCATAAATAATAAAACTTATCGTAGGATTTTAATTATTTTTGATACAATTTTAATCGAATTCCTCGAAAAATGTAATATTCTTAAAAATTTTATTAAAATTTGCCAAAAGAATTCAATTATTAAAAATTTTTTTTGATAAAATGCTTCATAAGAATTCAATTTTAACAAACATTCAATTATTTAATAAATTATTTATTTTTTAATTTAAATAATTGAATTCTTCCAGAATTTTCTAATAAAAATTGATTTAAAAATGAATTACCGAATAATCGATTTATTATTTATAAAAATAATTGAATTCTTGTAAAACAAATTTTATTCTATTTTTTTAAAATAATTGAATTTTTTTGAGAAATTTTACTACTTTTTAAAATAATTGAATTCTTGCGAAGAATTTTATTAGGATTTTTGTAAATAATTAACTTTTTTTTGAAAGATTTGATGGTAATTTAAATTATTACAAGTTGTTGAATTTCAAAAAGGTTTGAATTTGAATGTTTTGAAGAATTTTAATTCTTACGGAAAAATAATAATGGTTAAATATTTATTTAAGAAAGAAGTTATTGATGTTTTTGAATAATTTTACAATTTAAGAAATTTGAAAATAAATGTAATAGAAATTTTTTTTAAATATCTAATAATTTTTAAAATGAATCGCAGAATATTCTTTTGGGTCAGGGAAAAAGGTGAAAATTTTGTCTGGAAATCAGGGAAAAGTCAGGGAAAAATAAAATTAAATATTTGTGGCAACCCTGTAAATATACTTTCTGAGAAATTAACATTACTCGGAGACGACAAAATATAAAAGATTCGAATGAAAATTTTTTCTGCATTAAATTGTTTATAACAAATAAGAAAAATTTTTCAATTAATTTTCTATTGCTGAAAAATGTTTAAGGAAAGTTTCTTAATTATGTTTGTTTACTAACAAATATTGCAAATTTTACCAAAATTATCTCTTGTATAGAAAAAATTTTTTTTTTAAATTTTTATTAACAAATGAAAATTTAAAGTTTTTTTTAACAACGTAGAATAATATTTGACAAAATAAATTTGTATTTGACCAAAAAATTAATTAAAAATTTGCGTTTACTTTTTCGTCTATTTTTTATTGTTCTAATTAAAAAACATTTTTTGTTTAGCCTACGGAATTAACAGCATACTCTATCAACGTGGAATTTATCCTCCTGAAACTTTTGAACCATTGGAACGTTTCGGTATATTCTTTCTAATGTCAGTTGATGAGAAAATAAAAACTTTCTTAGAAACTGTTCTTGGTCAAGTTCAAGAGTGGTTGGAGAAGAGAAAAATTCATAAAATTGCATTGGTCATTACGAATGTTAATACAAAAGAAGTTTTAGAAAAATGGGAATTTAAAGTGGAATATGAAAATGAAGTACCAAATGGTTCTGACAATAATGGAGAAGGTGGGAAATTACCTGCAATTGGAACCAAAGACATAGCTACAATTCAAAAAGAAATTCGAGAAGTTATTCGTCAAATTACCGGTAAGTAACATAATATATATTTTAAACTACTGCCTTATAATTCAGTAGTTTAAAATATAAATTGTAAAATGTAAATTACAAAATAAAAATAAAATATAAAATTCATATAAAAAAATTTAATTTTTAATTCTTTTTTCAGGGACAGTAAGTTTTCTTCCCTTATTGGATTGTCCATGCTCCTTTGATATTTTAACTTACACTGTTGCGGACTGTGGAATTCCAAAAGAATGGGATGAAACTCAACCTGCCTTTATTGCAAACAGTCAAGAAGTTCAACTGAGAACATTTTCCACGTCTATTCATAAAATGGAAACAATTGTCAGTTATAAAAGTTGTTAAATAGTTGAAAGTGATACAATTCTTTTTTTTTTTTTTTTTCATTTGGGAAACATTCGAATAACCAATTGTACATATAAACTTGTGTTTGAAACCTATCATGTGAGATGCAACAATTTTTTTTTAGTATTTATTGAATAATTTGAACAGTCTGTAAACTAAATGAAATGAATTACATTTTTTTGACAAAAAAAAGAACTTTTTTCTTCTTAAGTCAAGTTATATTAGAGACATGCCAAATATTCTAAGAATTGAGATTGTAAAGACTGTTTAAGTAAATAAAGAACCATTTTTATCTTTTTTAAACAAATTAGAAGTCATTTTCATTGTTAGTAAACATCACCATGTTGTGGAAAATATAAGAAAAACTATCAAAAAATTAACGAGACAAGATGATTGTGAAGTAGAAGATTTTATTATTAAAAATGGATGCACTCATCTACTAAAACCTACTATTTATTACTTTTTTACTTTATGATACTATTTGGGTACTTTTTTTTAGATTTCAGTCACTAAAAGCTACTATTTCTGATTTTGTTGAGAATTTCCACTACTTTTAATTCGTAATACTAGAAATCAAAAAACTATTCTCAAAAATTATAATCATATATGTAATCATAAAATTTTTCAAAAGAATTCAATTATTCAAAAAAAAAAAAATAATAATAAATTCATCCAAAATTCAATTATTTTCATAAATAATGAAATTTCCACAGGAATTCAATTAATTTAGAATAACATTTTCAAAAAAAAATTCAAAAAAATGAAATTAATTATTTAACAAAATTTTTATACAATTCTTCACAATAATTCAATTACTTTCACTAATAATAACATTTTTCATGGAAATTCAATTATTTAAACAAATTTTTCATAAACTTCTAAGCAAGAATTCAATTATTTTTAAACCTAATAAATTTTTTCTTGGAAATGGAATTATTTTAAAAAATTGTAATAAAATCGTTTGCACGAATTCAATTATTTTCATAAATAATTAAATGCTTTTTAGGAATTCAATTATTTTTAAAAACTTTTCGCAATTCAATGATTTTCAATATCTACTACTTTCATAAAATTTCCAAACAGAATTCAATTATTCAAACAAACTTTTTTAAAAATCTTCGTAAGAATTTAATTCTTTTCATGAATAATAAAAATTTCTCAGGAATTCAATTATTTAAATTTGAATTTTCATAAAATTAGTCTAAAGAAATCAATTATTTAAAAATTTTTATAAAATTCTTCGCAAGAATTCAATTATTTTCATAAATAATAAAACTCGTAGAAGTATTTCAATTATTTTTAATACTATTTTAAATTAATTAATTGAAAAATTTAATTATTTTTACAAATAAAGTTTTCCACAAGAACTCAATTATTTAAAATAAAATTTTAATAATAATTATATTCCGGAAAAATTAATTATTTAAAACAATGTTTATAAAATTCTTATGAAGAATTCAATTTTCAAAAATAATAAAATTTTTCAGAGAAATTAAATTCTTTTCAACTATTCAATTATTTTCATAAATAATAAAATTCATAGCAGGATTTTAATTATTTTTAATACAATTTTACAGGAATTTAGACATCAAAAAATGTCATTATTCTTAAAAATTTAATTTCAATTCCTCGAAAAACTAAATTATTCAAAAAAATGTCTTTTTAAAATTCTTTGGAAGAATTCAATTATTTATAAAAATATTAGAATTTTTTACAGGAATTGAATTATTTTTTAATTTTTATACAATTATTCACAATAATTCAATTACTTTCACTAATAATAACATTTTTCATTGAAAATTCAATTATTTAAAAATTTTTTATTTTAAATTCTAAGCAAGAATTCAATTATTTTCATAAATAATAAAAATCATCGAATTTCAATTTTTTTTAAATACTATTATTAATTAATTAATCGAAAAATTCAATTATTTTTACAAATAATGTGTTCTACAAAAATTCAATTATTCAATTTTATAAAATTTTCAAAATATTTGTTATATTTCTAAAAAATTAATTATTTAAAAGAATGATAATAAAATTCTTATAAAAAATTCAATTATTTTCAAAAATAACAATATTTTTCACAAAAATTTAATTCTTTTTAAACATTTTGATAAATTTTTTCGTAATAAATCAAGTATTTTCATATAAATAATAAAATTCTTCTCAGGAATTCAATTATTTTTGAAAATTGTAATTAAATTCTTTGCATTTATTCAATTATTTTCATAAATAATAAAATTCTTCTCACGAATTAAATTATTTTTGAAAATTTTAATAAAATTTTTTGCAATCATATTTCACAAGAATTCAACTATTTAAAATAAAAATTGTTATAATATTTATTATATTTCGAAAAAATTAATTATTTAAAACAACGTTTATAAAATTCTTTGCAAAATTCAATTATTTTTAAAAATAACAGAATTTTTCTCAATAATTCAATTATTTTTACAAATAATGAAATTCTTTTATAAAATTCAATTATTATTGAAAATTTAAATAAAATTCTTGCAACAATTCAATTATTTTCATAAACAGTAAAATTCATATATCAGGATTTCAATTATTTTTAATACAATTTTACAAGAATTGCTCAAAAAATTTTATTGTTCTTAAAAATTTAATTTCAATTCCTCAAAGAAATAAATTATTTAAAAAAATGTTTTTTTTAAATTTTTTGAAAGAATACAATTATTTACAAAAAAATTAGAATTTTTCTCAGCAATTCAATTATTTTTAAATTTTTATACAATTCTTCACAATATAATTCAATTACTTTCACTAATAATAACATTTTTCATAGAAAATTCAATTATTTAAAAATTTCTTTTATAAAATTCTAAGCAAGAATTCAATTATTTTCATAAATAAGAAAAATAATCAAATTTCAATTTTTTTAATACTATTTTAAATTAATTAATTAAAAAATTTAATTATTTTCACAAATAAAGTTTTTCACAAGAATTCAATTATTTAAAATAAAATTTTCATAATATTTATTAGGTATATTTCGAAAAATAAATTATTCTAAACAATGTTTATAAAATTCTTATGAAAAATTTTAATTATTTTCAAAAATAACAAAGTTGTTCATAGGAATTCAATTCTTTTTAAATATTTTAATAAAATTAATCGAAAGAAATCAATTATTTTAGGTAAATACAATTTTAATTAAATTTTTTTGAAATAATTCAATTATTCTTTGAAATTTTAATAAAATTCTTCCCAAGAATTCAATAATTTACATAAATAATTCTTCGAAAGAAATAAATTATGTCGATAAATAACAAAATTATTCCAAAAAATACAATTATTTTGAGGCATTTTAATAAAATTTGTTTGCATAATTCAATTATTTTCATAATATTCATCACAAAAATTCAATTATTTTTGAAAGTAATAAATTTTTATTGGAAATTCAATTATTATTTATTATTATTTATTTTATAAAAAATTCTAATAAAATCGTTCGCAAGAATTCAATTATTTTCATAAATAATAAAATGCTTTTTAGGAATTCAATTATTTTCAAAAAAAAAAAAAAATTAATAAATTGTCATACAGACATTCAATTATTGTCAAAAATTTTAATAAAATTCATTGTAAAATTCAATTATTTTTAAAAACTTTTTGCAATTAATTGATTTTCAGTATCTATACTATTTTCATATTTCCAAACAGAAGTCAATTATTTAAAAATTTTTTTGTAAAAATCTTTATAAGAATTCAATTTTTTTATGAATAATAAAAATTCCTCAGTAATTAAATTATTTATATTACAATTTGCTTAAAATAAGTCGAAAAAAATCAATTGTTTAAAATTTTTTATAAAATTCTTCGCAAGAATTAAATTATTTTTATAAATATTTAAATTCTTTCATGAATATTAAAATTCGTTACAGGAATTCAATTTACTAGCAGGATAAGAAAGAAGTAAATATTTTTGATGAAAATTAGGAAAAAGTTAGGAAAATGAAATTTAGAATGAAATTTCTATTAGTTTTGTAAAGTGTCTAAAACGATTTTTTTAGTTGTCAAGATTAATTTTTCGATAGCTATTTTTTACTACTGTTTTTTAGTTTAAAAGCTACTTTTCGCTACTTTTTAAAAATTAATTATCGAGTGGGAAGTTTGTAAAATATTAAAAGAGCAAAAAGTCAACTAAATCAGATCGAATATTATAGATTTAATTTCCACAAAAATTACCGAAAATATATTTTATTTAAAGACGTACCTAAAAGTCCTTTGTTTTATATTCAAATTAAGTCTTTTCAATTTTCCTTTTTCTCGTCGATAAAAATTGACTTTCGTTATATTGATGGATAGGGTTTATTAACGTCAACTGAACCCTCATGGTAAATAAACCAAGCTGCTTGATGTATGAAATACTTCTTTCTTGTTTAACTCAAACAATTTTAAAAATAGAAATATTCTCGTTTAGAAAAAAATGATGATGGTAAAAACTATATATATATATTTGTCAATAAATTTGGAAGTAGTAATAAATAAAGTACAATGTTTTACAGGTAAATCAGTAAAGTTGCTTTTCTATTTCATTGTGAATAATATATTATATAGTACAAACTCAAATGTTAAAATTAAAAAATAGATGATAATAGTAAATAATATACAGTATTTTACAACTTTATTGCTTAACACTTAGCGGTCGGATCGTTCAGCAGATTTATATTTTAGATCAGTAACTGATTAAATTAAAGAAAGAGCTTCATTTAAACAAAATTTATGAAATCAAATAAACGGGTTTTTAAATTTACTTCTTCGGAACAGGAAATACGTTAAATATTTAAAGGGCATTTCAACTAATTATTACCCTAGGTTAATAATGAGTACTTTACTGACCAGGGCAATAATGAGCCTTTTATTGACCGCTGGGTTATAATGGGGAACTTAGTTTGGTGGATTATTTTAATAATTGTTGCAAAATACTCAAAGAGGTCTCCAGTATTGGAATCCACAAAAATCCCATTTGACAGCATTAAATTTTATTTGAAATAAACGTATTTATAGAATTCGAGGCAAGTTACCAACTAAAGTAGAATTTCTAATCAGTTACAGATCTGCACATTAACATTCACGTTTGATCACAATTTTTTTTTTATATTTTCGTTTCATTTCGAGATTTATAAATAACATCTTTCATTATTACACTCTAAGTTTCACTCTTAATTGCGGCGATGTACGTATATTGCAACTTATAACAATAATAATTTGTAATAATAATTATAACACAAGTATTAATTTGAGTGCTTGGAGTGAAAAACAGCCTCCACACTATGAGCTTTTTTAATGGTGGAGACTATGTTTCCCAATAGATATTTATATAGATGACTTGTTTTTATTTATATTTTTTATACAGTTCTACTCAGTTACACTTCCACAATTGTTTTGAAGCTTTCATATAATGATTTCATGTTTTTTTTCGCATGTAACGGTTTATGACTTACATATAATAAAATACTCTTCTTTTACTCTCTAAAGCAGACTTATCGTGCCATTCATAATTTTTTTTTTCTTAATTGTGAAAATTGGCTCTCTATTTTATTTTATTCTATAAATATTTACAGATTTCCAAAAAGTAAATCTTCAAAAAAATTGACATATACATTTTCTATATTATTAAGGAAATTCAATTTAACACACAACTTGAAAGAGAAGTTCAAGAACTTAATCATTTAAATAGGATGTACATATGGTTTTGTACAGTAACTTTTTTATAATCCCATCATTGAGTATTGAGTTCTTGAAAATCAATTATGTGATAATTTTTAGAAATTTTCAAAAACTCAAATTTTTTCTTCTTCTATTTTTATAAAAAATTTTATGAGGAGGTAAAGACGAATTATAAATTTTGATAATGATGATTTGCTTTCGTTTTTGCTTTAATCGAATTAAATAAAAATGTCATATACTTGGCGACACTAGCAAGCTTGCACGGACATCATACATTATATGATTATTAATATTTGATGACATCGATGGGAACGGATTTACTCCATTACTGAATCACATATTATATTCTTTCATTCATCGTTTTTTTTACTATCTAATTACAAATATAATATACGTAAAAAGGTTTCTGCTTTCTAAAGTATGTGAAATGAGAATCCAAGATGTCACTTTTCGAAAGTAGATAAAAATAATAAATGTTTTTAAGTTGATGAGATAAATTATTTTTTAGAAGAAAAAATACTGTATCAATTCTCAAATAGTGATGAACATTGAGTATTTGGCCGATTTGATAAAAATGGAAGCAATAGCAATAATTAAAAATAAAACATTAATGAATGTTATTTTTCAATAAAAAAATTAAATAAAAAAATCTTTTCAAATACCAAGTGCCTTCTTCGAGAATCGTCTTATAGTCAAATTCCCCATTTAAATTTTCGATTGATTCCATAAAGTTTTAATTTTGTTTCACTGTCCCTGAAGACATCTGTATCTACTCTTTTTTTCTCTCATTCTAATAGAAAAGGATTCAAATAAAAACTTTAATAATTTAAATTCAATTTAACAGTTCCTATTAATTAAAACCTGTTCCATAATATCATGCGGTCGATTCTGTAACTCTTTCACTTTTCACTCCCACTGTCCAATTTCACTTTCAACTCTCACTTTTCATTTTCCACTCCCATTTTTCATTTCCCACTTTCATTTTCCACTCTCTCTTTCAACTCCTACTTTCCACTTCCCACTCTCACTTTCAATTTCCTACTCTAACTTCCCACTCCCACATTCAACTCCTAATTCCCACTGTCCAATGTCACTTCCCACTCTCACTTTTCACTTCCTACTTTTATTTTTCACTCTCACTTCCAACTCCTACTTTCCGCTTCCCACTCTCATTTTCCACATTTCCTACTCTCACTTCCCACACCCACTTTTTACTTCCCACTTTTATTTTCCACTCTCATTTTCAATTTCTACTTTCCTCTTTCCATTTCCCACTCTCACTTCTACATTCGACTCCCACTTTCCATTTCCCACTCTCACTTTAACTTTCGACTACCACCTTCAACTTCTACTTTCCATTTCCTACTCTCACTTCCCACGTCCAACTCCTACTTTCTATTTCCCACTCTCACTTCTACATTCGACTCCCACTTTCAACTTTCCATTTTCCACCCTCACTTCCCACTCCTACTATCCTCTTTCCATTTCCCACTCCCACTTCTACATTCGACTCCCACTTTCCATTTCCCACTCTCACTTCTACATTCGACTCCCACTTTCAACTTTCCATTTTCCACTCTCACTTCAACTTTTGACTTCCACTTCCAACTCCTACTTTCCACTTCCCACTCTCACTTTCCATTCCCTTCTCTCATTTCGAACTCCTCCTTTCCAGTTCCTATTTTCCACTCTCACTTCAACTTTCCACTTTCATCTCGCGCTTTCATTTCCCCCTTCCACTTTCAACACTCACTTCCCATATTCCCCTCCTAATTTCACTATCCACTCACATTTTCTACAATATAGTATTTGACATTTATCACAATTTTTAAATTCTGTATTGAATGTCAATTTTACTAATATTCAACTGATATATCAAATTTGTTTTATTGAATAGAAAATAAAAACTCAGGACAGTAAAGTAAAAATTAGGAGTCGAAAGTAAAATGGAAAGTGGAAAGGGAAACTTGGGAAATGAATGTTTAAAGTGGGGAGTGAGAAGCGAAAGTGGGTGGTGCCAGTGGAAAGTACGAAGTAGAAAGTTAGAGCGGAAAGTGACAGTGGAAAGTAGGAGTGGGAAGTGAGAGTGGAAAGTGGAAGTCGAAAGTAAGAGTGGGAGTGGGAAATAGAAGAGAGGACGTTCACTTTCTACTCTCACTTCCCTCCTTCCACTTCCCATTCCCACTTTTCATTGTCCCACCATTAGGAGGGAAAAGTGAGAAGCGAAAGTGGAAAGTGTAAGGTGGGGAATGAGAATGGGAAGTTGAAAGTGGAAGGTGGGATGTGAATGTAGGAATTGGGAAGTAAAAGTGGAAAGTGAGAGTGTAAAATGGGAGTGGAAGGTGGTAGTAGAAAATGAAAAGTGGGAAGTGAGAGTAGAAAGTGGGAGTGGGAAGTAAAAAGTGAGAGTAGAAGGTGAAAGTGGAAAGTAGAAGTGGGATAAAAAAATGGGAAGTGAGAGTGGAAAGTGAGAAGTGAGAGTGGGAAATAAAATTTGGAAGTAAAAAGTGGGAGTGGAAAGTGGAATTGGGAAGTGAAATTGGGAAGTTAAAAGTGAGAGTGGAAGGTGAAAGTAGAAGTGGGATATAAAAATGGGAAGTGAGAGTGGGAAATAAAATTTGGAAGTAAAAAGTGAGAGTGGAAAGTGGGAGTGGGAAGTGAAATTGGGAAGTTAAAAGTAAGAGTGGAAGGTGAAAGTGGAAGTGGGATATAAAAATGGGAAGTGAGAGTGGGGAATAAAAGTTGGAAGTAAAAAGTGAAAGTGAAAAGTAGAAGTGGGATAAAAAAATGGGAAGTGAGAGTGGAAAGTGAGAGTGGGAAATAAAATTTGGAAGTAAAAAGTAAGAGTGGAAAGTGGTATTGATAAATAAAAGTGGGAAGTGAAAGTGGAAAATGTGAGTGGGAAGTAAAAAGTAAGACTGGAATGTAAAAGTGGAAAGTAGAAGTGAGATATAAAAATAGGAAGTGAGAGTGGGAAATAAAATTTGGAAGTAAAAAGTGAGAGTGGAAAGTGAGAGTGGGAAGTTGAATTTAGGAAGTTAAAAGTGAGAGTGGAAGTGGGATATAAAAATGGAAAGTGAGAGTGGGAAATAAAAGTTGGAAGTAAAAAGTAAGAGTAGAAAGTGGTAGTGGTAAATAAAAGTGTGAAGTGAGAGTGGAAAGTGGGAGTGGGAAGTGAAAGTGTGAAGTAAAAAGTGAGAGTGGAAAGTGGTAAGTAGAAAGTGGGAGTGAGAAGTGAAGTGGGAAGTTTAAAAGTTACAGAATCGACCCTCAGAGCCTTCTGTTCGGTGAATAAATCAGGTATGGGGCCGTCCATAAACCACTTGGACACATTTGGGGGGGGGGGGGTGAATCAAAAGTCCACGTTTGTCCACGAAGGGGAGGGGGGGTGATAAAGCAAATGTCAACGTGGACATATAATCAAAGATATTTCCAAAAAAGATATCTTAAGCTTAATCAGGATGATCATAAGTTTCAGTTAATCAATTTCCCTGACAATTTACTGACATTAAAATTAATTTCCCTGACAAAATTCTTTTTACAGAAAAATATGAATGTTTACGGAAAATTAGTAAAATTTATGATTTTAATTATTTTTTAAAATGACAATTATAACCCTTCCTGAATTAAATTATTTTCTACAATTTCCACCCAGTAAAAAAAAAGTATTGGAAGAGAGCGAATAGTATTGTCGGTGAGTTTCTGCCAATACGATTTCTTAATTTCCCTGACAAAAAATTTTTTCCTGACATTTCCCTGACTTTACTGATATTCTTGCTTTGAAATGTTCAAAAATAATGTTTTTTATTTTTTAACATACAGGAGTAAAAAAAAACTTATTTTTTTAATTTGCAATATCCACGTGGACAATTGTATAGGGGTTGAGGGGGTTTGACAAATGTCCACGACTGTCCACAACGGGGGGCGGGGGGGGGGGGGGGTCAAAAATTGGTGAAAAATTGTCCACGTGGTTGATGGACAGTCCCTATGAATCACCGTTGCCGGAAAATTTAAAAATAATTCGGGATATGTTTAAGTTTCCTTCTGAGGCATAACAAATTAATTGAAATCAATAATTATTTTAAAGTCGACATTCAGCCTTGCCCTCGTTTTCATTCTTATATTTTGTCTTTAAATTCCAACATTTAGAACAGTTTTTTGCACAGTTTGAAATAATAATTTTTATTTTCATAAATATTTATCGAACAGTTACAAATCAGGAATTGCAGATATTCCTCCCTTGAGTGTATAGATGGACGTGCATAGATGGTACGTGCTAAATGATGCCTTTATCCCTGTCCTCTATGACACGTCACGCACAAATGGGTTTATAAAAGTAGTAATTCTCCCAACCAATTTTATTACATTTTACAATCAAAAGAATGTCCATTTTATTGTTTCAATATGTCATCACTATTTGAGTATTGTTTAACTACATTTTTTTTTGTTTTTTTTAGAAAGTAAATCCCTATAATTGATTCTCGAAATTAAGATAAAATTTAGTTTTCTCATTTCTCACATCATCAATAAAGCTTTGGATAAAAAAGACTTGGGAACTTTGTACACGTTGGCAGTCTAAAAACCCTGATGTAAACGACTATCTGCGCATTTTACAATTTCATATATTTACTTTGATATTTATAGTTTGATTTCACACTTGTCTTATATGGTTGCATTATCAGATTAGATTTTGAGCACAAGTAATTAAATCTCAGTAAAATAAATTAATTCTTTTTTTTAATTTCTTTGATGATAATTCTATTAAAATTATGTTCTTTTGGATAAATGTCTAGAATATGATTTTTATATAAAAGTTTAATTTAATTTTTCGAACCATGCGCTATTCTTTTGAAATTAATTAACCGCTTTATTCTTTTTATAAACGTGAGTGACGTATCGCTATTTAAAACAAGATTTTGTATTTGCGTCGTCAAATAATTTTATGTAATTTATTCTCGCCGGTTGCATTTTAAATTCTATATTTCATAATGGTCTAATAAAAATATTTATGGCAAATAGTATAACATAGAAGAGAAATGTATAATGAATATTAATTATAATTGTAATGTTTTCAGTGTGTTATTCATGCCAAGTAGAAATTTTAACTTTTTTTCGTAAATGCAAAAGGTAAAATATAATTGATTTTTAATACTTAATATCCACTGTTTAGAATTTTGTTATTTGAATTCAGATTCGTAAGTAGCAAACAAAAAGATGAGAAATATAATGTAATTACTTTGAGTTATACTATAAGTTATGCTGAAAATAATTATGGCTTAAAAGCTGATCGATATGTCGACTACTAGGACTGAAAAAGTTAAAATATAAGAAGACCACATTGTCACGCTAATTGTTTCTATTGGTCGGACGGATTTATAAACTAGCGTTCTGATCAATTATCCTATAACACTTCTGATTAAATAGTAATTAAATTTACAGAAGGTTTGATATTACAATTCGATAATTTTTGGGAGTAATGTTATGATTGATTAGTAAGATTAAGATTTATTTTCAAAGTAAAATTATATAATAGAGGCACTAATGAAGAATTTGAACGCAGTTTTTATTTATTTTGCTATATGCATATTGCATGCCTCATTAAAAAATATTTTATTGCTTACTGAGGTTTAATTACTTGGCTAATAAAACTGAAAGGCCTTCAAATCTCCCATCGTTTGAGAAGGGATCAATAATTGCAATTTTTTTTACGTCCTGTAAAATGAAATTGTAGCACCGTCAGATTATTACAAAAAAGCTTTACGCTAGCACGAGTGCAATCAGATGTATGAATTTCGACTTCTTCGTTGTTTATGGACGTAATTGTACAATAGTGATTTCCTCCTGTTTTTCTTCTGAATAAGCAGAGCCTCTTCTGTTACCGGACACTGGACCCATTGCATCTTCTTCATTCAAATATCTTTCCTTTAAAAAACAGAAAGAAAGAAATCATTAGATAATTATAGTATTCGATCATTGTAATATTTGTAAAAACTTAAAATTATTACACAGGATATTACATCTCCGTAGATTAGCCTCAGGTCACAGGAGAAAATATTCCAGGGAATTTTGTTGGAGGGACAATCTGTAGCTATTACCGGTAACAACTAACGGAATTTTTATTGGTAATAATTCCAGTAGTAGATTAGTTAGTTGTAGGTTAGTTTTTTTGATGACGGATCTAGAGGAAGAGTTGGGGTATTAGGAGGATTTATTTAATGACGTATGTGAATGATATTGTGTTGTTAGCTAAATGTGAAAGGGGTATGAAGTTAATCTATCTTAATTTTTATCCCAAACAATGTAATTTTAGTGTTTCTATATTTACTCCGATCGATCGGATCGATTATTTCCGAAATAGTGTATAATAAACTAAACTACATAAATACTGAATAAACCTTATGTTTCAAATTAACTCTAAAGCTATAAATTTCGACCGAAACAGCACAACATTTAAATACAATATTAAGCTGAAATTTTGTGCTATTTGGGAATAAACTTGCATAATTTGAACAATAATACTTTTATCATAAACGTGAATTCTGCTTCACATTTAAAATAAAAGTATTATCTGAGAAGAGAATTGTAAAATGAAAATTAATAATTCACATACAATTTAGAGTTTCATTAAAATAGAGAAATAAAAAAAACATCTATAAATATGAATATTGGGTTTCGTCATATTTATTCCACCTACATTAAAGCTTATTAGATTTCATATTAAAATGAAATTCTAGCTTTCAAAGAACGGTATTAAAATTCACTTAATTTCGAACTCAGAAAATGAGGCACAATGTCGACAGGACAGCAGGTGTGATTTTCTTTATTTTGTTTTGATGCTGTTTTTATAATATATTCATTTCTTTCTCCCTTTTAAATAATGGAAAAGTGAATTTTTCTCCTTATAATTTAATTATAAAGATAGGCATTAGGTGAAAAAGGAATAGTTAAGGTAATTTAGAATAATTAGTTAGAAATTATTTTCAAATTTCGGGACGCGGACGTTCATCCACTTTAAAAGGATTATTAATCTAAAAATTCCAAACTTACATTTTTAAAAATATTTTTTCGTCCTCCGGATGCAAACTTCAAGGTTTAACATTGTTTGATTTCATGGGATGCAGTCTAGAAAAGTTCGTCCTTGAAGATATGTTGGGTTATTAGAATTATTGAGGCTTCAGCTTATAGTGGTGATGCTCTTAACAGTAGGATGTTCGAAGTTGATGGCTCAGCTTACATTTTTTGGCTTCTGGAGAATAAGAGAAGGTTGTTAGATTATAAAAACAAAATGTTATTAATAAAAAATAATTAATCAAACAGGACTCATCACTTTAAAATTGATGTTAAATTAATTTAACACGTAAATTAACTTAAATTCATAATTATTTATTGACAATCATATCGATAAAATTATTATATGAAAGAGAACATTTTTCCTTCGGCTGGATGCGAAATTTTCCAAATCTTTTTGTCTACAATTAATATTTCAAGTTTGTTCCAAATGTCATGTCATCGGGACGCATTGTATATTTATTAAATAATATTTTGTGAAGTTAAAATCTGAATCCTTGTTCTCTCGAAATCTAAATCATCTTGATCCAAGTGTTCACCCGGATTAGCAGTTACCAAATAGGGTCATCTGTCTTTTGCTACCCTTCCACTTGGTCCTCACCTGCTGGATACAGGACTTAAAAATTTAATCAATAAAAGCGTCTTGACCCAAAAAGTAATAAAAAAGGGTGGAATAATCCCTTGGAAAGGAATAGTATAAAAGCAGGCACCCTTGCCGAATTAGTCAGTCCAGAAGTCACCCTCAAATCAGCAACCCGCGTTCTTCGTCAGTCCAGAAACCGCGACCAAGTTAACAAGTTGTGTATTGCCGTCGAGTTTATTCTAAGACTCCAGTTCCAAATATCTCTTCAAGTACCAATTGCATTCTTCAAGTCTCAATCAAGTTCGTTCAAGGAGATAATTTCTACAGCGAGACACATTTCTATTTTTCTGAGGACTGCATTATTTCGACTTTAACGTCAAATCAATAATTCGACACCTGGACTCCGGACGGACCTTCCACTTCGGCTGGTTCGAAAACAATTCGAGGGAAATCTACTGCATATTCTGTTTCCCGCTAGACGACGTCATTTCTTCGACCTCACTCTGAAGGAGGTATTACATGTTGGGTCTACGACTCTAAGAATAATTTTAAAACGTAAGTAACTAATACTTTTTGTCCCCAATTAAATTTTTGATTGATCCCACAACACAATTTTGTTTCAGTATCCCTGAAGACATCTGGATCTACTCTTTCTCTCTCATTCTAATGGTAAAGGATTCAAATAAAAACTTTAATAATATAACTTTAATTTAACAGTTACTCTTTCTTTAAGACTGTCCCATCCGCTCTGTAAATAAATCAGGTTTGAATCACCGATGCCGGACAAATTAAATATGATTATGTTTAGTTTCATTCTGAGACATAACACAAATATCAATTACGTCAAATATATCGATTGTTAAAAATCAAGACTTACCATTATAAAATTGCAGTTCTGAGAAGTGCGCGTCGTGGGTTTCTTGAAAAAAATTAAAATTGGATGAAAATAAAATTCAAAGAGGATAAAGGAGTATGATTTTTGTGGGGAATTAAATTTGGAAGTGGATGAAATGAATGTTGAAAGGAGATGGTGGAATGTGACACGGAAGATACTGCTCGAAAGGAGATTGATGATGTGAATAAGACTGCGAGAAAGAACGAGGAGAACGTGGAGACGTAAAATAGGTTTCGGATTAGTAAGGGGCGGAGGATTATGTAACATGCTGGTAAAAGGTACAGAAGGTAACTTAGAGGAAGAAAATTCTTTAGGAGGAGCGGAAGTGAAAAACGGGAAATAGGACTGGAGGTAAGGCTACAATAAAACAAAACACGATGAATGTCCCGATGTGCAAGCTGCAAGCACAAGAAACAAGTAGAAGGATTGCGTTAGTTCCTGTTAGCTTCTGAATGGAAGATTTATAGTTGAGTTTAAATAAGAAGAATACCTCTAAGATAACGCATTTGAATTATATTTTTTAATTATTAAACATTTTCTGGTAGTGAAAAATAATCATAAAGAATTACTGAACGGTTTTTGAAGAAAAAAATTTGTAATTAGACAATTTTTAATATTTCAGTGACTACTGTATATAATCTTTTAGATTGTTATATTTACTCAATTTCAAATGATGAATATATAGACTAGGCAAAATATCCGTTTTAACTCAGCTTCTATTTTATTAGAAGGGGTCAAGATGCTTTTCGCAAAGCAATATAAATTTAGAAACTGGTTAGTGCGGAATTCTTCCTGTTCTCTCATTTCTCATGAAAAATTACTTTAATGCTTCATTAACCCTCTATGCCGGTGTGCTCATGACCGTTATCAAAAAATAAATTACAATCTACAAAACCACCAAATACCAAATTTTGCTACTTTTGATAAATTTTTTTTGATGAATTTAGAATTATTTCACAAAGAATTTAATATATTTTTTTAAAAATACAATAAGTGGGAAATCATCAATATTACCTTGGCAGTGCCGCTAGATGCGCTAGAAACGGGCGAACGTCAAATCTTCAGTGAACGAAGAGAATTTGTCCACATCTTAAAAAGAAAGAAATTAACATTTTTGATGAGAATGATAGCAATTTGAAAAATATATTAATTTAGATAATGAAATGACACTAAAAATCATTATCGATTACATTTAACTTTCTCACCCTTATACTACTGTGTTTTTAGCGACAATATTGTTATAAGATATACATTCGATTTTACTAAAGGCTGTTCTAGTTCTATTTCCGACGTCAATGAATCATTCTTGTTCATCTATCTCGAGTGGAAGCGCAACGGAGTATATAAAAAATTGCGGTTTAATATTTGTGATCGTAAATTATTTTTATAATCAAACGAAATCAAATGAATTAAATTAAAATCAATTTCTAATTAAATAAATAATTCACAATTACTTTATAATTAATTAAAATCACTTAAACATTGAATAAGGAATTAAATTCAAATTAAATTTCAAATTAAAATATTTTTCAAAATCTTCAATCGATGTTGTTACTTTGGAAGTCACCTGGATGGCTACTCCAATCCAGTACTAAAATGAAAGATTATTTCAGGATCTGAGCTATAGAGGTCTTCATTTGTCAATTGGAAAAGCCAAGAATCGACAATAAACAATTTTTTTATTTCTATTAACAGAATTACATAATTACATTGGTTACAATATTAAAGGAGTTGATTTCCACTAAGTGATGAGGATCAAGTGGGAGATTTGCAGTCAAGGTATAATGATATGCACTGTCGATTACACAGGTCAACAAAAAAAGACTTACTTTTTTTTTATGAGATAGCGGAATGGTTTCCTATGTATTTTTGGACGCTGAACACGATCCCGACTTCCAAAATTGCCCATCACGTCAGGATTTTGAGAAAAGTGGGGGTAAAGACCCCAAAAACGCTTTTTTGAGGATTTTCAACATTTCTTTTCTCTTTAACCTGACGTGCTAGAGACTTCCACAAGGTCTTAAATTAAAGCTTGTAATGTGCACTACAAGATCAATATCCATAAAATGAAAAAAAATTAAAATTTTTTTCAAAAAATGGGGTTGAAGACACCAAAAATTTGTGTTTTTGGATTGCTTTAATAGACTTCTTGCAATCGCTTGGATTCTTGGATTATTGTCCAGTGCACATCATTAGAACCCATTAGACCGTCGATAAACCGGTTTGTACTCTGAAGAGGTTTTCTACACTTCCCCTTTCATCTGGTGAGAAAATTCATTAGACGGGTGGTCAAGGCAAATACCTGGTATTGAATGTCACACGTCATCGCGACGTATTGTATATTTATAAAATAATATTTTGTGAAGTTAGAATCTGAATCCTTATTTTCTTCTAATCAAAGCAAGTATTGATCAGAAGTCTGTCTGGATAGCGAATGCCAAATAATTATGGTCATGTGTATCTTGTTATTTTTCTGCTGGTTCCTCGCCTATGTAATACAGGAATTAAAAATTAAATCAATAAGTACGTCCTGACACAAAATGTCATAAAAGTGGGAGGTATGACGTAGTATTCCTTGCAAAAGGAATAGTATAAAAGGTGTCACCCTTGCTGAATTTGGCAGTCCAGAAAGCGCCTTCAACTTAACGAGACACAAGTCATCACTTCGCGTATTCTTCGTGTCAGTCCAGAAATCATGACTAAGTTAACAAGCTGTGTATTGTCATGGAGTTTATTCTTCGACTCCAGTTGCAAAAATCTCTTCAAGTACCAAGTGTATTCTTCAAGTCTCAGTCAAGTTCATTCAAGGAGAATTCATTCAAGGAGATAATTTTTACTGCGAGGCACATTTCTATTTTACTAAGCACTGCATTATTTCACCTTCAACGTCAAATCAATAATTCGACACCTGGACTCCGGATCTTTCACTTTGGCTGGCCCGAAAACAATTTAAGGGAAATCTACTGTATATTCTGTTTCCGGCTGGACAACGTCATTTCTTCGACCTCACTCTGAAGGAGGTATTACATGTTGGGTCTACGACTCTAAGAATAATTTTAAAACGTAAGTAACTAATACTTTTTGTCCCCAATTAAATTCTCGATTGATCCCTCAAGGTTCTAATTTTGTTTCAGTATCCCTGAAGACATCTGGATCTACTCTTCCTCTCTCATTCTAATTGTAAAGGATTCAAATAACGTCAAAAACGTAAAAACGTTTTTAGAACATTGGATGTTCTTAAACCGTTATGTAGTGGACATGAAACGTTCTAAAATCGTTTTAGGAACGTTTCAAGAACAAAGACGTTTTAGTGCCCAGAGGGCATCGACTCTGATTGTTCGAATTCCATCAAGATCAATTGATTTAGTAAATTTTTTATATTTGTTGATGACAACAATTTTTAAGGTATCAGAGTCTGTTTGGAGTTTTATCTTCAGGAAGATTAAACAAATCTAGACTACACTTTCTTTCCGACCTATCGACAATTACAGGAATTAGTCTCGAGTACTGGGTTAAATATTTTATCAGCCCGCATCATACTTGTCAAGTCTCTCTTCGACAAAAACAAGACGATCCGTCAAACCAATCACTATCCTCCATATTTCTGAGTCTAGAGAACCTGTCATCATGTTTAGCATTTATGTCCATAAAATTCTTCGATACTGTGGTAAAATTTTTGAAGAAGGTTTGAGTTAATTATATTATGGCGTCCATAATGCACTCCACGTTAACAGAAGACTGAGCACTGAGAATCATTTGACGGGGATAGTGACCTTGGTTTACAGCATTTAGCAAATGATCCGTCAGGCAAAGTAAAGGTCTGCAATGCTCAGCTTGGATGATAAGGAAGTTTACATCCAAAACAAGTGCAATATCCCTACCACACTTAGTTCACTTCTTAATATTTGCAGTAGATGACATTTTCAATTCAGTAAGGAATATAACTTGTAAAAATAAAATGTCCACAAAAAAGAATATTGCAAACTCCAATGAGAAAAACCTTGTTAAAGATGTAATGCCTCAATTACAGAATTCCAATTTATAAACCCTCCTGAAGAGAAAATTTTATGAATGTTATAGATCTTTTTTATTAAATTACGTTCATTGAAACTGATAAATTTTTAGATTAAATATTAATTTCGGAATAAAGTAACAATTTTTGCGTGAAATAATTCTTTTCATAAACCTATACAAGATAATTTTTTTTATAAATAAATAACGTCAATTCTGTCTCATGTTAATGGGTCTGTATTTCTGGCCAAGGTATGTATTTGAATTTGGAAATTGGCGTTCATGTACGTTAGCAAAATAGAGGTATCGTAGAGCAGTAATACGTATTAGACTACATTTCACGGTCGATCGAGTCTGAGACCAGCCCATAGACTATTTCCCAAAGGGATTCAAGACTTGATGTAATGTTCTGTAGGTATTGGGTATATGTTATACGTTTGCTACTTGCTTTATCGTATAACGAAATTCTATGTGAGACAGGTCAAAAACCTTTAACCCATGAACTAAATTTGTCAATAGGTGTTCTTCAAAGTTTGATTTAAAAATTGAATTGCGTTGCACGTATTTGAACGTTCGTTTTTTTACTCACAGTGATCTGTTATGTTTAGAGATTTTTTAGGAACCTTTTATTGTCTCCCAGTTTTTGTTGGTAGCAAAAATATTCTTTTTCGAGTATTCTGAATGTAACTCTCCTATTAATTTAATATACACCATTCCGTGTAATGTGTTAATTGACTGATTCAATTTATGCAACGTGGCTTTGGTAAAAAGAGAGTATAAGACAGTCGTGCGTGAGCCATTGCGTTCGTTGATTATACGGAATTTCACAAGAAGCGTACAACCTGAATGCGAAATGTTAATTATTTCTTGTACAATTATGTGTGAATGTAAAATTGAGTCTTTGAATATAATATACAATTTATACAAGGATAATTTAATTATCATGAAAATATATAATTGTAACTTTATGAGATAGATAAAAACCAGGATTCGTAATTATTGTTATTCTTGCCGCGTGGGATCCTTTAGTTATCTTTAGATTGTAATTAAATTATGATTCTGATTTGTAACGTGAAAAAAAAAGAAAAGAGAAATATGATGTTCAAGTGTGTTTGTGTAGAATGCAAATATTCATCCTACAAGAGTTATTCGGATAATGTTCATTTTTTACGGTTCCAAAAGATAAAAAGATTATAAAACAGTGGCAAATTGCTACGGCGGGATGATATTAAAGTCAAAGGGAGTGAAATGGTCTGTGAAAAACATTTTCATTCTGAAGACATCTTTCGAGAAAAGTTATTGTATGAACCTGATGGCGTTACACTAAAGCGGAGATTAAAGAATTCATTTAAAAAAAATTTTTAATTTATGTCATTTTAAAAATTAAAAGAGAAAATGTTGTCATTAATAAATTTGCTAATTTTTCATTTTTTGGTATCATTGTCAATAATAACAAGTGAGATTCTATTATACAACATTGTTTGAAATTTTTAAAATACAATGTATGTACAGACGGTTATATTGATGACATTGTGTCATTGTCTATAATGAATGGGAAGTTGTCCCTTCTCCATTGATGTTTTGATTTGATCATTCACTTCCGACATTGACCACAGTATCTCAAGCATTGTCGATAATTTGGCAAAACGTATTTCATATGAGATATATACTCAATAGCATTACGTGCGAACCGTGAAATTATACCGCAATAACTCATAGTGCGTGACGAGTGGGATGCATAATAGGATTATACAACTAAAGTCTCATTGAAACATACAGTAGGCCACTTGAACTTATCCCCGTTGAGATGCTAATATTCAGTTGATTTAGATTTTGTTCTACGTCTATTAATCTTTCGATTATTTATTAAATTGACAATGTAGTTAATCATCTAATAAATTCAAAACTAGTCTTACAATAAAGATTTTGGCGAATTATTATTTTCTTTTTAAAATAGTCAATTTTTTTCAACTTCTCTTCAATTAGTTTTTTAAATATTACTGAAAGTGGTTCCTAGTTGTATCAACTGGAAATTTTTTTAGGTTTAAAAATTTATCGTAAAAATCCGGGATAAAATTAACGTTTTAAATTAATTTAAATTTAGCTTTAGATTATAAATTTAATATAAATTTTATTAGAAATTGTAATTAAATTTTTTAAGTCTCAATTGAAAGAAGTATTTATATGAAAATTATTTCACAAAAATTATTGAAATTTTGTTTAACGATTTGAGTGAGCAATTTTTTAGTGTAAAATTTAATTTGAAAATAACATCAAAGTCATTTAAAATATTCAAATATTTTGATGCAGATATCTTATTGTCCATTGACAAAAACATAAAATTGATTGCCAGCAACTCCCAGGGTACAAATAATAATTAGTGGCTATATCCTTTTTTGATTAGTTTGTAGCGAGTTTTTAATGAAATCTTCTATATTTGTTTCGGTTTGAAAAGGAGGATATTTAATTACCTAAAAAAAATTAAATCATCAAACTAATTGCATTTGAAGCACAATTATTTTTAAATCACAAATTATAATTACTTGATTATGGATAAAATTGTTTTTTTAAGGTTTACTGCTACTGGTGTTCGTGATTCTCTGCTCGTGGTTGTAATAAATTGAATAAAATAATTTTTATGAAACTTAGGTATGTAAAAGTAGAGATAAAATAAAAAAGTATTGAGAAATATGTACAATTTCATTATTACACAAAATTTCTTTTTTATCAATACTCGAAGCACCTGTAGCTTCAGAATTTGTTGACTAAACATAAAATATAATGATATATTTAATGCTCAAGTTATTAATTTAGAAACGCCACATAGACCTAGTCATTTGCCACGTTGCATACGTTTACAAAAAAACTACTGAAGATTTATATTTGTCTGCTTGTTTTCATGTATTAAATACGTGAAAGAATTGGACATCACGACCGTATGTATTTACTTCTTTAAAGTTGAATTCCATTCTAATTATTATTTTTTTGACAATACACTAGTTTTAAATCTAATTAGTTTAAATGCCTTATTCGCACTTTAGTGAAAAAATTGCTTGTGAACCTAAAACGATCTGAAAAAGTTTCCAAAAACATGATTACATCACATTCAAAATTCTTGGGGTGGTAGAATTCGAATTTGATGTTAGATTATCAAGATTCACTATGACGGACTTAATATGGCGGATAATAAGCGATCACAAACATTCCAGAGTTTTAAGGGAATCTGATCAATTTTTGAATTTCTGTGATCGCCATTTTGATTCCACGATTTTGAATTTTGAAAATTTGATGTCAAATTCGAATTCAGAAATTTCAAATGCACCATATATGGTTCATGGACTGTCATATGGGGTTAAAAGCGTTATTCTTTAAATATTGAAAAGGTTCTTTAATAATCTAAAAGTATTTCGCCATTAAACCGCCTTAACATTAGAAATACAATAATTATTTTCTTATATTTTTTAAGTGAAACGATACCAAGAGCACTGAATAGAAACTATATTAGGGAATTACACTCCTCATATGAGTAATACTACTTATTCATTATGAAAAGAATTGCAATTGTTTTTATAATAATCTCATTGGTCTACGGTGAAATTTGTAAACTAGATGAACAAGAACTAACAGAATTGGAAAAATCCTTCGATGAAGCAGAAATTTATACGAGAAGAGAAGCTTCAAATGAAAATGCAGCGATTTGTATAGGAACCACAAGGGCAGGGAAAAGTACTTTAATTAATTACTTAATAGGCAATGAGCTAAAGGCCGTCAGATTTTCAAGATATGGCGATATTAAAATAATTAAAGCAGACAATCGATCAATTGGACCGGAAATTGGCCTCGGACCAACGTCAAAAACTACAATTCCCACAAAATGGAAATCAAAAAGATTGAATAATTTGATCATTTTTGATGCTCCTGGATTTCAAGATAATAGAGGACCAGTACAAGAAATCACTAATTCTTTCTATCTCTATCAATTGGCGAAAAATGTTAATTCCTTAAAATTTATTTTAGTTATTAATTTTGCAGATATTGAACAAGACAATATTACACCATTCATGAAGCTTTTACTTGATTTTGATAAATTTTTTGGAAATAAGTTCAAAGACTTTTTTCAAAGCATATCAGTGATTTTCTCAAAAGTACCCCATGAAATGTATGACACAGAAGTTGATATTAAAATGATTAAACACTTATTGAAAAGAAAAGCTCCTCTAGCAGGGAAAACATCTTCCAATAATGTAAAGGATTTTCTTTCTTATATAACGGAAAATAATGATAGTATTGCATTATTCAAAAAATCAAAAGAAACAGGAACTATTTCCGATGATATCGAATTAAACATTTTCTCATCTATTAATAACTCTAAAAGTGTAAATAGAAGCGTTCTTCAAAATATTGCTCCAAGTATTTCGGATAATTCTCTGCTTTGCCTCTACTATTCAAAAGACAAATGGGTATCAATGGCAGAAATTAATGAAATTGAGAAATCATTATTACTTACATTTATTGAGGTGCTCTCTGTCAGTTACAGTGTAACTGAAAATTTATCTAGTAATGAAATATCAAGTATTAAAGGAATCTTAAGTGATATGGAAAATTTACTGAATAATGCTATTACAAATAAATCTGATATTTACGAGAATATTGAAACTTTAAAAAAAATTAGTTTGACAGTGCAGAATAAGATTTATGAGAGTAAATATTTAAAAAAAGTTAAAATATTTATGTTTGTTTCGAATTTGTTACATTCGAATGAAAGTGAAGACTTAAAACTGTCTAATGAGGAACTAATGTTAACAATGCATGGTGTAGTCAAGAAAAACGAAGAATTAATGAAATTATTGATACAACATGTAGAGAATAATGCAAAGAATGAAAATGATACTTTATTATGGGAAAAATTGAAAAATATTGTATTAAAATACGAGTTTCTTTTATATCTATATATATCGAGGAGAATAAAACGAAAACATTCAGACAAATAGTTTTTAAAAATTAGTTTACTCTAATGTTTCTAAATCTAATTGATTTCCTCTTCAGGGAGTCTATTAAAATATAAACTAATATACAAAAATACCAAAAAAATATTTTTAACATTCGTCAATCAAAAAATAAATTATAAAAAATAAATAAATCAGTCTAACATTCATTCATAAATAATAAAAAAGTTATTACAATATCTTACCAAAAAAATATATATATATTCGAATGTAGAATAGAACTCTATTCATTAATTAGAAAATTAGTGGATAAAATCCATCAATTTTGTTGTTGTATTAATTTAGAGAAAATAATAAAATATTATTAATTCCTTTAGTAAACCGATCAATTTAATTTGAAAACATTTCAAAAAATGACCTTTCGGTACAAAGTTGAATACCATCCTCAGAGTGTTTCTAAACAATAGATAAATTTTGCTTATATTGTAAAAAAATAATAAGATTCATAAAACGTTGCTAAAAAACTCATCAAGGTCTAAAAAAGAATATGTATATTGTATTGATTATGTTTATTGTCACAAATAAAATTAAAAGATCACTATTAATCGTAAAAAAATGTAGAAGACTTAAATGATAATTGATAAGATATAACATAATTGAAAGACTTAACGTTTTTATGAAATCAAAATACACATGAGAAGAACATAGAAAAATTAAATTATGGAAACTTTTTCTATTTTGAAATAATAAAAAAATTTTTATCCTTTAGGGTGTTGTTCAGCAACAAAACAGCAACTAACTATTGCTTACGGTCCATAAAAATTAATAAAAAATAAAAAGAATTTAATTGAAACTTCCTTTTATGACAATTTTGATCTTCTGCTAGTGTTCGGCTGTGGTTACTAATATTTAAAAGAGTTTAAAAGTTTTAATAATATTTTTTATTCACCAAGATGTTGTTCAGCACCATCCCAGCAACAACCTATAGGTGATTAGCAGTCTATAAAAATAATAGAATTGAACAGAATTTGATTTAAATATCTTTCTTTGTTTTCATGTTTTTTCGTTCTCATTCTTGATCATTTAAAAAATCATACCGTAATAGTGTTTAACCCTTTCAATCCCAACCTTTTAAGCCATCGATTTTTTTAACATAACTTAAAGGAAAACTTTAAATAATTGCATATTTCTTATTTTTAAGTTTCTACAAATAGGGTTTAGTAGTTTTTTAACAAATTAATCTATGGGCGAATCCACGGAACCGTGTGATTTCATGTTACTCCTCATTTAAACAATTTGTTTTAACATTATATAATTTTTTTAATGTCAATGTCTCTTGGATAACACATAAAACAGAATAATCAAATAAAATCATAACTTTTATAATCTTCATGTAAAATAAAAAGTCATATGTGTACTTAAAAAATTAAATTTGATTTGTTACTCCAAGGTTTTCTTCATTTTGTGCTTTCAGCGGTAATGCAATTCTAATTTTTTTTGAATGAGATTATTCCTTATGAAAAAATGAATAAATTGAGACCTTACTTAACCGTGTGCCTTTAAAAATAAAGATAATAAAACAATAATTATGTCTACACCTTCAAACGTGAATGATTATAAATTTATACTTTTTTTAATGGCACACTTATAGCTTAAAAAATAATCGGTTGAAATCTTCTATAATTGTTTTAGTGTGAAAAAGAGGATATTTAATTTAAAAAAATATTTAAAAATATACAATTTCATTATTACATAACATTTCTTTCTTATCAAAACTCGATGCACCTGTAGTTTTATGTTTCTTCATAATTTGTTGAAGAAACATAAAATATATTGATATATTTAATGTTCAAGTTATTAATCTAAAAACGCCACGTAGTCTTTTGCCACGTTGCATACGTTTGCAAAGAAACTCTTTAAGATTTATATTTTGTCCGCTTGTTCTCATATATTTAATACACGAAAAAATTGGACATCAAGACCGTATGTATTTACTTCTTTAAAGTTAAATATGACAATATTCCATTAAGGCCTGAAATCTAAAAATTTCTATTCTATTTCCAAGCTACGTTACTATAAACAAAAAAAAAACTTTTCACAGGTGGAATATTTTTTATAAGTTTTTAGTGTGCTCTTTTCGAATCTGAAATTAAAAATTAATTTTTTTAAAAACAAAATTAAATATGCCTGTTTAATTGTCAAAAAATACAAAAAAAATTTTCGATTTTTCAAATTTTATATTTTTTTTCACCTAGAAAAAGTGTGAGAATATAATTTTCTTTTTAACCAAAAGTGCATAAAAGTTGTCCACTTTAAAGTTATGTAACCCTCTTTAGGGGTTTCAAGACCTTGCCGTTGGTGGGAGGCGCACGAGGGGCTTTTACCCAGTGGGAGGCTACTTCTCAATATCTCCCGTGGGGACTGAGGGGGCGAACCCTTTAAATAGGTCGTCCGCTACAGAAACCGAATCTTCTGTGTTTCGCTGGGCAGTGTCCCAGGGCACGGGGATTTAGAGGGATATCGAGAGTGACGGGATGGACAGAGGCTTAACCGCGGGTCCATTCCGAAGACTTCCTACTGGTGGAAGTCTGACCAAGAAGAAACCCTTCCATGGTTACGTTGGCTGTGCCATGGCGATTGAGGCGCGAGTCTCTGCCGCCCAATCCGTGATGAACTCGTGTCCATGGATGAATGATACCAAGGGTTGACAAATCCGTCGGGTTCTTTAGTGAGGAGGGGGTTGGACGGGGGACGACAATCGCTGGGCACAATTAACTGTAAACCGTAAAGCTCGGGAACGGTTGTGTTACAGGAAGGTGGGGCTCGAATGGAGGTATCTTGAACGAGACTCTGAGATACCAGGCGAACTATCAGATGTAATTTAGCCTTTTCCTTAAATATAGGCTCTTTAAGGATCGACCTTTCTTTCCTCTTTTCTCGTGGGACCATAATTGATACTACAGAAATTAATAAAAATAAAACCACACACGTGAGCGTCGAAGAGCCCTTTTTGGGGGATCACGATGCTGGCGATCAAGGTGTGGACGCGACAGAGGGGACCGTGAGTCAGTTTTAAATATGGCTGCTTCCGGGATCCACTGTATGCAGATTAACTTTCATCATTGTAAAGGCGTTTCGGCGATTCTAGCCAGGAACTTTTCAAGGATGCAGGCAGCTATGGCCTTTGTTCAAAAACCTTGGGTTTACAAGGGTAAGATTAGAGGTCTAAGTGGCTGTGAGGTGCTAGTTAGTTCACCACAGGAACCAATTCCAAGGGCTTGCCTGATCTATAAAGGTCCAGACGCTTTCCCTCTATTGGAATTAACTACCAGGGACTTAGCTGTTGTTAAAGCTAAGTACTTGGAAAAGAATGGAAATAAAAGGGAGGTTGTAGTAGCTTTTGCATATTTTCCGGGATCGGGGAACCATGACCCCGCACCACCTACAGAGGTAGAGAAGTTGGTAGATTACTGTCAACGGCAAGGTCTTCCTTTGATAATAGGTTGTGATGCCAATGCGCACCATGTCGTATGGGGCAGCTCTGACATTAACGACAGAGGCAGAAGACTTTAGCTTACCTCTACGTGATAAGAGATGGTTAACGTTTATAAAAAGCGGCAAAAAACAAAAAAAACTCATTTTCAGATTCGCAATCAGCGACCCCAAAAACCCTTATGTAACAAATTTGAACTGAATTAAACGAAAATAAACATTTTTCATCCGCCATATTGAATTTTGAAAATCCAACTTCAGATTCGTAATCAGCAACCCCAAAAACCCCCGAGTAAAGAAATTGAACTGAATTAGACGAAAATAAAAATTCTCATCAGCCATATTGGATCCGCCTTTTTGAATTTTGAAAATTCAACTTCAGATTCGTAATCAGCGACCCAAAAAACCCCTAAGTCAAAAAATTTGGACGAATCCAACGACTTTTTGGTGAATAGTGAAATATGTGTTATAACGGGTGTCTTATTATTTCTGTTAATTTTTGAGAAACTACTATTAATTTGATCACTCTAAATAAGGTTATTTTATTTCAAAAATTTATTTTTATCTACTTCAGAATCAACAAATTAAACAAAACACACGCTACTTTGTTGTTTGAATTTATGCCCGAACGCCAGAGATATTTTATGGAAAAATATTCAAACCTATTACTTAATTAATTTTACGCTAGCTCAATCTTTTCAAGGAGAGCGCGGGGTAACAGAAATCACCAGTTAGTTTTAAATTTTGATTTAATAACAAGAAAATTACAGGTCCAGACGGGACCTGTTCAAAAGTACAGAAATGTCATGAAACAAAGAAAATTGACATATGTTAATTTTGATCGATTATTTGTCAGGAGACAACACATTATTTCTTTTGAGACTCACCGGAGATGCGCCGACGTCCCCGCATTGTTCCTCGGCTCATCTTTTTAGGAGTAGCCACAATTAATTTTAATTTAATTTTATTTTATACGAAAACGGCCTACTGCGACCTGTCACAATACGACGCCAAAATGAGAATGAATTAAATGGCCGACGGGGACGCCGAAGCAGACGCGCATCTCGGCTTCGTGGTGAGTCTCACGCGCACTTGTTACAAAGATTTTCAGATGGTAATCGATGCGCGACAGTAAGAATTGGGAAAATCGACCGTCGGAAAGAGTTCATAAAAGTTCATTTAGTCTCCGCGAGGGGCACCGCGCGACGACGTCCGGTTCGCAAGATGGCTGCAACCAGTGTTTTGACAGCTGATGTTCTCGTCGATGGATTCTCGTATTTCTGTCAATTCGTATGACCGGTATTTATTTCAGTAATAAATACAAGGAAACAGATTACTTGCTGGACAAATACGAAGTAATCTCTCGGCAGTGATCCCGAAATTTGGAAATCCGGTACTGGCAGTGATAGTTTACATGAAATGATAAACCGAGTATCAATTTTCTTATAATCAATTAATTGTTTTGACCAGCGATCTGACGGTTCGCTAATTACAGGTTTAATTTAATAATTTAAGTGAACGAAATATTACAAAGTGGATAGTTCAAAGTAATTTTTCTCGGAAGGAGAAAATAATAGTCGATTCTCAATTTGACGTGAATAATAAAAAAAGTTAATAGTCGATTATTGACAAAGATTATTAATTTGTACGCGGCAAATAAGATGCCGCGTTACAGTGTATGAACTTGAAAATTTTGCAATTAATTTGACGCCATATTAGGTCCGCCATCTTAAATTTTTTAATTCTAATTTACATAACTTTAAGGTGAACATTTTTTATGCAAAATTATATTTTCATACTTTTTCTGGGTCAAAAAAAATATAAAATTTGAAAAATCGAATTTTTTTTTTGTTTTTTGACAATTAAATCGCCATATTTAATTTTGGTTTAAATAAAAATTATTTTTAATTTCAGATTCGAAAAGAGCACACTAAAAACCTATAAAAATATTATACCAGTAAAAAGTTTTATTTTTTTGTTTATAATAACGTAGCTTGAAAGTATAATACAATTTTTTATATTTTGGGCGTTAATCAGAAACATTATAATGATTGTTTGTTTAACAATACACTAGTTTTAAATCCAATAAGTTTAAATGTCTTATTCGCACTTTAGTTAGAAAATTGATGTGAACCAACCTAAAACGATCTGGGGGTCGATTCTGTAACTTTTCCATTTGTCACTCTGTCACTTCCCATTCCCATTTTCAATTCCCACTTTCCACCCTCACTTCCCACTTTTCATTGCCCACATTCATTTCTCACCTTTCTCTATCTAATCCCACTATCCACTTCCCACTACCACTTTCCACTCCCTCTTTCGCTTCTCACTTTTCCCTCCTAATGGTGGGAAAGTGAAAAGTGGGAATTAGAAGCAGGGAAGTGAGAGTGGAAAGTGGGAGTAGAAAGTGGAAGGTGGGATGTGGAAAGTGAAAGTGGGTTGTAAGAGTGTAAAGTGGAAGTGAGAGTGGTAGTGGAAAGTGAATGTAGGAGTGGAAGGTGGAAAGTGAAAGGTGGATAGTGATTGTGGGAGTGGAAAGTGGGAAGCGAGAGTAGGAATGGGAAGCGAAAAAGTTACAGACTTGACCCCCTGAAAACAGTTTCTAAAAAACATTATTTTTTTACATTTATAGTTCTTGGAGGCGTTGAATTCTAATTTGATATTACATAGGGAATCTGATCAATTTTTGAATTCTTGTGATCGACATTTTGATTCCACCATTTTTAATTTTAAAAATTTGATGTCAAATTCGAAATCAGCAACTCCAAATACCATATAATGTCCATGGACTTTCATAGGGTTAAAAACGTTATTCTTTAAATATTGAAAAGCTTCTTTAATTATCAAAAAGTATTTCCCCATTGATCAGTCTTCATATCAGAAAGACAATAATTATTTTCTTATATTTTTTAAGTGAAACGGTACCAAGAGCACTCAATAGAAACCATATATTAGGGAATTGCTCTCCTCAGATAAGTAATACCACTTATTCATTATGAAAAGAATTGCAATTGTTGTTATAATAATCTCATTGGTCTACGGTGAAATTTGTAAACTAGATGAACAAGAACTAACAGAATTGGAAAAATCCTTCGATGAAGCAGAGATTTATACGAGAAGGGAAGCTTTAAATAAAAATGCTGCGATTTGTATAGGAACCACAAGGGCAGGGAAAAGTACTTTAATTAATTACTTAATAGGCAATGAGCTAAAGGCCGTCAGATTTTCAAGATATGGCGATATTAAAATAATAAAAGCAGACAATCAATCAATTGGACCGGAAATTGGCCTCGGACCAACGTCAAAAACTACAATTCCCACAAAATGGAAATCAAAAAGATTGAATAATTTGATCATTTTTGATGCTCCTGGATTTCAAGATAATAGAGGACCAGTACAAGAAATCACTAATTCTTTCTATCTCTATCAATTGGCGAAAAATGTTAATTCCTTAAAATTTATTTTAGTTATTAATTTTGCAGATATTGAACGAGACAATATTACACCATTCATGAATCTTTTACTTGATTTTCATAAATTTTTTGGAAATAAGTTCAAAGACTTTTTTCAAAGCATATCAGTAATTTTCTCAAAAGTACCCTATGAAATGTATTACACAGAAGTTGATCATGAACTGATTAAACACTTATTGAAAAGAAAAGCTCCTCTAGCAGGAAATATATCTTCCAATAATGTAGAGGATTTTCTTTCTTATATAACGGAAAATAATGATAGTATTGCATTATTTAAAAAATCAAAAGAAGAAGGAAGTATTTCTGATGATATCGAATTAAATATTTTCTCGTCAATTAATAGCTCTAAAAGTGTAAATAGAAGCGTTCTTCAAAGTATTTCTCCAAGTATTTCGGATCATTCTTTGCTTTGCCTGCTCCATTCAAAAGACAAATGGATATCAATGGCAAAAATTTATAAAATACAGGGATCTTTATTACTTACATTAACTGAGATGCTCCCTTTCCAAAATAGTTCACCCGAAAAGTTATCTATTGATCGAATGTCAAGTTTTAAAGCAAACTTAAGTAGTATTGAAAATTTGCTGAATAAGTCTATTACAAAAAAATGTGATATTTACGAGAATATTGAAGCTTTAAAGAAAATTGGTATCAAAATGCAGAATAAGATTGATGAGAGTAACTATTTAATAAAAGTTAAAATATTTATGTTTGTTTCGAATTTGTTACATTCGAATGAAAGTGAACACTTAAAACTGTCTAATGAGGAACTAATGTTAACAATGCATGGTGTAGTCAAGAAAAACGAAGAATTAATGAAATTATTGATACAACATGTAGAGAATAATGCAAGGAATGAAAATGATAGTTTATTATGGGAAAAAGTAAAAAGTATTGTATCGTATTTGTCTGGAAAATTCTATAAATATATGCCATTGCGTTATTTATTTAGTAAATTTATGGAAATATTTTAGAGAAAATAATAAAATATTATTAATTGCTTTGGTTAAACGATCAATTTAATTTGAAAACTTTACAAAAACTGACTTTTCGATACAAGTTGAGTATACCATTCTCAGAGTGTTTCTAAACAATAGATAAATTTTGCTTAACATTGTAAAAAGAAATTATAAGAAACAAAACGTTGCTAACAAATTCACCAAGGTCTAAAAAAAATATTAATTTGCGTCACAATTAAAATTAAAATAAAACGTAAAAGAAATAAAAGACATGATAAATTGTTATAAATGATGCAGATATAAGGAAAAAAATGAGACTTTATTGTGTATTTACTAAAATTTACGAAAAAATTACGAGTAATAGTCATAATTAGAAACATGAATTAGAATTAGTATTACATAATATTTTAATAACACTTTTATACATACTTTGTTTTAAAGATGTAAGGTTTTTAAATAAAATTAAAAGTTTACTAATTTCGACATATTATATCAATTTACCATTTATTTGCTTTTCAGATAAAATATTAATGTTCCTATTAGCAGTACCTATCTAAATTCATTTCAACATTTTATAATGTTATAATATTTAAATAAAATAATTAGGAAATGCCTTCAATTTAAATATTTGCTAATCAAATAATTAAAAGTAAATAAAATAATTATTATGAAACTTAGAAATGTATATAAATATATATATATATATAGAGAGAGAGATAAAAAAATATTTAAAAATATATTTGTCTGCTTGTTCTCATATATTAAGTACACGAAAAAAATAAACACCAAGACCGTATGTATTTACTTCTTCAAAGTTGAATATGTCAATATATTCTAATTATTATTTTTTTGACAATAAACTAGTTTTAAATCTAATTAGTTTAAATGCTTTTAAGTAAGAAAATTGCTTGTGAACCTTAAACGATCTAAAAAGAGTTTCCAAAAACATCATTTCTTTATAAGGGGACCGTACACCACTTTTGCGTGTTTTTTCAGTATTAATTTTTTCATAGTTAAATGTTTCGAAACAGTTGGCTCTTTTCATATCTATTAAAACACATATTGAGGATTAAGAAAAAAATATTTTTTTATTTATTCTGCCTTTCATGGTGACAAAATGGCGGCTGAAGTGATTGTCCGGAAAAAACCGGTTGACACGATATCTCTGCTTCAAAATGTCTGAAACAAAAAATCCAAAGAATTTCTTAAAATATGTCAGTGGCTATGGTATAAACCACAACCAACATTCTACATCCATTTTTAACCCCATTTTTTACCGTTTTAGGGGTGAAAAAGGGATAATAAAATTTAAACCGCCGTCATTTACTTATTTTTTTCAAACTCATTTTTTGTGGTTCATGCCATAGCCACTGACATATATTTTAAGAAATTCTTTGGATTTTTTGTTTCCGGCATTTTGAAGCAGAGATATCGTGTCAACCAGTTTTTCCGGACAATCAATTGAGCCGCCATTTTGTCGCCATGAAGGGCAAAATAAATAAAAAAATATTTTTTTCTTAATCCTCAATATGTGTGTTAATATGTGAGAAAAGAGACCAGTGTTTCGATACATTTTACTATGAAAAAATAAATGTTGGAAAAACACGCAAAAGTGGTGTACGGTCCCCATAATAAAAGTTCTTGGGATCGTTGAATTCGAATTTGATGTTAAATTTTCAAAATTCAATATGACGTACCCAATACGGCGGAGAACTAGTGATTCAAAAACCCACGTGTTTTTTTAAGCGAATCTGATCAATTTTTGATTTCTTGTGGTCGCCATTTTGATTCCACCATTTTGAATTTTGAAAATTTGATGCCAAATTCAAATTCAGCAACTTATAAGTTATAACAAAGAAACCCTCTAACATGTCAAAAAACCACCACCGCATTATCGCTTAAAATCCAAAGCTCCATAAAAGCCTTAAATATCAAAGAACTAAATCTATTATTTTCCTGATCACTTTTTTAATGATAAAAAAATGTATTATATAGAAACTAATGTTATCAATGCATGCTGTAGTCAAGAAAAAAGGAGAAATAATAAAAAAATTCCTACAAGTTTTAATTAAAAATGCAATTATAAGCAAAAAAAAGACTTCATTTTGGGGAAAAGTCGGAAATTTTCTATCAAATTTTTTGTATAAAATATCCATTCCACATATCTTTTTGTATGGTCACTTTTCTAAACTTTACAAAAAAAATTCAAGTAATAGTCATAATTAGAAACATGTGAATTGGAATTAGCTATCCATATTATTTTGTTAACACTTTTACATAGTTTGTTTTAAAGATGTAAGATTTTTAAATAAAATTAAAAATATATTAGGCTTTGTCCATAAATTACGTCACACTTTTTAGGGGGGAGGTGGTTTATGAAAATGTGACTAATTGTGACAAAGGGGGGGGGGTGGGGACCATTTATTTTGTTATGTCACACTTTATACTCTATTTATTATAATAAGAAAATTGTAATAAATAAAAATATCAAATATATTTCTTGTTTTTAAAATATTAAAAAATGTACTAATTATATAAGTAACTTTATTTATAAAAAAAATTCGAGGGGGTAATTACTGATTAAAATGGTGTACACTCTAATACATTAAATTTTTCTGCTATTACGCGTATTATCCAGTATTACAGGGTATTACAGAACTATTACAGGGTATTATTGATTATTACCTCTATATCATGTGGTATTACACTGATGTAATAATGCTCTATTACACTTTATTACGTGACTATTAAATGACTATTACGTGAGGAGCGTACACGCTAATACACAAGTAAATACTCCCTCGGTAAAATTAGATATTGACAGTGATTCATTTTGGAAAAATTTATTAAAGGGGGGTTTACGAATTGTGACGTAATTTAGAGGGAGGGGGTTCCTTCAGATGTTACTTAGTGTGACATAAATTTAAAATTAATTTATGATCTAATTGAACTTTAGTTTCGACAAAAAAGTTTAAGCATTACAATTATATTTATAAAAAATGTAACTTTTGTGAAAAAAACCCATTATTCTTCCAACGATAGCATAACAATAAAAAATATGTATTTCACTATCACACAAAATTTCTCTTCTATTTAATATACGCGATGCACCTGTAGCTTTACTATTGGTTGACTAAATATAAAATAATAGTGATATGTAAAATGTTTAATTGTCGAACATTTGCAAATGCCACACAGTTTTTTTGCCACGTTGAATTCAGTTACAAAGAAATATTAAAGATTTAGGTTTGTTCAACTGTTCTCTTCTATTAATTACACGAAAAAATTGATCACCGCAACACCGTAAGTATTTACTTTTTAAAGTTTAATATACTAATACATTCTAATTATGATTTTTTTAATTGAAAATACGCTATACTTAACTCTCCTTCTGACACCTGGGTCCAGCCAGACCCCTTAGGCTTTTCACCTTTATTTAAATATATTTATCTACTAACTAGAAACTTGTGCTCTCAGGTTGTTACATAAACTTTATACGTATAGCTAACGCTTTATAACAAAAATTGTAGGAAAGTCTGTCTCCAGAATATTTTATAAATCTTCGAAATATAGCATTTTATAGTCTATTTTTCCATTAACCCTCCTACCTATACGGTTTAATTAAATTGCAGAAATCGGTATCAAAATGGTTCAATTTGCCCTGAATAGAAAACTTTATATCTCAACATGATTTAATAGTTTTTCGGGTCGCTGATTACGAATTCGGTGTCCATTTTTGAAAATTCAAAATGTCGAATCCAATATGGGGGACCTTTTCCAAAAATTTTTTTTAATTCATCGGTTTCGCTTGAAAATTGTTACTCGGGTGTTTTCAGGGTCGCTGATTTTAAATCTGATATCAGTTTTTGAAAATACAAAATGGCGGATCCTATATGGCAGTCGAAAATTTAAGAAGCTGTTTTAAGTTTCTGGAAACATATTGGATCCGCCAGTTTCAGTTTTAAAAATCTGATGTCAGATTTTCTAAAATCAGCGACCCCGAAAACCCCCAAGTAATGATTTTCATAAGCTGATTTCATAAACTTTTTGATTAAATACACATTATCCACTTATTGAAAAACTTGCTTGTTTAACTAATATTTAAAGTTATGTAACTTTAATCATATAATTCCAATGTTTTTTTTTTTTCATAGGTAAGCTGATAAATTTTGATAAATTATATTACATCGTTTATTTTGTCATCTTTAGGTGTATCAATGAAAACAGGAATTAATATCAACTATATTAGTTAATCATTCTCTTCGAAAACTAATATCATTCATTAATTATGACAAGAATTGGAATCTTCTTCTTACTAATTTCATGGACCTATGTTGAAAATTGTTACCTATCTGATAGTGAATTAACAGAATTGGAAAATGCTTTCATTGAAGCCGAAGATTATACAACAAGGATAGTTTCAAACGAAGACGCAATAATTTGCGTAGGTGCTACAAGAGCAGGGAAGAGTACATTAATTAATTACTTGATGGGAAATGAATTAAAGGGCTTTAAAAATTCGAAATATGCTGAATATAAAATAATTAAAGCTAATAGTGAATCAATAGGACCGGAAATTGGCCAAGGACCAACGTCAAAAACTACAATTCCCACAAAATGGACATCGAATAAATTGAGTGGTTTCAGTATTTATGATGCTCCTGGATTTGATGATAATAGAGGACCAGTGCAAGACATCACTAATTCTTTTTATCTTTATCTATTAATGAGAAAGGTTAAATCTTTAAAATATGTTTTAGTTATTGATTTTAATGATATTGTACGCAACAATATTCGACCACTCTTAAAATTTTTGTATGATTTTGAAAACATTTTTCGTGATAAGTTTGCATTTTTCATTTTAAGCATATCAATTATTTTCTCAAAAGTACCTTATGAATTGGACGGAGCAAAGGTTGACATTGAAATGATAAAATACCTATTAAAGGAAAAAGCTGTTGTAATTGAAAATTTATCTTCCACTAATGTAAACAATTTTCTTGATTATATATTAAATAATAGTAGTCATCTTGCATTGTTCAGAAAAGCAAAAAGTAATAAAATTAAATCTTCTGACATCGACTTTAATATTTTTTCTGCTATTAGAAACACTAAAAGCGTAAATAGTAGCGTTCTTCAAAATATTACTCCAACTGCTTCTATAGAATCTTATCTTTGTCTGTACCATGCCAAAAACAAATGGATATCGATATTGGAATTTTTAAAACTACAGAAATCTTTATTAACAACATGCATTGATATGCTTTCGAAATGGGAAAAATCAGTTATGAATTCAAATGGTTCTAGTAATAATAATGTTAAAGAAATACATAAATTATATGAGATTAGAAATTTACTGAATAATTCCATTAAAAATGAAGCTGATGTTTACAAAATAATTGAAAGTATTGGAAAAATTAATGATAAGATTAAGAATAAGATTCAGGAATCTAATTTGTTAAGAAAAATTAAAATATTTTACTTTGTTTCACGTTTAGTGAAGTCGAATGACATGCAAGAGTTTCAGAGTTCTTTTGAGGATCTAAGATTTTCTTTACTTACAGCAATTGAGAAAGGAATTCAAAAAGTTGCGAATTTACGTAAGAATAGACCAATTAGAAATGATTTGAGTGTTGGAGATAAAGTGAAATCTAATTTCTTCTTGTTATTAGGAATGATAATTATGTTTCTTATTTTATATAAATCGTAATGATATTTCTAACTAACGAAAAAATAAAATGTTACTTTAAAATGCCTTGGTTGCAATGTAATAAATTTTATTCGTTTACGTATCTGCATTATCAACTCAATTAAAGTTACATTATATGTTCTTGAAGTTAGTGATCGTTTATTAATTCAATATTTTTAAGTAAAATGCTTATCGTTATCGGTCTTTTTTTTAAAAGGAAATTAATTAATTAATTAATTAATTAATTAACTTTTATTTATTCTTAAAAAAATTTTTTTATTTAAAAAATTCTTTTCTGTTTTTTAGTCCTGAAAAGTGAATTCTTACTTTTAAAAAAAAAACACAACCCATAAGCCTTTTACTGAAAAATATTTATCTTACATTATGTTAATTTGATGTTTCGATCGTCGTTTGTAGCTAGAATATATACAATAAATAAAATAAATATATAATATATGTATACTTTGTTATTTATTTTTAATAAATTTGTGTTACATTTACTTTTTATAATAATATAATATAGACATCAAACTGAATTTCCATTTATAAGATAATCCTCATCTGACCAATAAAATAAAATTGGGAGTTGAGTTTTTTTTTATAATAAATTCGGTCGTTCTACAACTTAATATAAGAGAGAGGAAGAGAGAATATGTGTTTCACTGTCACACAAAACTCTTCTTATCTTTACGCGATGCACCTGTAGCTTTAGTATTGGTAGACTAAATATAAAATAATAGTGATTTTTAAATGTTTAATTGTTAAACATTTGCAAATACCAAATAGTTTTTCTGCCACGTTGAATTCTGTTACAAAGAAATATTAAAGATTTATGTTTGTTCAACTATACTCTTCTATTAAACAACGCAGAAAAAATTGCACATCAACACCGTAAGTATTTACTCTTTCAAAGTTTATCGTAACATTATATTCTAATCATTATATTCCAATTTGACAATACAGTTATCCCCACCTGTATTGCTTCATATTCGACATGAGCTGCAAAACGTTTTGGCAATTCAAACATTGCACTAAAATCAGCATCAAGTGAAAACATATTAGAGAGTTTATTAGAACAATACATGTATAGATTTGGTTCATCCAAAAGTGATCTTACCGATCAAGGAAGAAATTTCGTTTCCGAATTAGTTGAAAATTTTGAAAACCATTTTCTAATCAAACCATGTAAGGGATTTTATTGTAATGTCATAATAAGAGAATGACGAATGATAAGTGTATTGAAAAAGTAATAGAAAATATTGTGTGTAACGCGTTTTCTTTAATCTCATAGTTCAGGTACGTGGACCACATTTCTCTTTGCGATTAATAAAAAACCTTATGGTGTGGCGATTTATTGTTACGTTTATAAAATTGATAGTTGCTGTAGTATTTCCATAAAAGTAATTTAATTGAAATTCGGAAGTCGTTAGCAAAGTTTTCGGACAAGATTAGAAACTTGATTGAAAGATTATAAAAATTTGGTATGGGACGTTTGTATGCTTAGCTCTATGGGAGCTGTTATTGATATTATTCTTACATAAATAAAATTAGAGATAGGAAGGATTTAAAATAAAAGATATATTCCCATTTACTTATAAATACATGCGAAACTATTAAAATTATATCGTTTATTTTGTTATCTTTAGGTTACATCAATAACAACAGGAATTAATATCAACTAAATTAGTTAATCGTTCACTTCAAAAACTAATATCATTCATCAACTATGACAAGAATTGGAATCTTCTTCTTACTAATTTTATGGACCTATGGTGAAAATTGTTACTTATCTGATAGTGAATTAAAAGAACTAGAAAATGCTTTCATTGCAGCGGAAGATCATACAACGAGGATAGGTTCAAACCAAGATGCAATAATGTGCTTAGGTGCTACAAGATCAGGAAAAAGTACATTAATTAATTACTTAATTGGCAATGAATTGAAGGGCATACAAAATTCGAAACATGCTGAATATAAAATAATTAAAGCTAATAATGAATCAATAGGACCGGAAATTGGCCAAGGACCAACGTCAAAAACTACAATTCCCACAAAATGGACATCGAATAAATTGAGTGGTTTCAGTATTTTTGATGCTCCTGGATTTGATGATAATAGAGGACCAGTGCAAGATATCACTAATTCTTTTCATCTCTACCTATTAATGAGAAAGGTTAAATCTTTAAAATTTGTTTTAGTTATTGATTTTGGAGACATTGAACGGGACATTACTCTACCATTCTTTAAACTTTTACGTCATTTTGAAAATTTTTTTGGAGATAAGTTCGCAATGTTCTTTTCAAGCATATCAGTAGTTTTCACAAAAGTGCCTAGTGAAATCGATGAAACTGAAGTTGACATTGAAATGATAAAACACTTATTAAATAAAAAAGCTATTGTAATTAAAAGTGTATCTTCTGCTAATTTAAACAATTTTCTTGATTACATCATAAAAAATAGTAGCCATATTGCATTATTCAGAAAAGCAGAAGGTAATAGAATTGATTCTTCTTACATCGGCATTAAAATTTTTCCTGCCATTAGTAACAGTGAAAGCGTAAATAGAAGCGTTCTTCAGAATATTGCTCCATCTGTTTCAACAAAGTCCCTTGTTTGCATGTTCCAAGTTAAAAACAAATTGACATCAATTTCAGAATTTACTAACATACTGGAATCTTTATTAAATTTATTCATTAGTATACTGTCTGATTGGAAACATTCAAATATGACTCCAAATACTATAGAAAAAAGATACACATCATTTATTGGAAACTTGTTGCATAATTCTATAGAATATGAAGCTGACGTTTACAAGATAATTGAAGCTATTAAAAAAATTGATAGTAAAATGAAGAATAAAATTGAGGAAATTAATTTGTTACCAAAAATTAAAATATTTTACTTTGTTTCTCGTTTATTGAAATTGAATGACATTAAACAGTTGCACAAATGTTTTAAAAATCTAAGGATGTTATTCATTGCGGAAGTTAATAAAATTGATATTTATATTTCAAGTTTATATTGGGAAAAACATTTCCAAAATGGTGTTAGAGAGTAAAGTGAAATCTAATTTCATCTTGTTATTAGAAATGATTGTTTGTTTCTCCTTTTATATAAATCGTAATCTTATTTCTAGCTAACGAAAAAAGAAAATGTCACTTTTAAATTCCTGAGTTCTAATATAATAAATTTTATTTGTTTATGAATCTGTGTTATAATTTAATATACCTTAATTAAAGTATTCTATATAATAATTAAAGAAAACGAATAGGATACTACGTGAGATTCTATATGGTTCCCTGTATGTGCTTCCTCGTGGGAATTCACATAGTTTTCTATGTTGTATGACTTTATTCAGTGGTCAGAGCAGTCTATCGGCAATAGAAAGGTCCCACCATGCTACCATTTTTTCTGAGTTCTTTGCTAATTTTGAAATTATTAATTGATATCGAAAATATTTTTCAGAAAAATCAGGTTTTTGTATTAGGACAGTTGTGCTGTTAATACATGAAATTTGAGAAGCTTAAGTGAGAAATTGATTCGAAGAGATTGTTAACTTCAAAAGGCTGGAAGTTTAAGTAATTGTGCTGACTATAAAGTGACAAAACCGCTGCCAAGTTGTACATTTTTATAATTTTGGTGTTCATTTCATGAACACTTTGCTTCCTCATAGAAATAATAATAATTAAAATATAAGAATTACTTTTTATAAAAGGGTTAAAAATCATTAAATCTTGGTCTAAAAAATGTGTTTTTATATATTCTATAAGATGGTAATAATAGTTTAATAATTACACATAAATTAATAAACAAGAATGTTGAAAAAATGATATTTTCATGATCCACAAGTTTTGAACGTTCAAATGAACGAAAAACGAAATTAAAAACTTAAATTTTACACTTAGAAACTTTATAATGAATTTATTTTATTTCGACACAAAATTATTGTAATAAATATTTAAATTAAAGAAGAAAATAAATAAATTTCGTTCATTTGAACGTTCAGAACTTTAGGATCATATATTTTTCACAATTTTTGATTTTTCAAATACCAATAATTTCATAATTTCTGCCCGAATCAGGTTCAAAAATAGGTCAATTGAAGCGTTTTTTAATGCTCTTCAAGTTGGTAATAATTTTTTGAAGTTACTTTTACATAATTTAAAAAAAATTTTATAAAAGTCTTATTTTTCAAAATTTTAGATTTTTAAAAGTTTAATATCTCCGGTTAATATGGTATGGACGAAAAATGTTCAATTGGGGCTCAAAAGATGCGTCTGAAAAAACTCTACATAATTAAATACAAAACAGAACTAAACTTCTACATTTTTTAACAAAATTTTTAAAAAAGTCTTATTTTCCAAAATTTTTGATTTTTAAAAGTTTAATATCTCCGGTTAATATGGACGAAAAATGTTCAATTAGGGCTCAAAAGATGCGTGTGAAAAAACTCTACAAAACTAAAGAAAAAGATTTATAAGTGTCCTAACATTTTTTAAAGTTATGTCCAAAAAACGTTTTTTTACTAAATGAAAAATGCAAAAAAAATAGTTAAACTTCTTGAATCGGGCTAAAAATACTCTCATTTTATGTCCCCCGGGGAGACCTACAATTTAAAAACAAATTGAGGCCTTTAGCTCTTTCTCGTTCTGAGATATTGAGGCAAATGTAATGTTAGTACACACACACACACATCGGGACAAATTTTTAAAATCCGTTTTTTGGACTTCGGAGGTCAAAATACGTCGAAATTTTTTTTTATTTATTTAGAACATTTATACAGGGAATTCCTGTGCATATATAAAGTACTAAAGTATTAGGCATAATAAAAAAAAATTTATAAATATGTCAAAAAATGACAATCCAAAATTTTGCTAATACAAAGCTCCCTTTATGAGGAAGCAATAAATAAATTCTTGGAAGATGACAAATTTCCTAGTTCAAGAATCGACGAATTATTCGCTAAATTAAGCGGAGGAATAAAATTCACAAAACTGGATTTAGCTAAGGCATTTAACCAATTGGAAGTTACAGAAGAGATTTCTAGATTATTTGCTTGGAGTACGGTACTCATTAAGGATTGTATAAGGTAAAAAAGTACCTTTTGGTCCTAAGACAGCAGTTGGTATTTTGAAAGAATTATTGATAAAGTCTTCTTCTTGGCATGATCAATTATTATGGTATATTTGTACCTCATTTAAGCCAAATTTTATCAATTTTTAGTGGGGAACAAGTTCATACTATGTTCGGACCATAAGCCTTTGTTAGCTTCGTTCGTTGATAAATTGGTATTCCAAAGATGGCTGCAGGTCGACTTCAACGGTGAGCAACATTTTTGGCTTCTTTTGATTATACTTTCATTTATTTTGAAGGTGATGATAACGGAGCAGTGGATGGACACTCCAGGTTACCATAACATTGATTACTTCAGCAGTTGATAAATCCACAGATTATTTTAATTTTTTGGTAAAAGAGAATCTACTTATATTATTAGAGAGGATGATTTGAGACGTCAAATTAGGAAAGATCCTATATTAAGCAAAGTTTTTCTTTATTCACGTGATGGCTGGCCTATTTCTTGTGAGCCAGAGTTTTAAAAGAAATGTGTTTTATTGAATTTAAAATTAATTTATGATCTAATTGAAATTCAGTTTTAACAAACAAGTTTAAGCATTAAAATTATATTTGTAAAAAATATAAATTTTGTAAAAAAAACGTTATAGTTCTAACGATAGCATAGTAATAAAGAATATGTATTTCACTGTGATACAAAATTTATCTTCTAATCTTACACGATGCACCTATAGCTTTAGTATTAGTTGACTATATATAAAATAATAGAGATATTATAAATGTTTGATAGTTGAACATTTGCAAATGCCACGCAGTTTTTCTGCCACGTTGTATTCGCTTACATAAAAATATCAAAGATTCATGTTTGTTTAACAGTTCTCTTCTATTAAACACACAAAAAAGTTGAACACCTACACCATACGTATTTACTTTTTCAAAGTTTAATATACCAATACATTCTGAATTTTCAATTCGACAATTCGACTTAAATTCAATAATCATAAACTTTTTTGCTATCCCAGGTAAAAATGATTCGTACAAATTTTGTTCAAAAATCTGGCCAGATTCGTACAGAACTCCTATCGAATTCGTATGAAATTACTAGTGAAATTCGTGTGACGTTTTGAAACGTTTTTTCGCACGAATATTCGTGCGAATAATACCCGGATTTTTTTAAATAGATTTTCAAAAAATTTTCCGTTCGGAAATCCGTATGGAAATTCGAACGGATTTATTTTGGAAAATTTTTATACAATTCTGCTCGGAAATTCGTATGGAATTCCGCACTAAATGTCAACTAAAATTTCTTCAAAAATTTTCGGCGAGATTTCTATACGAAATTCATATGGAATTCGAGCGAATTACGGACGGAATTCTTTTAGAAAAATTTTAGGAAATTCGTATAGAATTTCGCATGAAATTTCAGCTAAAAATTCCTTCAAAAATTTTTATGAAATTCGAGCGAATTACGAACGGATTTCTTTTGGAAAATTTTTAGAAAATTCTGCTCGGAAATTCGTATGGAACTTCGCACGAATTGTCAGCTAAAAATTTTTGAAGGAATTTTTAGCTGACATTTCCTGCGGAATCCCATACGAATTTCCGATCAGAAATTGTCTAAAAATTTTCCAAACGAAATTCATTCGTAATTTGCTCGAATTTCATACGAATTTCGTATTGAAATTCTGCCGAAAATTTTTAAAGAAATTTTTAGTTGACATTTCGTGAGGAATTCCATATGAATTTCCGAGCAGAATTTTATAAGAATTTTCAAAATAAATCCGTTCGTAATTCGCTTGCATTTTATATGAAATTCGTAAGGAAATTTAACCGAAAATTTTTGAAGAAATGGGCAAAAGAATTTCTGTGCGAATTTCCATACGGATTTCCGCATGGAAATTTATTTTGCAAATCCATTTTAAAAAAATCCAGGGACTATTCGCACGAATATTCGTGCGGAAAAATGTTTCAAAACGCCACACGAATTTCACTAGTAATTGCATACGAATTTCATAGGAATTCTGTACGAATATGGACGGATTTCTGAACGAAAGTTATTTTAATCATTTTTACCTGGGTGTTAAACCGTTTTCAAATAAGAAGTACTTGTATTTGCCTCTAACAGTTCTATTGAGTTTTCAATTGGATTTATTCAGAGAGTGTGACTATAGCATTTCAAAGCTTGATCCTTTTTGGACAAATAGATGTTATTTATTATTGTGTTATCTTTAGGTGTATCAATAACAACAGAAATTAATATCAAAACTATATTATTTAATCGTTCTCTAATATCAGTCATCAATTATGACAAGAATTGGAATCTTCTTCTTACTAATTTCATGGACCTATGGTGAAAATTGTTACTTATCTGATAGTGAATTAAAAGAACTAGAAAATGCTTTCATTGCAGCGGAAGATCATACAACGAGGATAGGTTCAAACCAAGATGCAATAATGTGCTTAGGTGCTACAAGATCAGGAAAAAGTACATTAATTAATTACTTAATTGGCAATGAATTGAAGGGCATAAAAAATTTGAAATATGCTGAATATAAAATAATTAAAGCTAATAATGAATCAATAGGACCGGAAATTGGCCAAGGACCAACGTCAAAAACTACAATTCCCACAAAATGGACATCGAATAAATTGAGTGGTTTCAGTATTTTTGATGCTCCTGGATTTGATGATAATAGAGGACCAGTGCAAGATATCACTAATTCTTTTCATCTCTACCTATTAATGAGAAAAGTTAAATCTTTAAAATTTGTTTTAGTTATTGATTTTGGTGACATTGAACGGGACATTACTCTACCATTCTTTAAACTTTTACGTCATTTTGAAAATTTTTTTGGAGATAAGTTCGCAATGTTCTTTTCAAGCATATCAGTAGTTTTCACAAAAGTGCCTAGTGAAATCGATGAAACTGAAGTTGACATTGAAATGATAAAACACTTATTAAATAAAAAAGCTATTGTAATTAAAAGTGTATCTTCTGCTAATTTAAACAATTTTCTTGATTACATCATAAAAAATAGTAGCCATATTGCATTATTCAGAAAAGCAGAAAGTAATAGAATTGATTCTTCTTACATCGGCATTAAAATTTTTCCTGCCATTAGTAACAGTGATAGCGTAAATAGAAGCGTTCTTCAGAATATTGCTCCATCTGTTTCAACAAAGTCCCATGTTTGCATGTTCCAAGTTAAAAACAAATTGACATCAATTTCAGAATTTACTAACATACTGGAATCTTTATTAAATTTATTCATTAGTATACTGTCTGATTGGAAACATTCAAATATGACTCCAAATAATAATACAATAAAGAAAATAAAAAAAATATTTTATTTTCAAAAATTGCAGACTAACTCTATTAAAAATGAATTTGATGTTTATAAAATAATTGAAGCTTTTGGAAAAATGGACAGTAAAATCGAGAACGAGATTAAGAAAAGTAGTTTGTTAAGAAAAATTAAAATATTTTACTTTGTTTCTCGTTTATTCAAGATGGATGACTTTAAACAGTTACACAGATCTTTTGAGAATCTAAGAATGATTTTACGTAAAGAAATTTATAAAATTTATCTTTCGAATTTTAAAGAAATAATAGGCAAATGGATGCATGGTAGGAGTGTTGGAGATAAAGTGAAACCTAAATTCTTCTTGTTATTAGGAATGATATTTTTCTTCTTTTATATAAATCATAATCATATTTCTAACTAACGAAAAAAGAAAATGGTTATTTTACGTTTGACGCCATAATAACACTTATCCGAAAATATTATTTTGGTATTTGATTTTTGTCAGTATTATCAAATTTTTGTCTAAACACAAATAGAAACGTAAAGTTTTAATATCAATATTTTATATTCAAAGTACGTATGTTGTTAATCCCGAAAATAAACTTGTACATCTTTTGAAATATATAATGCTTGTCAAGAGTTTTATGGAGTTCATTAAATTTCTTTGTCTCGTTACAACTCTCTTTCTCGCAGGGAGACCTAAAGATTCAAGTACTGTCAAGGTTTGGAAGATTGAATTTCATGTTAGCTAGCGTGGCAAACAATGTTTACACGAATGAATGCCCAGCATTTTCACTAAGCAATGAATTCATATTACGACGGTGTCTAACGCATTAACCATAACGACTGCCAGAACAATCGGACTGAATCCAGCTACAGGACTAACGACTTGATGTTTTCCTACAGTCATTTAAAGAAGATGTGCTATTTGGTGAACTATTGTGCTATAAATTTTTAAGAGACAATTTTTTATTAGGTAAATATACAATTTTTAAAATTTTCTAAAATTCCACCTGTTGATTAATAATAATTAAAAAGCATCTGATTTTAATAATTTCGTATTTTTTATTCAATTTCTTTTAAAAATTTTCGAAATATTTTTAACCGTACTTGATGTAAAAAGGTAATGTTACCAGTAGGTCTCTGCAATCGATATTGGATAAGCACATGTAACTGACTTTATGTTTTTCTTATTCAAAGTCAAACAAGACTTACCTCTAGGGATCGTGACTCTGAGGGTCAAAAAGCAACTTCAAGGCTTCGTCTGTAAGTGACTTTCTGGTTCGTAGCGTGTTCTACCCTCCTTTTTTTTTACTTGAGTTCATGTCATTCCTACGCAAACTACCATACTGCCCGCTTCTATATGAACTACTACGCTTTAAAGTTTCTCTAAGTCGTTCTATTTTACAAATAAATCAACGATGTCACTAAAGAAAAGTTTAAGAAAGACGAAAGTAATCTCATAAAATTTTCTTTTAATTAAGACTCATATTGAATTGTTGCGCACTTGATCAACTTTTCCAAGTAGTTTAAAAAAAAAATTAAAACCGAAACTCAAGTTAGATTAGTTTAGCGGAATCGTAAAGAACGCTTTTTTAATTGAAATTAATAGTAAAAATTGCGTATTAAACTTTGTATGTAAGAATTCAACTGTATTAATGAAAACAAAAAATCATTCGAGGTTTGTTCTTTCAAAAAGATATTGAATGTTTCAAGAAAATAGAAAAAGGATTTTTTACCATGACAGATGGATCTCCATTAACTGTTAATATATTGACTAATTCTGGACAAACTATAAAAACATTTAAATGCATTTAAAATCAAATTTAAAAATGTCAATTCTTTACTGACACAATCTATACAAACCGATTTTACATGCAGAATAAAATTTCGAAATGTCGATCATTCACTGGGGAACGATTAGGTACTCGCATCCCACAATTTCGACAAATCCGACACAATTTCGTTTTCTAGAATAGTGGGTTGAAAATATTGGTGTTTTATTGGTATAGAGAAAATTAATTATTATATATTAAAGTTTTGCAAAATGTGAAATATATGAATAGCTTAAGAGCTTTCATAATAAAGCAACTGAATGTGACGTTCAATGCACTACATTCTACATATGTACAAACACTTTCAAAAACTTTTTGTAGCAAAGTCAGTTTGACGAATTCATAACACACATGACATATGTTAGCATCGAAATAACTTTTATTTTTTTCTTGTAAATTCAAATTGAAATTTCTAAAAAATAAATTGTTAATTTTTAGGTGAAAGGAAAATGACAAATTCACTGAAAAATGTTATATTGCATTTTTAGGTCGCTGATTACGAATTTGATGGCAAATTTTAAAAATTCAAAATGGAAAAATCTTTTTGTTAATTAATAATATTTATATTAATCGTTAGAAAATGGTTGATTTATGGCACGCTCGAATGACAAGCTGTCAGAATTGTGATTCTGTAATATGGTGTGTTCGAGGTTTGGAGAGTTACGCTCGTGGGACGAGGGATGTGGAAAAGTTACGTAATCGACCCGCAGGACAGTTAGGATATTTTGTTGTACTAGCAAGCACTTTGTATAATTTTAAAGCGATTGATCAATCATTTGTTATAAAGAAGATGAACTGTTAATTATTTCTCAATCTTTGAGAAAAAAAGACTTTTGCAGCTAGCAGTAATTGTAACTAGCCAAAATCTTTAGTATTTTCTTATCCAGAATCTGTGACCTTTTGCAATTTATAAGAAACCATAACTTGATTAAAGTATTTTAAATTGATTATGGTATTTTGTATTTTCTAATCAAACATTGAATATTGTATTAATTTACATAGAGTTTTCGTGAAATAGGTGATGCGCATAAATCCTCTATCACTATTTAGTGATTCAATTTCAATAATTATTATTTGTTTTCTATTTAATTTTTTTTTTATATTCGCTTCCTTATGGTATGCTTTTTAAGAATTATTTATAATTTTTTTTAATTCTGTGATAAAATTGTTAAAAGGTGTTATTAACGAAAAGCAAACGTTGCCTTTACTATTATGGCATTAGCTAGTACACGAGCAAATGAAAATCACGTAGTGTTAACCATGTACATACATAAATAGAGGACACGTTTGCTCATCAATCGTTTCGAATCAGAGAGAATTTTCGAAGCCACATTGTCGACTGAGTCGTCCAAAGGATTTGATTGGTTCAAGCCAATAATCGACATTTAACGACAATCAATTACTGACACACCCTTCTATACGTTTGTATTTTATTCAAAAAACTACTAAAAATTATGTTGAACATTACTCATTTCAGAAAGGAGTAATCTAACAATTATGAAAACTTGTAATTAATCTAAGATCCGGTTTTACAGATCTGTTTAATATGCATGGAAATTTTATTACCACAATTTATTATCTTTAAGAGCAAACCTTATGTATTTAAACATTAAATCTTAAATCATGTTTTGTATAAAAATTTATACTAACAATAAGTTTATTAATTCAAGAAATTTTAGTTTTAGAAGGCTAATCAGTCATTATATCTTCAGATTCAGTAGTGTAATTTGCAGTTTCAATTGGATTGGAGAAATTCACATTAATTATGCCTAAACCGTTCACTACACCATTATGATATATCGTATCGAATTTTGTTTCTCAATTAATCACTATAAATCACCTAATCTTCAATGGAGTATTAAAATTTCAGAAAATTTCCGAAATTTACAATTCAGTGAAATTGTCATCAACGGTCGTTTAATCTTTATTTTTATTGTAAAGCAAAGGCTGTTTAGGAATTGTAGTTCGATGCAGTTTTTGGTATTATTAATTAATTTAAATTTAATATTTAAAACCCAGCCAAATATTCAAGCGATGTAAGGGTTCAAATATTATTTGGACTAGTCAGTTTGCCTATCACTATAAGCCTTCACAAAATCGGTCCACATTTCTGATCCTACACCTACAATAATCCCTCGTATCTTTGCAGATTGTGTTGGTCAAGATTTGTCATTTTGATAATCATCGCAGGAGTTGCGGATACACTTGATTTAAAACGAGGAAACATTTGATGAAGAAAATAATTTACGATTTGACGTAATATGCATATAATAATAGATATAATTTTAATGATAATAGTGATAAATAATAATAATAAAAAAACATAATTTAATTGGTTACGATAGTCATTAGGTATTAATATCTGATAAAAGCGTTCGATTGTCTATTAATTATATACTACAACAGAGATATCAGATGTAAACAGAGATTTCTGACTTTAATAACATTTATTTGCAAACAAATCGATATTCTTTTTTTTAACAATGCAAGAAAAGTCTACACGTTCGTTTAAAGAAAAATATACTTTCGAGGGTTGTTATCACCCCCTCAGGAGTTCTATTTCTTAATAAAAAAAAGTTTACGTTTCTATTACATTCTAACGAACTGCATTTCTCATTAAATAAAATGAAATTGGTACGTTTTAAGGCTTGTATTCTTACTTCTAATGAACCTACATCTCTCATTAAATGAAACGAAATTGGAACATTTGTAAGGCTGCTAATCTTTTTAAAAGCAGTAGTTTACTTCATTAAGGAGTTAAATTTTTATTCACCGTAATATATTTATCACAACTTATTTTCTATATTATATATTATACTTTATATAAACATAAACATTTTTTTTGTTAAATAGAAAAATACTTATTGGAATCTATATTTTAATTTTAATTTGCAAAAACAAAAAGTGGGAATAACTAAATTGATAATTTAGAAATATATAGTTTAATCTTACAATACGTTTCCAACGTCAAAACTTTATGGATTTTCAGGAGCTTTTCAATTTACTTTGTCAGTAGCTATATTCATCAAAACGAACAACCTATGACTGGAATCAAAAATAAAACTTTCTGTGTCCAAACAGTTTTTTTAAAGTCATTTTCTCGACTAATGTTTTTTTGGATTGATTTTTTTTCAGAAACTTCGAGGAAGATTTGCTACAATCGTATCTAGTCAGAAGCATCTCTTACTTTAATTTATTGTCACTTTTTTGATTCAAAAATACTTGTGTTTTATATTTAATATATGGTATAAAACACTAATTCTAATAAAAATTAATGTAATTTTCACTGCATAAAATAAATTGCAAGAAGAATTGATAAACGGTACAGCTAGAAAGATAAGTTTGATTTAAATTCATTTTCAATGATTACCTAAACAAATCAATCAGGTGTTAAAATCGTGAGCTACTAGAATTTTGACGTATTCTCGCAAGCCAATTTTTACTCTGCAAATTTATTCCCAATAAAGCTTTGAATATTACTCGATTTTCAACAAAATTTATGTCTTCCAACTTTCAAAGAATAGGATCCAACATCATATTTCATAAACCAGTCAATGCTGTTCACAGCACTTAGCGCAATAAACTTTCGGTGCTTGAATCCGTGATGAGTTTTATTTCACAATATAAGGCTGAAGTATTTGTTATTACACATGTATAAGGATTTTAATAATGGAGTGGTTTTTAGTGGATCGACACCAGAACAATAGTTGTCATCTCCACATAATCTTGGATTTAATACAGACATCGGAACTTTTACAGATTTTCCACTTAACAATTTGGAATTGAAAGATAGTCAATGTCCAG